CCCACAGCCCCTTTCACACTCTCCCCATAAGCGCCCGTCTCCTCTGGATCCCCGCTCGGTAACCGACCCCCAGTGCTTGTCAGCCCCGGCGCCATGAGCGTGGCGCCCGACAGCACGAAGCGGATTGCGCCGCGATCGATGCGGATGCTGGGGAAGGCGGCTGGGAAGCGGTGCACGAGTCTGAGGTGCGGGAGGAGGGCGTCTGTCATGTGTTGGTAGAAGAGGGGGGTGGAGCCGATGAGGTAGAGCGTTACTCTGTCTGGGCTGTTTTTGAGAATCCTGGTTAGTTTAGGATGGGAAGTGGGGAGTGGGAGATGCCTACATTTTCATAGCATCGAGCTGCTCCTTCTTGGGTATGATTTCATCGATGTGAGGTGCCAGTAAGGGGTAGGTGGTTACGAGTTGATTTCTGATGGCGCGTTGGACGGAGGACTTGACTTTGGATTTGGATCCGGGGGAGATGCTGTTGGGTTCATAGTTAGTTGCTGCTGCTGTTGAGGGACAAGGAGATTGGGAATTTAGGCTTACTCTTTCTTGAACATTTTGATTGTTATGATTGAGATATGGTTTCGTAAAGTGCTGGTGGTTGTTTGGATGAAGAACCAAATCCAAGGCTTTGGTTTGCGATGCGATGCCCCGCGATCGGGTGGCCTTGCTGTGCCAAAGACGCAATGGAGGGGTAATTACCTACAAGTAAGATTACTTGTTTGTACTTATATACTCGTAAACCTAAATTAGATAAACATACCTACATATAAATCATGGTCTACGTAAGAATCACTTAATTATCATGACACAGTCTGCTTCAAAGCGTAGGACGTCTTTGAATGAAGTCCAGCTTAGACGTCCGCTCCATTTTTCAACGGCTCCAAGATACAGACTACGGTCCCGATCTAAAACGTCGTCCAACATTTGATCAATGTTCACGTCTAGGCCCAACTCCTATTCTCATCTTCCAGGTGATAGTCCTGAGCCTTGTTTTGCTGTTGTAATAGCTTACTTGCTTCTATTATAATATTGTAGCCGCGTCGGACATTCCTTCCCATCATCACCCTCAGGCGTAGCAAATCATCTATATAACATCATCCCCTTATATATCCATCCAGCTTTTCGATTCCCATGAAAATGAAAAGCGAAATTGCATCTTCCAAGCACCCTCCCGCAATAACTGATGCCGGGAGCCAGTCGGTTTTCGTTATTCGTGGCAGGACATCAAACTTGGCCATGGACTCGTGGGAATAAGAGGTAAGTGAAGGTGAAGTTTCGAGAGGGAGGAAGGGAGGGCCGGACTGAAGAAATGAACGTTATGATGAATAAAGAGTCAAAGGCCGTGTTACTATAGGAAATACGGTAGAGGTTTCCTTTACTCTTTGAAAACATGTTAAAAAAACCACCTCTTTCAAAAAACAAAAAGAAGAAGAAAAAAGATTAATATATGCGAAACACCATATAGTGTAAGAACCGCAACTCTAACTGCAGCCGAGGGTAAGGTAGTAGGTATATATAATAATATAAACTTAAATCGAAATACATCAGATGTGTAAAGGTGTACTGGTCTAGGGTTCTGAAAAATCTAATCGTCAAGCTTGCTTGGGGGTGTCCTGACCAAATATATTTTTGGCCATTTATTTAATAGTGCCGCGCGCTTTATTAGACATCTTTTTCTTCCATCTTGGCCCCGGCTATTTGGTGAATGTGAATGTGGATGTGAATAGACGGACGGGGTGGAAATGTAATCAGTCCGCGGCGCTCTTTGGCAGAATTAGTCGTGTGGGTTTCCTCTTTGGGGCGAGGCAGCATTAAGTGAATAGATAACGGGGAGAATCTTTAATAAGATATCATATCTGCGCTTCTACTAAGTGTACAACAGTAATTCAAAAAAGTGCTTAGCTTGTCTGCCAAGGCTTGTCGAACATGTTCGCCTTTTTCCCAGCTACGGGCTTGTTTGAAAACAAGTAGCTAGCTCATTCACATAGTTACCGATGAATGGGAAGCTAGAAACTATTCCTGTCGTACCAAACTGTTTTGTCTTCTTCTTCGTTTCCTTGATCATGAGGGTATAAAGGTCGCTGGGAGCGGTGGTGACACGGTAGATATTGGCATGGTGGTATTAGAAGCTGCTGCTGATTGAATGCAGAGTTCTTCCCATCTCATCTCCTCTTGTTGGATATAAGTGGTGTCAAGTTTGCTTATAGATGTCTGTTATAAGAAAGCAATAAGCACGACAAACCCCACTGGCGGGATTGTATAAGGCTTATAAGGGATGAAGCTGATATGAAAAGTGATGCAAGGGTACGGATGACTGCGCTGTGAGCATAGAAGTTGGACCTAGCTAAAAGCAATTACAAATACCATTAATTGATCTAAAACATCACATAGCCATCAAGAAAACTCTCAGGCCCCATTTGAAAGTTCATCGATTCATTCATTCATACATTAAAAACAACTCCCCCCCCCCCATCCCATTTCCCCTTACTGATGGTTAACATGAGAAACGGTGCCATCCTCTTTCAGGTGAACATTCAACCTTCACAACATCAGCATGAATGAATCCAAGGGAATAAAATATAATGAAGCAGACTCACCTGTTTGGCCTGAAATCCTTGGTGACCATAGAACCTGGCTCAATGACGCGAGTCTCCTCGGGGAGATCTGCTTTCGCAAAGGTCTTCTGGATTTAGTTTCTTTCTTTCTGGACACGGGCGCGCGGAATAAACATACAGTAGCATCAGAACTCGCTCCGATCTTCTTGCCAACTAGCTTGTTGGTCCATTCCTCTGTCTTGGATCCATCGTTGGAGTTGATTCCTGGGACGACGAGAGGCATGTTGAGGGCTTGTTTTGTACTGAAGAGGAGGGTTTGAAGGGTATGTGTATGTGTAGGTACTGGGGTTGCTTGTTTTCTGGGAATGTAAGATTTGATGTTTTTGAGGAGGCTCATGAGATAGGGAAAGATGAATAGGTAGGAATGATTGATTGCGTTACTACTTGTTTGCCTTGATTCATCACAAGGAGGAATGACGTATGCTTTCGATCACGTGGTTACACCAACTGACTCACTCGTGACCTCGGAATGATTCTCTCCCAATCGACATAATTTGAGGATATACTCCTTCTTTACTCCGCCTTCCGTGTGTCTCTTTCCTCTTGAGCCCGGGTCACTTTGCTCCGCGTCCTCTGTTAATTGCCTTGGGGCGGGCGTGAAGAGCAAGCCTTTTAGTCAAGATATACTCGAGTGCTGTCGCACCGATAATTCTCATGTTTCGAATTCAGCCTCGAAGAGAATCAAAGACCATCCCAAACGGTGTTCTGTACTTACTCTGTTACTCGAGTACCACTTCTGGATGGGTAGTAAAGGGGGAACCCCCTTTAGCGGGCTCGGACCTCTTGCCCAATCACAAGTCGAGATCGACGGGGATGGCGCGGACAGTGAAATTACTTCCCAGACTCACAGGCCAAGAAAAGGCTAGCAGGGGGGTAACAAAGCTTCAATGCACCTGGTCATCTTGGCGGAATAGTTACGTTTGTGAGTTCAATGAAGTATCTCGAGGAAAATCAAAATCAAAATCAAAATCAAAATCAAAAGCTTCACGACTAACAGGATCCTGCTACAAGTACTTCGTCTTCCTCATGCAATGCAGTTAAAGTTAACTGTGGAGAATCTTTTTCAAAACCAGCCTCTGCCTCTTCCAGTTACCCCAAGGGGTACGAGGTACGAGTACAACGTGGCGGTACGCGTCTGTTGTCTCCATATCACACGCGGCTGCCCCCAATCCAAGACCTGGATCATGCCTCTACCCGTGGATTGTCCGATATCTTCCTCATGCTACTAATATATTTTACGACGTATAGAGACCGAGTGAGTAAGGATATGCTGAAGTCTTCGCCGCATCATGCCCGCATTGCTTGCTCTTGTGCAAGGCGGCCTATCATATTAGGGCGGAAAAGCCTCGTGGGCTCTCCTCAGCCGCAGCCACAGCTAAAACTTCGGGAGCTTCGCCCCAAGTTTAAAATAAGTATTTTGAGCGCGTCGGACAGGGCGGGTTTGTGTACTTGTATGCGGTGATGCCCGTTTGCTTCTTTCTCTTCTGTAATTGTGTGTGTGTGTCTAATTCGCATTTCTCTTTCTTTCTTGCGTAGCCTGCTTTACTGTGTTACCCTCTTGCGGTAGTATCTCTCTCGCAGCCTCACCACTTCATCCCCAGATCAATCGCAATACTACCACTATCTTATTATATTGTATTGCCTTCGCCAGCATGCGTGCTTCTTTGCTTTTCGGCCTGTTGGCGACAATCACCACGATCTCTGCACTCGACACCCAGTGCGTGAACAGCAATTTCGAAGACATTGTCACTCGGACATCTTGCGGGAACAGCGATTCAATCTCGAAATGTCTGAAAGACAAAGTGCATGCCTTCCGTTTGGAGGACATCTCACCATGTTTTACTTCCCGGGGCTGCCAGAGAGCCGATGCTGTATGGTTTATGCAGGAGTGTATCATGCCTGACACGAGGCAAGAATTGAAGAAGAGGGCTACAACCGCCGATTCCACCACAGATTCTACGACCACAACTGCTGCAAAGACTACCGCTACAACCGCTGCGACAACAAGCACCGAAACTTCAGCTACGACAACCGCCACAACCGCTACAACAGCAGCATCTACAACTGCGAGTGCTGCTTCCTCCACAACAAGCACAGATTCAACAAGCGGTACTTCGACAACCGCTTCTTCTACAAGCACGGGCGGGACCAGCACTACAAGTTCAGCATCCTCAACTTCGAGCGGAAGCAGCTCTTCATCCAACTCCTGCTCCGTAACAAAATTCGTCTCCACCTCGGCCTGCAGCAAGCCCTCGGGAGCCAAGAAATCCACCTGCTCATCAGTAACCATGACGACCTCAACTTGCGCTCCAGGCCTACTTTGCTTCCCAACCTACCTCCCCAGCGGCGCCTGCATGAAGCGCGACGCCCCCCTCACAACCTCCGGCATAGTCGTCGCCATCGTCTTCGGCGTCGCCATCACAGCCGTCATAATCTCCATAATCATCGTGAGCATGCACGCGCGCCGCAAGGCGAAACGTGCGCAGATCAACGCGGCGATGGTCAGCGGATCACTGGGGAAATCCGCTGCTGATGATGAGGGGCCTGCGCCGTACAGGATTGGAGGGGCTTCTGATGCAACGCCGCTCATTACGCCTGGGGGCGGGAGGAGTGAACAGACGCAGTATGCAGGGGCTCATCAGGAATACTTTGGTAGTCGGGGCGCTGGATCCGAAGCTGGCGTTAGTCCGGGTTCTAATCCGACGGCACCGACATTGCCTATTATAAGGACGGAACATTCGGGGGTAGGGGCATTGGGACAGGAAGATTCAACGCATTGGAGCGCTGATTATAATGCCAGGAGGTAGCAGCAGTAGTGAGAAAAATGTGTTGTTTTGGAGTGTAGGGAGTAAAAATGGGAGTTTTGAGGCGTCCGTCATACCTATTTTGATTACGGAATACATAGCTGAATTCGAGGTTTACATCTCGCTTTAACAAGTCTATGTGCTATCTGCGTATGCTTAGTGGGAAAACGGAATTGTAACTATCGAAATTGTCAAGTGCCCTCGTACCTGCCTCTTCTTACTAATCAACCTTCCAAGTGGACCTGAAAGACACACCTACTTGCTTTCCTTCTCCTTCCCCTTCTCCTTATGCCTTTCCTTTTCTTTCTCTATATCAAGATATCTTCCGTCTATCCTCTCCCCCCAACCAATAACACCCATTATGCCCACGCATATCTAGCTTCCCTCTCAGCTCCCTAACTCCTCCCCTCTCATCCACATCCTCAGACATAACTCCAACCTTCCTTCATTCCTCCGCTCTCCCTCACGTTAATCAACTCCCACACCAGTGTTTAACAACCTTCTCTTCTCCAGAAACAGCCCTGTGCATGAGCTCCATGATCATGCAAAGCGGCACTCACTCTCCTAGGATACTTGACTTTCAATCAATCCAAATGTCCCACGCGGCTGACATGCGCACATTATATTATAACAGTGCACATGCCAGCCGCTTTTCTTTCTTCTCTATCTACCGTACGTACCGCAAGGCTTATAAGTTATTTCTTCAAGTAGCCGTAGTAGCGTAGCGCTTTGCTGTGTAACGGTAGATGGCCGTTCTGTAAACACTTACTGTAGAGTCAGAGGAAGTAAATCTCATCATCAGCAAGCATATCATATTACCCCTAGATGGGTACGGAGTCATTTGAATTGGCGCAAGCTTGTTGGGAGTGAGGCATTATCGATACATAACTTGTATTGAAAGTTGAGAATGGAAAGGCAAGATCTTCCGTTGGAAACGAGAGACATAACCTCCCAGGATGTGTCGGTACCGGGAAGCAAAGAAAATTTTGAAGGAGTATGAACCCTGACAATGACAAGAGTTGATTCCACTGGCACGGGGATGGGTGGCAGAAACCTGTGCGAGAAAAGAGGGAAGTGATACATGGATTACGTACGGGAGGTTTGTTAGCAGACTCTTGGGTCTATGAGATGGATATCAGTGGCATGTAAAAGGAAGCTTGACATCTAGTCCGATTGGGGAGTTAGGGGTCGTCACTACTGTGGAATGCTGTTTGTTAGGAAAGGCGACATGTACAATAAATAAATACCACGATAAGAGACAGTCCCTGGTGTCGAGACATGTAGGTATCCTTCCTTGCTTTTCGCATTTGGTTTGATTTGCATCCTTTTTCTCTCGCGGCACTGATTATAACTTTGTACAATGGCTCCCAACCCTTCCCTCCCCTCCCATAACACAACATTCAAGATCAAGCTCAATCCGCCTCCAACCTTCAAAAGAATAAAATTATTCCCCTCCCCATAACCAACAATGTATGCACAAGATTATACCCTCTCCTCTCCTCTCCTCTCCTCTCCAGGATGCGCTGCTATACACACAATCAATCAATAATTCCTCACCAGAAGCCCCCGCACCTCGTGTATCATTTTTTCCTTCTATAGCATATACTCACACATCACATACATACACATTTACGAACACAGTCCCCGCGATATGATGTACAGTAGGCCATTCCTTACGTATGAAATCCTGCCCATGGGCATCAGGGAGCGCCACCATGCTGTAAGGGCACGCATGTTAGGTATGTTTCATGCGTCCTTGTTTGTTTGGTAGGCGTTGACTTGCAGAGCGCGGTGCGTAGAGCGTATAGATGAGGCAGCTTGGCACTGATTAATCTGTTGTTTCGTGCGTGTTTGGAGATCTGGAAAGCGATGGCAATGAATACTTTTTCTTTTTGGAAGGGTGAGCACCTAGTAGGTAGTTAGATACGTTGAGTAGAATAATTAAACACCAATTCGAGATTAGGGCTCGCCCTCCCCCCTTGTGCACCTATGTATACGATATGATTAGGGGTAAGCAAAACACTTTACGAATATCGGATTTCATCTCGACTCGACTGAGTCTGTATAGGATAATAGAGAGACTTGCGTCCCGGTGATTCTTGCTTAACTGGCTATGGCTCTGGCCGGAGAGATGATACTTCTGCTTTTGCTCTGCAGCGACGGGTGTGGGGGAAAAGGGGCTCGCTCGCTTATAGTCACCCCTCTCTAATAAACATACCTTGCTCCACCACCCCCTCTTCAAACACTATTCTATTAAACTTTATCCAGCGCATCCACAATATAAACCTAGTGTACGGTTTATAAGCAACCTCATGCTAACAAGTCAAATCAAATCATATCATATCCCGAAATCATTCATCATCACACTGCAGAAAGACTTTCTCAATAATACGTCACACATGTATATAAAATCTTGAGAATTCAACATCAATCGCACTCAATCCAATTAACCATCTTCTCCCTACCCTATCCTATCTACACAAATAACCCCTCAATCATCAAACCCATTTTTATCATACTATTTCCATATTCGCGGGCCTTCTCCCCCTCCCTCCTTCGGCTACCCCCCCCCACCAAAACAACCCGAGAAACAGCCGCCCCTCGACTCCTGTAACTGACTCAGTCGCGCTTTCCTTTCCAAGCGACCAAGAGACCAAGAGACATCGATCGCCCCGCTACTCGTGCTCGTGCTCCATATATACCCAACCCCAACAAGGCAAGTGAGTAAAAGAAATGTCTCAATGTCTCAATCCCGGGACAACCCGAGGCTCGTTTTAGGGTGGGGGTACGTACTGTACTATCCTTTCCTTATTCGGTGAGATCCGAAACATGCGTCATTTTGCAGAATCTGCTCACTTCAATGTAACCTTTCCTTCGCCGTTACCACTAGTACATCCATTCGGATTTCTCGGAACAATAATAATAGATGGATAACTTTTACAATGATTGATTGATTACATTATTATGCATTAAACAACTCGTGCAAGCTCGGTCGTGGCCTACCCTACGTACATACACTGAGACCGACGGTCCATCATCCGGCAAGCCACGAAGGTAACAACACATCGATCGTATGCAATATGCTCACGCCATTCCACCCAAGCTTATGTATGTATGGTGTCGCTGAAATTTTGGAAAAAAGACAAGGCACCGCTTTGAAAACTCTGCCATGTGCTTGATCCATAATGCAATTCAATGAACTTGAAGCCATGTACAATCCATCATCGTGCCAATATCAACAGATAGAGCAACGCTATAGTCCGTCGCCTTCAATCGACCCCTTAGTCAATTTGACGTTGCTTCTTCATCAAGCCATCAATCTTGAAGCCCAGACTCCGCCTAAATGCAAATGTTACTCCGGCCCGATGCGTGCGTGTAAAAAGGAACTCGTGATAAACGCAAAAGGAGATGCTCTTTCCGACCAGCGAGTGTAAGAGACGATTTACAAGTCGAAATGCCCGCCGTTGAACATGCTACTATCTTCGCCATTGTTTGTCTTCACAATACCACTCATACGATCGCTTCGTCGGTTATCGGGGGTATTGAGGGGCTCCTCCCAGTCTTGTTCTCGCTTCTCTTCTTCATCCATCTCATCGTAGTCTGCTTTCACTCCTCTGTTTTGCATATGCTCCTGAATATGCTCATCAAAAGAACTTTCATCAACAAATGTGAAGCCCTTGAAATTGGCTTGCATCCCAGGAGAAAGAGGTGTTGATGTGTCAACCCCAGCTGCAAGAGCAGCGGCCCGGGCGTTGAGCGAGGATGGTCCGTTCAGTGCATTTGTGAACTCAGGATCAAAGTTCGAGGTATCTGTCTCCGACTTCAATTTCGGTTTAAAGGGCGGCGTAATCAACTTTTTAGTCAGATCATCCCAGTTAATATCAGAGAAGAATGGGTGTCTTTTCAACTCCTCAGCATCATCTTGTGCTCCTAGTCTGTGCTTTGGATTACGGTTCAAAAGTCCCTTAACAAAGTTGCGTCCTTCGGTGGTTAGAGTGTCCCTGGGGAATCTGACCTTTCCGAAAGCGATGTTCTTGTACATTTGCTGGGTGTCTTCGGCATAGAATGGACTCCAGCCACAGCACATCTCGAACACAAGAACTCCCAACGACCAAAAATCTACCATTTTTGTGTATCCGGCTTCGTCCAAAAGAACTTCAGGGGCCAGATACTCCGTAGTGCCACAGAATGTGTTGGTCGTCGCGTTCTTGGTCAAATTCGCTTTTGAAAGACCAAAATCACACAAAGCGATGTGGCCATTGGCGTCCAGTAAGATGTTCTCTGGCTTCAAGTCCCGATATACAATGTCATGCATGTGGAGGTGTTGGAGGGCTAGAATAAGTTCCGCGATGTAGAACTTCGCTCGCTTCTCGTCGAATCGCCCCTCCTTTTGTAGGTGCCAGAACAATTCTCCTCCAGACATGAAGTCCGTAACCAGGTATAAATCAGATGGTGTTTGGAAAGAAAACTTTAGGCCAACAATGAAGGGCGAATCTGCCATTGCTGTTCTGACCAGGATGTTTCGCTCTCCAACGGTATGTGCTACTTCTTTCTTTTGGACAATAACCTTCTTCTGAAGGACTTTCATAGCATAAATACGCTTCGTATCCTTCTTTCTCACTTGATAAACTTGTCCAAAGGTTCCCTTGCCAATAAGCTTCAAGATCTGGAAATCTTCAGGTCCATAATGCCGTTTTTCGGTCCGTTGAAAGGTAATCTCGACGAATATTTCTCCGGAAGGTCCAGTATCCATACCATTCTTGCCTTGAAGTGTGTACCAGCCGCTGATGGGCGAGTTATCATTCTCCGTAAGATTGGCTGCGAGATCGACGTGGCCAAGGAATTCTTCAGCCGCGCTACTCTGGTCATATATTGTTATATTTACACGGGAGTCAGAGCCAACCACATCGCTGACAGTTTATTAGCATTACATCCCGACTTACGCTTCAAGAACTTACAATACAGCTTCCGTATCCCACTTTGGATTGGTAAATGAGCGGCGACCTTTTGACTTGAAATCACGATATTCTGACAGACTGGTATTGCTACTTTGTCGGCTCTTCATCGGAATCGCCATAGGCCGGCCAGAATCGCTCCCTGACCGCATTATTGGGATACCGCCCATCATAGGGTTACTCGTAACCTCCTCGTTTTCATCTCGATCCTCAGGCAACGGGCCCTTTGAGACAAGCTCGTTCCTTTGGAAGACGGCAACGACATATGGATCTCTACTTTTTCGTAACCCTCGGGCCTCGGTAATTTTGACAGTGAGTTTTCCTTTGGGAGCCGCGACTGGTGCTCCGCTCACGCCAGCCGATGTTTGGATAGGTAGAGCTTCGCCAACGTTGGCCTTGCCGTTTTCACCATTTCCATTTCCATTTCCATTTGCATTTGCAGCCGCGGCCGTCGCCGCAGCCTCTGAGCCGCCGCTCGTATCAGATTTCGCAGTCTGGTTTGACAATGCACGTGTCGGAGTTGGAGGTATGCTCTTTGTACACGGAACGTCATCTGTTAGCTTCTTGAGCCGATCATAAGATGGTGATTCATGGAAGGGGACATCTAAACGGGAGTGAACAGGGGTGCTAGGTGTAGTGGCGGGGTAAGGATCGCTGGGGTTCGAAAAATGTGAAGCAAGTACATTTGACGCTGTCACAATGCTTGAAAGTGGTAACAAGGAGGCTCTTCGAGCATGTGACGGAATTGATTCCGAAATGCTCTTCTTGTGCGCGGAGAAAGAGGAGGTAGTGGCTCTCCTTGCCGGAGCAGCCTCCTCTTCAGAAGCAGAATGGCTCAAATCTGACCTGTGCATAGAAGGCGAATGGGAAACGGGTGGTGTTGGGTATGTGTGGAAGCCATTTTCTTCCGATTTCCCGGACGCCTGAGGAGGCTCCACCCGCTCTTCTTGAGAGACTTGGGAGGCATCTTCAGTTTTACCCTCGGCCGCAGTCTCATTGATTGAGTCTGGACCGACTGGTAAATGCGCCGCATCACCACTCATATTCTCCAGGGCGCATGAGGGTAGGGAGTTCTCGGGCTTGCTTCTTACTGCCAAAGAGGGACTCGCAAGGGGACCAGAATGAGAGCCCGCATTTGAATTGATATTGGGATTGGAACTGGGCTTGGGCTTGAAATTGGAATTTGTAGAGGAACCTAAACCAACCTGTCCGAAGTATTGCATTATTCCAGGCAATCGTTTGTCCGAAGGATCGGGTTGCGGTGTAGCGACACCGGAGCGGGGAGTGTCGGAGTCGATATGGTCGTTGGCGTCATCGTCACCTCTGCGAAACTCATTAGCAAGAGCCATTTTGAAAATATCTCGCAATGGTTCTTTGACGCGAGCGAGGCATTGAGGTATAGAGGTATAGTATAGAAAGGTAGAAGATTGACGTCGGAGTAACGGAGGATGTGGATATGAGGATGGAAGGAGGAGACAAGATGAAGGGTCAATGCTCTAGCATTATTTTCCTAGTTTTTTTTTTTCTTCGGTGCGAAGCAGATTGGGGGGAAAGCGAGCGCCTTGTACGGTACGGTACGGTTCGCTGGCATCATCTAAATATTTGGAGCCACGGACTGATTGATTGCCGCTACGATAAGGCCCGACGAGATGTAGCCGGGACCCCTCGTCAAGGTGACCTTGGCTTGGAAAGCATGTGCAGTGCGTGTGTGCGTGCGTGCGCGCAGGCAGGCAGGCAGTGGAGTGGAGTGGAGTGAGTGCAGTGCGCTGAGAAACATCAAAATGAAGGGGACCAGCACCAGCAGCAACAGATGAAATGAAACAGTGGTCAACCACCGGGTGCCGCAAAGAAAACAGGGCAAATGAGGGTGATATGCGTCCAGCTGCAAGCAAGCCCTTTCTGCGCGAGATGCGTGTATACGTATGTTATACACGCATGTAATGTATATATGTGCGTGTGTGTATGTGTATCGGCCCCTTCAAACTGGAGAGAAATTTGAATGTATTCTTCGCCTGCGTACCTTGCCATCATTGCTTGCGTAGCCTGCTTGAGCAGGTCGCTCTCGGTTCCGGCCATCGCGAACTCGAACTGCTCGTTGGGAGAGCTGCGGAGAGGTTGGTTGTGTCAAAATAGTCGATCTTGGGTGGTGATAGTGGTGGGGTGAGTGGTAGATATGAGTTGAGGTGATGGTGGATGACGAAGTACTTGTACTGGCAGTGAGTGGCACTGGCGAACAGGTAAGTCAGGTAAGTAAGTATCTGTAGGTACCTCGAGCTGGCAGAGAACAGTTAGGAACGGTCTCGAAGGAAGGCGGTGGCGAGTGTTGGACGCGCTGCGGATGGTCTGGAATGCGCAGTACAGTGCAGTATAGGGTTGTACAGCGCAGCGCAGATTATATGAAGCTGGAGGAAGACCACAGCGATTCGGATTGGTGATGCGATGTGATGCGCGGAAGGAGCGACTCGGAAGGTTCAAATCTCGAATCTGGGGCCCGACCGAGTCTAGTGCACGAGAGTTCAACGGACACCCTCAACCCAAACCTCTCAACCCTGACTTGACTTGACTTGACTTGACTTGACTTGACCGTCGCGACGAAGCCGTAGTGAATATTTGGATATACGGTATATCAATCTCACCACAAAATAACAACTTATTAAGTCGTCGCAAAGTCCGGATGGAAGGGAGGGTAAATGCAAAGCTACTAGTATATACCCATCTATGAGCGCAATAATCTTCCGCCTGGCCTGGGTACTAGGTAGCTAGCCAGCCAGCCAGACAGCCAGACAGCCCAACCTAGTCAGTCAGCCGGAGTCTCCTGAGTAGCGAAAAGTCTCCTGAGTAAGGTAAAGGTGAGACCTGACAGCAGCGGCAATACCGCGATTCACAGGGAATGTGCCGCTGACTCGTCGACGATACTGATCTATGCTGGTCCTTGTCTGGCAAATTGCCGTTGTTTGCTTGAGAATATGGCAATTATAATAATAATAGATCACGAATGAGGCTTCAAGTTAGCTTAGTCGATTGGAGATTGGAGGAGCCTCCAGGAAGCTTTTATGGAACTTCGCCCAGGATAGGTGAGATTCGGGAGACTTGGGAGAAGGAGTGGGATATTTGGAAATTGGGAAGAATGGGAGTGGGATTGTTGCAGTTGAGTGGTACTTGTAGTCGCAGTGGATTGGATTGGATTGGATTAGGATCGGGTCATGGCATGGCATGCTACTGTACCTTAGAGAGTGAAGAGTTCTTTTGAAGTCTCAACGCCAACGACTATGCACATCTCACGCAAGAAAGAAAGAAAAAGAAGTCGTGTTTGTGTTCCCCGTCCTGTCTGCTGCCGTGGGTCTTAATACGTCATGGCACGTCGGGTTGAGATGCCATCCATACACCCAGCATGAGTGATGCTATTTATATGTTACTGGTACTGGTACTACTACCGTCCTGGTATAGAGCGAGTAAATAGACCGAACAGCTAAAACTTCCGTACAGTACGAACAGTACATACACACCGGCAGAACGCAGCGTCACACCGAACTTCTACTGTATATACTCACTCGATCAAGCTGACAACAATATAGAATCTGCATCTCAGCCCCCTATACGAATTTCGTACGAATCGATACGTCAGCCTCGCTCGACACGAAGCTGACCTAAGACTTAACTCAAATGTAACACTGCACCGGAGCAGCGCAAACATACGTCCACTATATTCAATAAGTAGAGATGGTTGTCAGACGGTCAGACGGATGTCCTGGTCCTTCATCACCCATAGTACCTACCTAATATGATCTGCGTAGAGGGCCTGCGAGAGGGATGCGCGAGGGCCACGAGCTCGTTACTCGTACCTTCTGGAGATTTGAATCATTGATCCAGATTGACTCGGGCGCGTTGCCGACTGGATCTGTGACCTAGATTTCAGGCGACGGAAACCTGAATCTCCTTGCGTTTGTGACTTCGGAGAGCGCTATGATGGGCGAGACGTAGCCTATGGCTGTGCGAGGTGAAGCCTTACATGAAGCGAATGTGACGGCGCTTCAGTGTATCCAGTGGTCGAGGCTGCCAGTGGAATGCCACAATCCTAATCCCCGGAAGCGGATGTCACGATGGTTCCCAGCTCGTCTAGTGTTGTTGATCGAAGTTCGAGTTCAGCTGTTGTGAAATCCCATGTGAAAATGTCGGAACAACGTCAGCGAAAGGAATGAACCACTAGAACCAAATGTAGCCGCGCCGCGCCTTATACTCTCAGATAGCTAGCGAGTCCCGTGACTATAAAGTATCCACTTTCTAGAGCCGTAAGCGGTTAAGCGTCCTCAATATTGAGAGCCTCACCTGCAGTTTCACGCGGCGACCCAGACCCAGACTACCGCGACAGTCAGAGAATGAAGTATCGCCAACGCGCGCATAACACTGAGCGTCACTGAGTCTTCTCGACACCGTCAGAATGGGTAGACGACCTGGGAGAGCAGCTGCAAAGAATGCTGCGGCAGCATTGAGTAAGTTTGCCCGTTGCAAAACTTCCGGCGCATTCGAAGAGACATTAACAGCCAATCTTGTAGAAAACACCCCGCAGTACGATGAGGACGAGCAAATGCCAGATGCTCCCAGCCCTGAGGCAAGTAGCCCACAGGAGGGAGTAGAAGAAGACAATGCAAACGAGGAAGAAGAAGATGGCACGCCGGCACTGGAATCCGATGCTCCAGTAACTCCTGTTCCTGAACCTGTTCCCCGCAAACGAAGGCTGGGACGACCACCGAAGAACAGACCCGCCGATTGGGATACACAAGATGTTGACGGCTCCGAAGCCGGCACTCCAGCAAGACGAGGACGAGGAAGAGGAGGTGGCTTTGGACGTGGTGGGCGTTGGGCTCGTCGAGGAGGACCTTCGCATGTAACACAACAACCAATCGACAAGGAAGGCAACATGATGGATGTTATCAATGATGAAGTCGGATTGCCAGAGGATCCTGAAGGGGAAACCAAAGTCGATAAAATGGGCTATCTTCAGGATGATCGCCAATATCGATGCCGTACCTTCACTGTGCTTGGCAGAGGGACCCGACTTTACATGTTGTCAACCGAACCTGCTAGATGCGTTGGCTTCCGCGACAGCTACCTCTTCTTCACCAAGCATAAACGACTCTTCAAGATCATTATTGACGAGGCCGAGAAGCATGACTTAATTGAGCGTCATCTCATCCCTCATTCCTACAAGGGTCGTGCCATCGGAATAGTCACAGCTCGCTCAGTATTCCGTGAATTTGGCGCCCAAATTATTGTAGGTGGAAAGCGTGTCATTGACGACTATGAGGTTACAAAAGTCAAAGCGGAAGGGGCTGTTGAGGGAGAACTCGCCGATCCTAATGATCGCTTTGAGGATGGTAAGCCATATAACAAAAACCAATATGTCGCATGGCACGGAGCCAGCTCGGTCTATCACTCTGGTGCTCCGACAGTCCCAGCACCGGGTGGTAAGGTTGCGCCTGGTCAGAAGAAAAAGGTTGCCATCACAGATGTCAACTGGATGTATGAACATGCAAAGGCTGCAAGGTTCGTAAAACCATCTACTCTTACCATGTTATATATTGACACTTCCACAGCGAATTCAATGCCAGAATTGCGCTTCAACGCAAGGCTAATCTCAATGGCGTTTATGATATTCATACCAACATGTTGCATTATCCTAAGATCATGCAACCAACTCATGCTCGATGGGAGCAAATTGACGACTATGAGGTCCAAGAGAAGATCGAAAATGGCGAAATGGAGGAGCCTAAAGCGGACGAGACTATGTTCACACCTATAGATCCTGTAATTTCCCGAAATTACATGGTCGTTGATACCGTCTTCGAAGCCCCTCCTTATAATTATCCCAGTCGGCTAGTTCCCGGTCCAGACGGCGATAGTTTTGACATAGGATTCAATGGCTTGTCGGGCGTTTCAGATGATGTCAAGGCCTGCCTTCCACCCGAGTGCCGTGCGGCTTTCGAAGAAGCTCTCGAGAAAGAGACGGGATGGAAGAACAAATGGTCTGGTGAGGCCGTGGATGGCCATCGTCGCATGCCGAAGATATTCCTCGGTCAAGTCTAGGAGACGAGCAAGGAAAATTCCACTGCCGAAATGATGGTAATCATGGATGCAGCTTTGTATAATTAGTGGGCGTTGGAGGGGCGTAAATCGCAAAGGTGGTCAAACGAACCGCTTTTGGGGTGGAGTAGGCCGCATGGCGTTTCCTGAAAGTCTTCCATCTTGGACGAAGCATCTCTAGTAATATGCACTGGTATAGGGTATTGGAGAATAAAATAACATGGACAACCACTGTTTTAGGTGTTGTGAGAAAAGCCTGTGAACCGTCCAGTGTCTGTCTTGATTCAAAATAATTCTGGAAATCTATATCCCTAGGCATACACCATCCTAGTTTAGTGGTGCTTTCCGGCCTATTACTTTGTAGATTCTTCTTTAAACATATAGGTAAGAAAGCATATATAAAATATAACTTACTATGGTAATGATTTACCATGCTAAATCACATCCATTTCATCTGACCAATCGTATGAAGGAGCTAGTAAATCAAGCGCGAGGCTGAATGACTTCAAGAGCAACCCTCTTATATCCAAAACACCACCGCAACAAAAAGCTCCCAACGTTCACATAATCAAGTTCTTACCAAAATCCCAGTCTTTCAATCCCCAGCAGCAAACACTTCAAATCTCCAACATTCCAACCACAAAAAAAAAACCCCCCTTCCAGCCAAACACAAGTTAGTTTATGAGTCTTACAAAATCAAAATGTCTCCAAGAAACGATACACTTCTCTCCCAATGCCTCGCTCAAGCCGAGTTGTCTCCTCTGCACTACCGCCATGGCGCAATCATTGTTCGCGGCGGCAAGGTCATTGGCCAGGGCTTCAATTCGTACCGTCCAGGTTTCGATGGTGGTGCTCTTAAGACCGGCACACTTCCGTTCGCCTCCCTTGATGGAGTAGCCATCGCTGAGCTCAAGCAGCGCTTGAAGTCTAAGCCGGACCGTAAGTCCAAGTCGACGTTGGATAATCAGCAGGACTCGGGTACTTTCACGCCTTTTGAGTCCATGGGCCAAGGTCACAACGCCAACACGCCCTTGTCTCTTCATTCCGAGATGATGGCTATTCAGTCCGCCCTATCACTCTCTTCTGGCGCCCTGTCCTCTCAGACGTCAGCACGCTCCGCAAAGTATTACCAAAAACCGTGCTTCTCCTTATCAGGTGATTCTAAAAACCGTAGAGCACGAGCCCGCGGTCTCAAAGCATACGCCGAGGCCATCTGCACAGAGGCTACCGAGACCGGTACTGTCAAATCATACAGTGGCAAGTTCTCTCTTCAAAAGCAGGGTTTTGAACCCCGTACATCTCAACCAGGTGTCCAAGGAGAACAACGACAAGTCCAACAACAAGGAGGAGGACAGCGGGTTTCAGGAGGCCAAGGAGGACGTGGCTTCGAACACATGGAAAACTACAGAGAAACACCGAATGAAGAAGAACGAGTACAAGTACTACGAAGATCATCACAGGACTCAGCCTCACTACTATCATCACACGGCTCAACAGAAGCACTATGCACATAAGCGCAGTTCGGAGCCGCAAAGCTCTAAGGATCTAGGAGAGAACACTGCATCGACAGGCTCGCAGCCATCAAGCCAGTCGGAGACATCAAGCAGCGATGATAATTCCAGCCCAAAGAAAGTCAAGATTAAGGTAAGTGGTATCTACCACCTCGCAACATACACTAACAGGAATCAGCCTTCCAGGAAGTCGCCCCCGCTTCCTCCAAAGACAGAACAAATCCTAGTTACCAAGAAGTCAACCCTAAACTCCAAGCCCTCAGTCGCAGCACGCACCAAAGACCTGCGCCTCAAGGGCTCCGACCTCTACGTTGCTCGCCTAGGAAATTGCAAAATATTTCCCACAAAGCACAACAGGCCCCCATATCCCATCCCAGATACAACTCAACCTTCACCCCCACCCCCCAAATCCCCCACCCACATCCCTATCCCTCCACGACGAGCTATCCACGCTCTCCCGCTCTCCCTCCCCGCCTTCTCCGCCGACCGAACCGCCGCCCCCCAAGCCCGAGATTAGAGCCTCACGCCCATGCTACCGATGTGTGTCCGCCATGCATGCTGTAGGCATCAAGCGCGTGTTCTGGACGAATGTGGACGGGGAGTGGGAGGGTGCTAAAGTACGGAACTTGATTGAGGCGCTTGAGGGTGGTGGAGGCGAGGAGGCGAGTGGAGAAGGCGCGAAGGTTGACAAGGGGATTTTTGTTACGAAGCATGAGGTGCTGTTATTGAAGAGAGTTATGGGATTTTAATTGACAAGCTTAGTTGTGTTTTCAAGAAGGAGGTGCGAATTTATTACGTTAGTAGGCATAGCATGCCATGAAACATTCTTTTGCAATCCTTGGATGATGCCTGAATGCTACTTTGAAGTATTAATGACCGTACAAAATATGAAATCTAGTAGTTAAAAAAAAACCAGGGGAAAGTAAAGGAAACATGAATAAAAAGCACATACAAGAAAAGGGATAAATAAGAGTAAGACTGGTAGAAAATGATATAGTAAGCAGTGGGCAGAAAAGTTAAGAATAGCTTCATGCAAAAGGTATAAACCGAACCGGAAAATATTACTAGAAAGGCTAGTATGATACCTAACGGCTCATTCTTAACATGGCATTAAAATAATAAGGATGAGTAAGGTTAAGACAGTTGTATCTATAAATCACAAATCCACGTGACACCGCGCCAATGACTAAACGAAGAGGCTTACCCTCTCCTCTCCTCGCAACCCCACACTACGACAGCCTCATCACGCATCAACCAATACAACGACACCCAGAATCAAGTATTGCTAGCTAGTGCTAGTGAGAGGTGATCACGCCTGTGGTTAATACCAACAGATACTCCGTAATGTGGCATTTCAATGTCACATTTGATGGCTGTGATGGCTGCTTGCCAGCGCCTATAGTACCAATATTCCCGCATACATATCGCTCCAAAGGGCAGCGAATCCCAGCCGTGTCACCCCAATATATGTATGACACCTCAGCAGTCGCTGGCTGGGCGTTTTTGAGCTCAGCCTTACATCGGGCTTTCTGTCTGTCCTTTACTTTAATGCACTGCTATTCTGCTCATTTAAATCGACAGTTAATACACTGACTCCATTTTCGAGCCTCACGATACTCCTGAAGAGGCAGCGTATTCAGATTTTACAAATAAATTGCACTCTACACCGTAACATATTTTAGTCCACAACATGGATGGTCTCAGTGCCGCCGCGAGCGTTGTAGCCCTTGTTCAAATCTCGGGACAGATCTACAATTTGTGTCAAACGTATTACTCGGGGGTAAAGAGCGCGAGAGAGGACATTCGCCGTCTTCGCGACGAGGTGACGTCTCTGCAGGATGTTTTGAACGGCGTGGCCGACCTGGCTGATTCTCCTGCTTCAGCCAAACTTGCCGTTCTGGACCTCCTCAATCAGCCTAATGGCCTCGTTGAGCAATGCCGGACAGAGTTGGCAGGTTTGATTACGAAATTAGCAGATGGGCAAGGAGACGGTAAAATGAAAAAGTTTGGATTGAGAGCACTGAAATGGCCCTTTACAAAGAAAGATGTTGATGCGACTATTTCCATCATTGAAAGGCAAAAGGCTCTATTCCATTTAGCTTTCACGACAGACGTAACGTAATTCTCCCTCTCGATATTGAGAATGCATGCCCATTTTTAACTCGCACAGGACTCTAACTGTCGCTATTGATCAAGGCATTACACAGCTGAGGCACGACCTCGCAGCCTCACGAGTTGATGATCAACGAGATAAAATTATCAAATGGCTGTCCTGCACCGACCCATCTTCCAATCATTTTGCCGCTTGCAAGAAACACCAGCCAACGACTGGAGAGTGGTTCACAAAAGGGTCCAACATAAAAGAATGGATGGAAACACAGAATTCACTACTTTGGCTCTACGGGATACGTTGGATATCCCCATTCTAATTTAGCTAGAGACCCGATGCTGACTATCTATAGCGGGATGTGGGAAGACTATCCTGAGGTAAATGTATGCATTCTAGTACTAGAAATTTGCCGCTTACTATGGGGCATTTAGCTCGACGATTATTGAGCAAATGAAGTTACATTGCGACAAACCGGATTCTGCTCTTGCATATTTTTATTTCGATTTCAGTGATTCTGAGAAGCAGAAATTATCAAATCTTCTGTCCTCCCTGCTAGCACAGCTCTGCAGCAAAGCTGCCTGTCTGCCCGAACAGATGACAGAGTGGTATAAGAAATGTGGCAATGGTCAGCACAGGGCATCTGTCAAAGAACTCAGCGATGCACTATCGATAATGATGTCAGAGTTTGATGATCAAGTGTTTCTTGTCATCGATGCCCTGGACGAATTCGCAAGAATCGGGGAGAGGGACGAACTGTTGACGCTACTCGAGGATATCCATTCATGGTCATTACCCAAAGTACACTTGATTGTGACTAGTCGACCCGAGCCAGATATTGATGCAGTATTAATGCCGCTGAGCAAACCGGAAGCGATTTCCGTCCAGGGTTCTCAGGTCCAGTCGGACATCAGTCTTCACATCAGAAGCCAGCTTGCAGAAGACCCGAAATTAAAGAAGTGGCCAAACGAAGTAAAGGTGGACATCGAGAAAGCCCTGAGCGCTCGAGCTGACGGAATGTAAGTGATTATCATTCTATATAGATTACAATACCTCATAACCATGCGTCCAGGTTTCGTTGGGTATTCTGTCAACTGGAGGCACTGAAGAAATGTAGAAAACGTGACGTGTTACTCAAGACTTTGGATGATCTTCCAGAGACGTTGGATGATACATACGCACGAATTCTGTCCCAAATAGACAAGAATGATAAGATGGAGGCTCGCAGAGCATTACTGTGGCTAGCGTTCTCAGCAAGGCCCCTCCGTATCGAAGAACTCGCCGAAGCTGCTGTCGTGGATCCTGAATCGGACTCGCCATTCAGCCCAGAAAATCGCCTCCTCGATCCTCACGGTGATATCCTCGAGATTTTGGGCAGTTTAGTTAATATTTCCGCGAAACCCGCGCAACGTGGCCTGGATGACGGTGTTTCAAATGACATTTATTCAGATGACATTTATTCGGACGACATTTATTCAGACGATATTTATCCAGACGACATTTATCCAAACGACATTTATCCAAACGGGAGGGGAGAGGACGGGTACAATATCGAATATGAACCAGAATATAGCTACGAATACGAACCAACAGAGATCAAATTAGCTCATTTTTCAGTCAGGGATTACTTGGTCTCTGAGCGAATTCAGGCTTCAAAGACGGCAGTCTTTAGCGCTACTCCTGTGGAAGGGAACAGTTTCATCGCCAAAAGCTGCCTCCTATATTTTTTTTATTTTGCGGAGTGGGCCAAATCCACCGGTTTTGTTTCCGGCGTAAAGTATAACGAGTTTCCACTTTTTTTTTACGCATACCGGCTTTGGTATAATCACACAATGTCTATCCCTGCTAGCAACAGAATGTCGGTAGATCTCATAGCCTTCAAACTACTTGTTTCGGATACGGCGTCTATAGGCTTGGGCTTGTTGCGAATTGGTCCCTCCTTTCCACATAGGTCACACAGATCAAGACCGACGGCTCTATACTTCGCGTCGGGACTTGGTCTCGAAGGGGGAGTGCGTATGCTGCTAGAATTGAAAGCAGATATCAACGCAACGAATAATAGCTCGGGAGATACAGCGCTTCAAATTGCAGCTAAGCGAGGACACGAAGGTGTAGTGCGGTTATTGCTAGAGAATAATGCAAACGTCGAGGGCGTCGGAGATACAGCGCTTCAAATTGCAGCTAAGCGAGGACACGAAGGTGTAGTGCGGTTATTGCTGGAGAATAATGCAAACGTCGAGGGCGTCGGAGATACAGCGCTTCCAGTTGCAGCTGAGAGAGGACACGACGGTATAGTGCGGTTATTGCTAGAGCATAATGCAGATACCGAGGTAGAGGATAGATTTGGACAGACAGCGCTACAACTTGCGGCCAAGAAAGGACACGAAGGTCCAATGCGGTTATTGCTAGAGCATAATGCAAACGTCGGGGCGAAGGATGGAGTTGGATTGACGCTATTATATAGTGCAGCTGCTTCTGGCCACGAAACAGCGGTACGAGTACTACTAGAGCACGGGGCGGGCTCACGTCAACGAGAAGGTTTGCGATTTGACAGCGCTACACGGAGCAGCTCGCTATAACTTCGAATCAGTAGTTCAAACTCTAATAAAAAAGGGAGCGAACATCAATATCAAAGATGTAGATGGGTTCACTGCGCTGCATGTAGCATATGTACATGGACATCAGGGAATGGCAAAACTATTGATAGATAAAGGGGCGGATGTTGACGAAGTGGATAATCAAGGAAGGACACCGCAAGAACTCGGAATCGCAGCGGAACAGAACCACACGCTGAGATATGCCCCCTGGTGATTCAACAGCGTAGCAGCTGGCATATAATGAGCAGAAGATCCAGATTCGAATGAACGGTCATAGGTCTTGAGGGCGTTTAAGGGACATCAGGGGCTTCATAGGAGTATTAAAGCACCGCTCCGAGACAAACGCTCCGGGACAACTTGAGTTTGATCGTGACTAACTTGGAAGCAAAAGCTGACCCATTCCCCAACTTCGAGCACAGTCATTCATTCATTCATTCATTGGGCTTTCCAAAAACGATGATTCCCAACCTTACTTGACAACGCCCAATAATATTCCAAATAAAAGCCTCGCACTCTCTCGTTTTCTCGCCTACATACATACGAAATCCAACTTCAATGATAACACAATGTTTGGACACGAAAGCCACAGAACTCGCGAAAAGCACAACATACTACAACACAGCAGTTGTCCTGATGGCTATCCATGGATCGAGAACCTGCTCGAAGGCGGCTACAACTGCATCGAAAATGAATGCTACCTCGACGAAGACGGCCAAATGTACTTCCTCCAAGACTTCGAAGACGCTTTCCCAGACCACAGAGCATTGCAACGAGAAGCGCTGCAAGGCATGCAAGACAGAGACAGGGAGCGAAGACTGCAGATATTCTGGATGACTGTGGGAGCGAACTTCGCATCTACAATGGACAGAGGCTCACGGGTCTTGGTCTCGAAGGCCCGACCGGATAGACCGCGGCTTATTGTAAGTAGAACAGAACAAGAGGAAAAGGACAAGAAGAAGTCCTTTTTAGGCAGACTCTTTGGAAAGAAGTATAAGCCCGAACTGGAGGAAAGGCCTGAGAGCTCGAGACACCGTTCTAGGCATACCGGGATCGAGCCCGATGGGGCGTGGACTCCACCACCTCCTTATCAGTCGCGAGAGAACTTGTCTTTGAAACGTGGATCATCCAGACACGAGTCTTCGAGGCGTGAGTCTTCCTCGAGACACGAGACATCAAGAAAAGACCCGTCAAGGCATAGCTCAAGAAACGAATCATCAAGGCCACCTACCCATACCTCCAAGGCACCTTCTCGACGCCCCAGCATTGCCAACAATCAGGAGCCTTCCAATCAAATAGGAAACCTCCCAATAAGGTCGAAATCATCTTCCCGCCGCCACCACCCCTCCTCATCCTCAACACACGCCTCAACACAACCACCACCCCCGCCGCCGCCTCTTCCCGCCACTTCCTCTCGACATCCAACAAAATCACCCAAAAACAACTCTATTCCCCTTCCCTCAACATCATCCTCTCGCCACCCCTCCAAACCCTCTGATACACCATCCCACCAAGAAGAACTAACATCCTGGGAACAACGACAAAAAACCCCAAAAGTAAAATCTGCTGCTAAGACAATGGGCACAGTCAAGACCGAAATGTATAAGATGGGCGATATGGCGAGGACGTTTGTCGAGGGGCAGCATTAAGACAGGCGTTTGAGGTTGCACTTGTAATGATCTGAGATGGAGCTGAAGTTCTTCGTTATTGTAGCATAGACAACGACAAGGAGATAGAACAGAATCAATAGCACTGGACTTACAAAACCCCCAACTGTAGCCATCCATAAGTACAGTACTACCAGACTTCGATGGAGCAACTCATACATACCTCCCCTCCTCCCCACATCTCCATCTCAAAACCAGACCCTACCTCCCACGCCAATTCCCGACGATAACCGGTATGAAAGTTCCATTCTACCTCTTCCATTACTGCATACTAAAAAACCAATCGAGCACCGCCTACCTGTCTGCATACATACATACCCCCCACCAACCCCATAAGAAACCAGCCACAATACTAAAGTACCTACCTCCGTAGGTAACTAACTGCCCGCATGACTCAACACGCACACCCCACTCCACTTCACTCAGACGTACCTCCGTACAATTAAGCGCCTAGGAGCCCAAAGATCCACTTGGATGACAATTACAATTAACAACAGAAAAGAAGAATAATACGAGGATTTCTCCATTGGTCTTGCCGTGGGTTGTGGTGTGGTGTGCATTCAAGAATGGGGCCTAACCCTAGATATCCACTGTGGATGGTGGATGGTGGATCTTGAGCGATGTCGGCGAAGGGGGGACGGCACAATGAATAATTGAATGAATGATGGGAGCTTTGAAATAATAGATGAAAAGGTAAACCAGTGCCAGTGGGAGGATATGTCATGTCATGTACCTGGGTAGTTACCGGTAGTTACCTAGCCAAGAATGGCCGAGAAACGTGGTACTGTATATCCAATTCCAATCACATGATATCAACTCCAAAATCAATCTCGAAGGCACAACGTCTTCATTAATCTAAGAGTCACCGTCCATCCTTCTACTCGCTTTCTAAAAAGAGCTAGAATCCAGAAGACAACAAAGCCAGACCTCAGATACCCCGAGAGAAAAAAATCAGGCACTCTCATAATGTCATATCCAGCCAGGCAGTTATAATTGTCTCTCCCATCCTCATCCAGTGCGAAAAAGAGCTCTGCAAACCCAAACCATGTAAAGTTGCCCCCAGCCCCACTCCATCTTCCATGCTTTACTATTCCCCCCAAACTATGCCGGTGACGATCGTCAGAGAAAGAGAAAGGCCCAGCAAAGAAAGCCAACCCATTAGCCTCCCATCTGAAGTTCGCCATGAATCAAAAAGAAACGCAAATCAAATCCCATCCCACCCATTTTTTGTGCATGCCAGCTCCCCTCAGCGAAAGCCAGCGAAATCCAATATCGGAAATCCATTTTTACAAGAAGTTGAACGAAACTGGTCCTGTCTTTTTGAGGCAAATGAAAAAAGCAAATGAAAAAGCCGCCTAATTACAAATTTCTGCGTAGCGAATCGAAGAAATTGGCAGGCCATATGTTTTTTTGTCGGACCCGAGTGGTCGAGTCTAGAAGTCTAGAAGATCGTGAACGTGCCAGAAGAGAAAAACCATCGAATTAATTCCATGCACGCAAAAGCAAGAGTGCCTCTCCCTTGAAAACCAAAACACCTGGCCGGAGTGCCATCCAGTCCATGCCATCCGAAAGACAAACGAAATATCTAGAAGTTCGCTGATGCAACGCCGTTATAATATGTGTAAGAAGAAAGTCGTAAGATCGAGGCAGCCACCGTTGGAAAGGCGCAGCGCAAACTCGAGATCGTGATTGGAATACGTTTTCCATATGCGTAATTATCAAGTAATCCCTTCTTAAAAATTTTAGAGAACGACCGGAAGAACACCATTTCCGAACGTAATGCGCGCGCTGGAAGACGCCCAAAGAAATGAAATGCAAAGAACTTTTGTGTAACAATGCGCTAGGCATTGGGGTATTGCTGAAATTTTGTAGTGAAGTTGTCGAAAAGGTCCACCAGGTGCTCTGAACAATTATCCGGCAACGATTTGCGGTCCACCATATCCATGTCCCATGAAGTACGACTGCTTAGCATGTGGGTTGCAACTGCCACAGTTGCAATCGGCAGCAGCTGAGTCCCAGATGTTGGAGTTATAGTGATGGCCGTAGTGGTTCGAGTACGGTGTATGATATGGAGCGATGCGGGTAGGAACGTATGGAGCATGCACTGGGGTCTGATATCCTCTCGAGTACTGGTTGAACAAAGCCCAATCGTTGTATCGGGGTCCTCCACCAGTTGCGCTCAAATACTCAGGGGTATTAACACCCGAGTCCGGCGCAGACGGAGGAGTAAGTTGTGGAGTAGGATACGAGTTCATCCAACCGCTATGTTCGTAAGGCGTATATCCAGACTGGGGGTGCTCTCGCGATGCAGTCTTGGTGTAGCCGCTGTAGGACTGCTGATACGGTCGAGGTCGCTGAACATTCGTATCGATGGGTGCAAGTGGCGCCAGGCGATCGAGAGTAGCAGCGCGCTCGAGGTTCTTGGTTTCGCGCCAGCTATTCCAACTCTGGAGCCACGCCTTGAAGTCGGTGCTCTCATCGAGATTGACGTATAGTTTCCAGTCAAGCGAAATCAACCATTCGTGCTCCAAAACGTTTAACTCGGGAACGGAGATACCGCTCACTTCTGACCAAGACCGATTCTGAAAGGTGTTGTCGTCAAGGAATTTACTCCCAAGAAGAAGACCAATCGTCAGCATGCGCCAAACCTGACCATCACTAGCCTTGAATGGGCCCGCCGCGCTGAGTGTGTTCATGCGTCGTGCGAGGTAATTCATGCCGAGGAGAATCGTGGTATGAGGCAGGCGTGTCGAAGACAGCACTCCTGATACGAACTTACGGAATGCCGGAGAGACCGGTGAGTTTGGGTTACACAGCCTCTGTGCCATTTCCGCAACGTAGTCGGTCATCTGAGAAAGCTCATAGTCCAAGACAGGACACACACCACCGGGAAGCATAATGGGCGATTTTCGTGGAACCGACGGAGACTCTGATGAATCTCGTCGGGGGCAAGAAGAATCTTCCTGCTCTTGTATGCGTAGAAGGTGAAGAGCAAGATGCTAGGTCGATCGATTATAGCAGGCGATAATGAACGAGTATCCTGGGTGGGAAAGTGTGCAAGAAGGGGTCGACGAAGGCGCGTGGAGAATTACTGAAAAGTTAATTTCGTAGATCCGCCATAGATTAAATGTTCTCGAATTGGCAAGATGTTTCTTCGCAATCTAGGTGAACTTGTAGAAGATTCGCACGGCAAGTGCAGAAACACCGATACGGCAACTCAGAGCGACCCGACCATGCGGCGAAGGGTGTGTTGTCCGAGTCGTGATGTTCTAGTTATCTTATGATGGTCAGCCAAAGCTTTGTGAAGGTCGAAAGGTATGAAAGGCCAGTGCAATCTTCTGACACGAGGCTCAGACAGGAGAGGCCGTGGCAGGGATTGAAGTGCAAAGCCAACCGAGGAGATATCGCAGAGCCTTAAGCTAAACGGGCTCGATGTTGTTGTATGGGATATTTTGTTCCCAGGAATGTTGGCTTGGCCGGCAAGTGTTACAAATTTGAATATCCAAACAACTGGCGTGAGGGGTTTTTGACGAACGCCGGAAATCCGTAGAGAGTACAGTAGAAGGGCTCGGAACAATAGGGGAGGGTGTAGATATAATAATAAGAGGCAGTACGAACCTGACTGGGTGAATCCGACCTCTAGATACCTGTATGTGATGGTCGTTGGTATCGCTGACACCAGGATTGGCTGAGGCGCGGTTCGATGGCGAGAGAGCGAGAGGGAGGAGGGAGAGGGAAGGAAGAGGCGACGTCGGAAGAGGAGGAGAGGGATGGGCGGAATAGAGGGTGTTTTGAGGTCTCTTTCGAGGTCTCTCGAGGTCTCTCTCAAGGAAGGGGATGGAGAGAGGGTAAAAGGAAGGTGTGAAAATCGGAGAGAGGTGAGTGAGATGATGGCAGGCCGGCACACGCACACACACACACCTTGTATGTAGCAGCAGAACGCTAGCGTGGCGACAGGCCGCTTTGCTGGAAAACCCAGGCTACCTTGCGGGTCCTACCACTACTATCTATCCATCATCCACCTTTCCCTTTCACTCCGAAGGCACTGAAGGCAGTTATTCCGTGCCTTTATTCTGCAGAGTACATCAATCTACTATTTACTATTAATTTCTATACCTTCTATTATCCAGTTTGTACTTGTATGCCCAATAGTTTGTTCACGCACAGATCCCCCATTGCTTGGAAAATGGCTTGGTCTGCTCTGGTTTTTTGCCTATGTAAACTACGGTACTTAGACTGTAGCCGACGGGCTCCCCTCCCCTTCCTCTCCTGAATGGAATCCACTCATACTCCCTCCCCGGGCCAGCCAGTCATGATAGAACCTTTCACATTTGATCCACCCAGATGATCATACTCCGTAAGCAGGACGACGGTGGTGGCAACGGATCCGTCTGATGGTAACCAATTGCCACCTGAGAGTCATCGCATCCACCAATCCAAAATCAATCATTCAATAATTAAATCATCAGTCAGTCAATCAATCAATCAATCACCGACGACACGAATTCCTTGTCAAACCTGAGGACAGCCACGGTTATACGCCCAATTTCCAGTCATCTCCCAGAATATCACATCCCTCATCACATCGACCAATGTGCACTAGTAGGAGGGGAGGATTCTCGCGGTTATTTCGCCTGGATACTTCGGAATCCCTTGTTTTGTCTTGTTGTCTTGGGAAAGAAATGGGAGGCTGGCCGTAATAGGCCAATAATAAATGCTTACTGATGCTGCCACTGATGCTACTCATGTCAAAGCCTCAAACGGTACTTACGGAACAGTGGGCAGGTCATGCTATCGATTGCATATTTCGCCTTTCTTTTAGGCTCGTCTCGAACAATAACACGCTGGCAACATGCTGACTTTCCCTTTTGGCACGAAAAGCAAATGAACAATTCCGGAAGAAGTATGCTTGGCTTTTATCAAACTATCCCATTGTAGTCGGATATTCAGACCTGCCTCTCATCAATCATCGGTCAGTTGTAACTTGTCAGGAGATTCTATTCCTTTGCATCAGAGGATCTTCCGCGGTCTTCTCCCGACTTTACAGTACCTCCGTAATAATATGTCGCTCAGGCCAGGTCCAGATCTCCAGGCCCTTTGTAACCCAATGTCCGGGTCTTCTGACTGGTCAAAGAATTAAAAATACACCTACGCTACTGAATGCGGCATAGTGTCAAAATTTTCTTCGGGTCTCCGCCAGAACTCTCGGTCAAGGGGTTGCGACTGATTCAGCCTGCTCGTTGGCCAGATGAAGGACCAAGTCATCACCCAAACTCCTTATATCCGACAGCATTTTTGACTCGGGAAAGGCCTCCCCTATCCCCACCCCAGCCGGGCACCGGCACCTGCAAGAATCGCTGAAAGAAATACCAAGGCTTGACTCGATTTCTGGACTAAACATTTGGATCCTCCAGACCTTCTCGAGATGGCCGTATGACCTACACCCCGTCTCAACCCCTATCTGTTTTATTATATACGCATCAAATTTCTCGGCTTCACGAGGAAACTTACCAACTTCGATAAACGGAGAACTTCGCCCAAAAAAAGGCATCCGGACCCAAACTCCTTGTACTAGAACATACTCCGTAGTTGCTAGCCGCCTAGATTCCTCCCACCTTCTTCTAAATACGAAGTAGAAATGTTCCTCATCCTCATGCGTCTATCTGCATGTATCCCACCTCACCATGCATCACTTACAAAATCTTACTAACCCATTCCCACTCACACGCCCCCATTATTATCCCGATCTCGTGGGATCTACTTGAACGGTTTGTTCCTTTCCAGCCAATGTCATGACATGGAAGCTTCCACCCCTCACTGAGGAAGCAGCATGAGCAAAAAGCCACCGGCTTTGCGGACGGAACTTCTCCCTCTCTTGTTATAGTCCAAACGCCTCTTGAGCCCAACCAAACAGAGTCCCGACTGTATCCGCGAAATGATGAGACATACATGTTCAGCTACCAGAACATGTGATTAGATGGGTGACCTTGAGTTTTTCCTGCTGCAGGCACTGGCAGGCGCAGGCAGAGGCAACAGGTCGTCTGCCAAAATGACGATGCTGACGACGCCACCTTGTGTATCTCACATAACACGCCGAGGGGTAGCTTTACCGAACCCTGAAGGATTCCCTGGATATTCAAGCAAGGTTGTGAATTGCTCAGGCGGGGTTGACTTGCTTGATTTGTGAAAACATATATATGATCATGTGATGCGGTAATTTGATATCACGTGTGTGGTCCTGTTCTGGAGTCTTGACTTCTATTTGGCCTGGTCTTCCTTGGTTGGTTGGATTATTAGTGTCTGCTACTTCGATAACCCTTATGTCTATCTCCAAGCCTTCTGTAATTCTCACACCCTTGTCTCACAAGTATTAGGGTCATGAAGTAAGGCGTGCGAGCAGTCCTTCCATCCATGGTGTCGAGAAATCTTGACACCTTCCAGGCTATCACTGAAGGTGCTCTTCAGAGAAAGCACTAAGTTAAAAGTTGTATGTGTACTGGCAAAATTGTTAAGGCTGGACTTCCAGACGACCAAAGGTACCAAGAACTTCGGCCCGTCATGTATTCTCAAAGCCCTTTGACTTCAATATGAATGAAAACGTTACACTGAATCCGGCTGCGTTAGCAACGCAATGGAACAAAAATGCTTCAAAATTTGCAAATTTCTACGTAATTTCTTGACATGTGTTCATGTTATCTCCTATACGTGTTTGCTAAAATGCCACCTAAAGCCAAGAGACCTCTCACGGCCCTGGCAAAGGTCTATAGTCATCCTAGAGACTGAGGTAAACCCCCCTTCAACGATCACATTCTTCCCAAATTCCCTAAATTGAAAAGTGGTCTTACTCCTTTTCTGAAATATACTCACACGAATACTGAATGCCAGATTTCGAAAGCTAGACGATTATCAACGATATCGTTTTCGGGGTCAGTGTATTCCTCTTCTGCAGCCTACCAAAACACACTTACTTATAGCTGTTACAATATAGGATCTACACCGGCAGAATTGCAAGCTTTGTAGGCACTAGCGCCGGTATATGAGGATGAAGGGGAACAATGGCTTGAGGATGTGGCAGTTCACCCTCTCTTCGACAAGGCACAGTGGAGTTTGAACAGCCTGCCAAAACACTTGGCTCGAATTCCATTGATAAATGGAAAAGGGCAGTTCTAGGATGCAAGTAATCTAGATGTTTCGGGAAGCAATGCTAACATCTCTCACGTGTAGGTAGATGATGTATCAGAGCTTTAGGAAGCAATGCTGCCCGGTGTAAAACTTGCCAGCCAACTACTTGCTCATATATCACCATGGTGAGTTTTGAGGAGGAAGGGATAAGTATCTCTCTGACTATAACAGGTGGGATGCGCTTCTTTTCGGAGAGTATACACGGATCTAACCTAATGAGTATGCACTACCCTCCTAAATATTTTACCCCCTATTTCGGCCACCCCATCATTCCTTCCCTGATGTTCAGATAATTCCAGACATCAGCAATAGGCTTCGAACTCCGGAACATTCTTCCTGAAGCTTTGCTGATCCTAAAAACCTATAGGCTTCCCAAAGGACAAAGGTACGCAGAGCACTACCGCTTCAGTCCCCGCGCTCGAACGTCGAAAGCGACGGATAGGAAAGAGCCGCATATGTTATAGCCCACCCAGAAATACCGGAAGCGCCAAAGATGAGAGCCTGAAGCTTAGTCGGTGGTACGTTGAGTTGTACTATAGCCATTGTTCCAAAGTCCTGGCTCTTTCTTTATGTCAGTTCAAAAGCAAAGGAATTGGAGGTCTGTTCTCCAGGTTCTGCACAATAAGACGGAGAGCAGAAAGGTATGCCCTCTAACCACTTGAGTTATATACCTCTGCTAGAACATTTCTAAGAGCCCGATTCCCAAGCAAACATCGGAATTGAATGACCTTGGCAGATGATCAAGCGGGTTGGCTATGCAGTCGTTATTTCATCAACAAGACAATGGAGGGGTCGTCGAAGACTTACTAATATACTATAATCGTGTGACATTAAGAACCCCACAGACGCGTTGTTGACAACGTGAAGAAACTTTTGCTCATCAATCACCTTGTAACTTGTAGAGAGTTGTGTAGAAGGAAGCAGCTACTTGGCTTAACCTGCCCCGTATCTCTACAAACGTTAGATAACTATAAGCTTCAACCACCACCCGACTAGAGTGCACGGAGTATCAATAATCTACAATCTTATAATCTCTATATACCCACTCATCCTGAGATACAAATAGAAACAACCATAGAAGCACGCAAAGGTGGTATCATGCGCGTAGCCGGCTCCAAATACTCAATTCCCACCCAGAAAGTTCCAATTACCCGTCTAATCCCAAACTCCTATTTCCCACTGTGCTTCCTGCTTTCCAAATTCAAATCAAGGCTCCATAAGCTATCCCAAATTACGCTCTTCGTCCCCGGACTCGTGCCTAGTTTTGGCGTGCTTGTGCTTGTGCCCTACGCGCGTATCAGCGTATGTGGTCAAGGACCAAGAAGGTCATCAATCTGGTTATTTCGCACCTCTCCGTTCGCATTATTATCAGGCGTACTGCTCGAGACAGGTACAATAGCCAGCCCTTCGGACTCGCCCGTCGTCGATGCCCCTTTCAAAGATGCCGCATCCAAGATGGAGGAAGAGCCTTTGATGAGCGGTACAGCTTTCTTGGAGTTACTGCTGCTCCTTCGACTGTCTAAGCTCTGGGTCAACTTCTTCTCCACGCCCCCACTCGAACTCTTCTTCCCACGTCGAATCGTACTGCCCTGTGCATCAATATGTGCACTCGCTACTGTACTTTTGCCCAGCCCAGGTGTAGATGGCGCACCGGGCTTCTCTTCGGAAGCGTCGATTAAGTACCAGCGCAAACCATCAGACAACTCGAACGGGTTATCGTCGTCGAGGGAATTCGTGCTGTTGAATGATTTGCCGTCGCCGGGCTGCTGTGATTCAGACATAGATTTTGACAAATCGACGACGCGGTCTTCGATTTTATGGATGCGAGCGAGGAGCCAGTCGCGGGTACGCAGCTTGTGCGAGTCTTGCTCTTTGAGAAAGTAGTGCGGGGCGCCGACATTGAAGGCTGCCCAGGCGCCGGTAGCTTGGTTGCGGGTTGGTAGGAAGAGGGCCAGGTCGCCATCTTTGAAGCGTTTGAAGGCTATTTTTTCGTGTGCTTCTTTCTGTGCTGCGTGTGACTTCTCCCGGTAGGCGCGACCATCTCGAAGATACTTCTTAGCTGTGTACTCGAGATCTTTGATGCGTCTGGTGATGACTTCACAAAATGCTTCCACGTCGAAACTGCCAATTGCATTGAGGTAAGCGTCGTACTTCTCCAACTCAGCCTCGGAATCGTCATTGTGCATCCAGTAGAGCAAGTCGAGATCACCACTATCAACCATGGCCTTCCTGGGGACAGCACCTGAAATGCTCTTCTTCAACGACGACCCAGGATCCGATGAATCGTTGGTAGTTGATTTCTCTGGTCTGGGTAACCTTTGAATGATCATCGAGCCTCCATCACGAGTTACAGAGTAACTTAGACGTTCTAGCAGTCTAGACAGTCGATCGTTTTGGCCATAGACTCGTTGAGTGAGGTCTTTCGCCCGTAAAGTTCGCGCTTCAAATCTTGAAGAGAGCTTATCGTGCTTCATTTGTATGAATTGATGTTTCTCTTGGGAGGATCTCAACTCTTCCTCGAGGCTACCAATTCGTGACTGCCGAGCCGCAAGATCTTCCGAGATCGTCGTTACCTTGCGCTCCTCTTCTTCGAGTCGATTGCGAAGGGCATCAGATCCAGTCTCTCCATCTGCAATCTGCCTTCTCAGTGAAGTTAACTGGAATCTCTCATCTGTCAATTCGACTTCCAGCGCCGTAAACTTGGCTTTCTCGGCATCCAAGGTCTCTCGGAGATGCAATGATTCAGATTCTTCTTTAGCCACTTTCTCCTTGACTTGCTCCAGCTCAGACTGTATCTCAACGATGGCAGTCTGAGCAGTATCTCGGTCAGATCTAGCAATCGTAGCATCGCTCTTTACCGACTTGAGTTCAGCCACCAAATCGCCTGATAAGCTGACCAATGTGTCAGCAAATGCTGGCAAAGTATCGGGAATAACGCCTTTCGGAGCCAGCTGCGAATGAATATCTTGCAAAGTCTTCAATTCTTCATTGGCCAGAGATTCCGCTTTCTCAATCCGAGCCTTGAGCTCTCGGTTCTCTGCCGTAATTTCCTGCATCTGTTTTTGCAAGGTCTCGTTGGTTTCTCGCTGTAACTTTGCGTCGTTCCTCAAGAAGTCGACTTGGCCCTGTGATTTTTGCGCTTCTGCCGTAGCCTCTTTCTTGTACCTATCAAACTCATCTTGAACAGCTTTGACACGCTCATCAACAGAAGTCTTTTCATTCTCACGAGATCCGAGATAACGGTCCATTTCATCCTCCACCTCTTCGAGCCTAGCCTTGAGTCGCTTTATTTCGTCCTCTAGAGACTTTCGTTCTTCAATAAATTCGCGCTGGTGAACTTCAAAGTTGGCCATGAGGTCTTGCTTCGTAGAGTTTGCATCCTCAGCTTGTGACTTCATATTATCCGCAGAAGTTTTCCTGGCAGAGACTTCCTTTTCCAAGCCTGACACTTTCTCGCGCTCCGCAATCAACTCTGCCTCTAAGGATAAGAGTTTTTGCTGGAAAGCTTTCTCTTCTGGCCCTTGATTGGCAGAAAATCTACGGGAAGATACAGACGATCTACGAGAAGATCCATCTTGTAGACGTGGAGAGGCCAGTGGATTGGCCACAAATTGGGTGTCAGAACTAGGATAACCAGGAAGCTGGAATACGTTCCCTGTCGATGTCCTATTGATATTGCTCTGACGATGAAGCAAATCTTCCAGTCTTCTCACGCGACTTTCCGCAGTCTTGAGTTTACTCTCCACCTTTTGCTTCTCTTCTTGCAGAACCCGTATCAGGTCATCATCTCCACGGACCAAGAGCGCACTTCTGCCAAGTGCAGCTTCATGTATACTGCCAGCTTTAAATGCTTTCGCCCGTTTGCTCTGTTGTTTGGTGGGATTGTTGAGATCCGACATGATCTTTGTGATATCGGCAAGAAGTTTCGATTTCTGGTCCTGGCCTTTGAGTATATCTAGCAACTCATTTAGATCTTGTCTCGTAGCTTGTGGCCAATCGTCCCCTTCTCCGAGGAGGTTGACTTCAAGTCCCATAACATTGCGCTCAGCCTTATCACCCCATAATGCGGAACCAGTAGACTTCTGCCATTTTCTGCGTCGTCTTGCCTCTTCGTCTTGAAAGGCTGCCATCTCGTTCGCTAGAGTTGAAGAATCCAATTTGACTTTCTCATTCCATTCTCTGCGTCTGACAGCCTCAGCTAGGAATGAGGCATAAGTGACCGGTAAATAATTCATCATTGCTAGCACATTTACAGCCTCGGCACTATCTTCGTCGACTTCCAAGCCCTTGAACTGAATATTAGAGTCACTAACCATTGCAGTCAAAGTAGCAATATCACGCATACACTCTAGCGAATTGGCGGCGTTGTCGTTTCTTAACTCGATAGCGGATAGTAGAACGCTTTCCATTTCTAGAGCTCTCTTGGAAAGATTTGGCAGGTAGTTTTTCGTATGCAGTAGAGCAGATCTGGAGGCTTGAGAGATGTTTTTGGCAGTATTAGAGTAACCCAGAACGTTCTCGTAATCACTGGTGACTTTCCTGGCGATGGCCTCAATGTCCTCCATCAACTGTATCGGCTCTGTTTTACGTGCTGTCAACGATCGGGCAGGGTCGGTTTCAACTTTCTCAAACAACGCGTCTGTGGTTTTCAAAATCTCATCGACTTTCTTTCCCACCTTCGCACTGTCCCGACCCAGGCTTGTCTGTATATTCTGAACGACTTTCCCTGCCCTCTTGATATCATCTACGTCGACGAGATCTTCCAGGGTGGGGCTTCTGGAGCTTCGAGTGTCACGGCCGGTAATGAATTTGATCGTCTCGCTCGTAGCAGGTAGGGATCGTAATCTGGCTATGGAAGCTTCCCAATCCGCACCAGCAAGTTCTTGCTCCTCCTGAATCTCCCTTGACCATCGTTGAATATCCGCGTTCTTAATGTCTAGCTGCCTGACATGCTTCTCCAAATTGAAGACCGCAGCGTCGATGCCCCGAGTGATAACAGCAGATTCATTGTATTTTTCCAGAGCCTGCTGAGACATAGCCGCACAGTCATCTACCACCTTTAGGGCCCATAGTCTACGCGCCTTGAATAGATCCTTCCATGCCTGCAAATCATTTTGGTTGGCGATCGTGTCGGGAGGCTTCGTGGGAGTATATTTCGGAGGTAAAGGTGTCTGGGGGTACATTGATCGTGTAGCACCAGGAGAAGAGGATTGAGCTATCCGTCTATCGTACACGAATATATCCTTCTACACATTCTATTAGTACGGTTTTGAATATCTTTATCATTGGCTTGCCTCTGTAGATAACGCCTGAAACTTTACGGGTTTCCCCTGGTTCGTCAAAGCAATGTGATTCAGCTCTGGAACCTCGCTGTTCATTGCAACCCAAGCCTTAAATTCCTCAAGCCTTGGTTGAATGTCAGTGCTGAAGCTATCTCGAGTCCTCGGACTTCGACTACTTACGAGGCAAAAGACCCTGGATCTACCTGGAGGCGCTGGCCCGTATGGGCAAGCAAAACTTGTAGAGCCATGCCCACCACGGTCCTTCTACAGCTGCAGAGAGCCGCAGAATTCTTCTTGCTCGCAGATGTTGTGAAGTTGCGAGGTTCTGACGCATCAGAAGGTCCATACAGCAAGGCTACTCGAGGCCTCGTTTTAAGTACAAGTACCGTATGTCCGTCGCCAAACGCCACAAGTATGTCAGCAATTCTCCAGCCACAACTTCGTCACAAACGCGTCCAGTAAGACACTCGACGCGTGATATAAAACCCTTCAATAATCAAATTTATTCTCGAAAGTGGGAAAATTGTCAAGATGGTACGAGATGATTTAGCTGAGGAGATGGAGGGCGTGGAAATTACGACTTCAGAGCCCAAACATCCCTTATTCACAGAGCAAGAGCGGCGGATATTGGAGATGTATGACCGTCTTGAAGAGCTTCAGCTGGAGATTGCTTTGCTGAAAGCACGAGGAGTATTGTCACAAGGTACGACTCGCTAGAATTCAGTTGTTCACGTGTTCTGACAAGATCCAGATGAGCCCATGGAAGCTTCTGAAGGCGACATCAAGAAGGCCCAGCAAGAACTCCTGAGGGCTAAAGCTGCCTATCAAGTCCGGAATAATACCATCGAGGGCGTTTTGGTTGCAAATCCCATCTTGAAGGCAGTTCATGCTGGGATTAATGCTTCCCCTGCTGAACAGTAGGTACACTTTCCTAGAGTGGAGCCCCAGAACTAATCTTACGGCAGAGACCTTTTGCCACTCATTGAGCATCGTGACAAGCTCTCTGTAGCCTTGACTGGTTTATCAGCAAAGGTCTCGTCAACAAGGAGCGAGTTGATGATGGTGGAGAGTGAACATGCTATCAAAGCTCGGGAGAATGCCAGATTATCTAGCAGGATGCTTGCCTTGGCTGAAGAGGCGAACACCCAGAAGAAGGAAGACATAACGGATTCGAAGTTACGGCTCCAATTGGATCAGTTGGAGGGAGATGTGAAGACAAGTCGACAAAGATGGAGGATTATGAAGGGCACGGCGAGTGGTACGATTGTTGGGAGCGGTGTTGACTGGGCTAGAGACCCGAAGTTGTTGGGGATTGTGTTGGATGATGATGGTGCTGAAGGGTAGAGCAAACAGCACGGATTTAATTCCTTTCATGATTGTATATCTGCAGGTGCTTTATCTCATCGTTTGAAATGTTCTGTGTCTGTTATACCCTTACGAGTTTTGTTCGAACCCATCTTCTTTCTAGCTATTTCACGGGGTTTGAAGGACGGTACATTGGGCGGATGGCAATGGTAAGTCACTACCCTACCAGTCTTTACGCAAGTTATCTTTCATTCCCAAGACAACCAGAAGAGAATGGTCATTGGCGGCGACGGCTATAACCTCCATAATCAGGGGGGTAGTGAATCGATTTGGAGACAGATAAACTTTTCGTCATCACAAAATTCTCAAGTCTCGATATTCATCCCCCACCACCCCACTAGACTGATAACTTACCTCTAGGCAAACCCAAATAACAGTACTGAGGGTTGTTCAAAGTGTCTCACAAATACTAGAACATTTTCAATCCCTCAACCTGGAGAATCATGTGAAGCAGGTCATGTCTGGGTACACGCACGTGCATAAGTGACAGTGGACAACTGTAGGGGTACGTAGGTTAAGCAGTCTATCGTCTTCTATTCTTTCCTTTGCATATTTAACTGAGGGGTCATTGCTTGCATTTAAAAAAATTCAAATCTCAGATGTGAAAGAACTACCGTATTGCCATCAACCTTCAAGGTGGACCTGACAGGCGGGGCACAAGAAAAGCGGCACCCGGCTATAACGTTTCAGGCGAAATTTGACATTAAAAGTGAATGACAATGAGTGCCGCTTTGTTTGTCTCCAACATAAGGTTCTGAAACATCAAGGGATGGGGTGGGTATCATTCCCGGAATAGATTAGTGGGGTCGGTTAGCCGCAAGGGTCCAAGTCACGTTATCTAACTTTTGGACTTGATATAAAAGGGGTTTGATATGCATCAAATTCGACGTTTTCTCATAGATTTTATTTTGTCTGTTTGACTATTTGGGGTAAGAAGTTGTTTCCGGACATGACTAATAGCCATCCTCGTGATGTAAACAGAGTGGTAAATGTAAGACCGGATATGGTGGTGGTGCAGTGCCATGGTGCCGCTCTACATCAAGGCCAGCAGGACAGAGCAGAGGTAGCTAGGACATCTCTGCGATAGACTGATATGATTGGGGAGTCTTATTGATCCTACTGTAGCTACAATGTACGGTTGGTATTCACTATGAAGGTTGGAATGAAACCAATTCACTACAGATCCTCTCGCCCTCCCATCCTCTCGCAGGAATGACCAGCATCATGGCCAGGCAAGCCAAGGTAAGGAAGGGTGTGGTGTGGTGGGCACCTTGGTTCCTTGAGTAAGCCTCTATTATTGTTATGGCTGGCTGGGGATCCAATAAGACGCGGTAGGGGGGCAGGCCGAGCAGTGACGATGAACGTATTCTTAGCCTGTTTGCGTGGTCTGCATTTGTGCTACGCCGTACATAGCATAGGATTTTGGGTGGTAGAAAGGAAGAGGGTACCACGCCTACTCCCACCACCACCACCCAGCTGCTCACCAAAAACTGCTGCTCCTCTTCTTCACCTGTGTCAACCGCAACCACCGTCTCTCTACAGTCAAAGTAAGTACAGTACCTACCTACTGAGTGAGCCCTTCCCTTTCACCCAAAACCCTTCAAATCTTTCGCCTCGGTTCACTGCGCACGGCGTTAATTCCATTGGCCCGTCGCAACCTCGCAACACGTTCAACTGTGCCAATTCCCAGCGCATTTGGCAGCTCAGTTCACCCTGTCGTCGCGTCATCTGCCCGTGATGCCTTTGTTGTTGTTCTTTTGATACGATCTCGAGCTGATTTGCGTGTTGGCGCCCTCTAGTACAACAAACTGTCTGCAATTCCCAATCCACACCAACACTCACGTCCATGTAAGTTTTTCCAGTTGTTCTGTTACTTCTACCCTCCACAATTCCGTGTCGCGATGCATCTTTGCGACCGAAGCGCATCTCCACAACAATGCGCTTGCACCACCTACTCGCATCCTCTTACTAGAACATCGACTACTTGTTGACTACACCTACACCTTCCACCTCAACCACCTTTCTTTACTTGATTGAGAATTGTATTACTCTTGTCATTGCAACCGATCTCGACTGACCATCAATCAAAACAATCAGAACCCTCCACCGTCAATATGCCAAAGGAAAAGTCCACCAAGAGAGCTCCCGTCAAGCGCGCCGAGAAGAAGAAGAAGGGTTCGTCTTAGTCTTCCCCTACGTTATCGCGGTCGCAATCATACTAACCTCTCGCAGACCCCAACGCGCCCAAGCGTGGTCTCTCAGCCTACATGTTCTTCGCCAACGAGCAGCGTGAGAATGTTCGCGACGAGAACCCAGGCATCACCTTCGGTACGTCTATTCAACGTTTCCTTCGCCGACAATTACTAATGTAAACGCGCAGGCCAGGTCGGCAAGGTCCTCGGTGAGCGATGGAAGGCTCTCAATGACAAGCAGCGCACTCCTTATGAGGCCAAAGCTGCCCAGGATAAGAAACGCTACGAGGATGAAAAGGCGACATACAACGTAAGTGCTGAGAAGCCTGTGGGCGTTCGCAAGCGTACTGGTCGAGGTACTAATAAGAACGTCGCACAGGCTGATGCCGAGGAGGAAGAGTCTACTTGAGACGTCTTCACATTCACTTCTCCGATTTCACGTTTGCGACATGAATCAGCTCAATTGTTCAGTTCCTCAGGACAATATGCTACAGTGTAACGTGCTCTCATAGAGCGTCTTCTAAGGCTTTTCACAATCATGTTTCCTGGGTTGGGGGGGGGGGATTGCTTTGGGATGGGACCTTTTCATTTGCACGTATGGACGGACATGACTTTTATGGAACGAACCTTTTGATCACAGGAGGTGATCTAGTCATGGATATCCGTTGATTACGCTTTCTTTCACGATGCTGAAGCTGGCAGTGACGCTGATCTGTCTAGCATCAATCTAACACATGCGTATCAATGGGGTCTTTCTGTATACTAGCTCTCGTTAATCTGTGCCACCACCATCTTCTGATATGACTATGTATGTGACTGTAACTGTAACTGTCGTTTTCAATCAATATAACCACAATATACCATATCAACTACCACCCGAAGCACCTTATAAGTATATCACATTTCACTTCGTGATCATTTCGCTCCAGTCACATGTCTGCCTTGATGCCTCACCTCGACGCGTCGACCCCCATGATTCGCGTTTCGCTAGTCGTTGCCTGGCCTCTGGAAAATTAGTAGCTCTCAGAAATTACTTCAATGTTGTAACAACTCTTTTTTGTAAACTTGCAATTGAGAAGGACATCTTAAGTACCTTCCCCCCTGTCTACCCTCCTGCTAGACGACCACTCCCGAAGCCAAGAAACTATATCAGTACTGGAGCTGGAGTACCTCATCATAAGAGCCGTACAGTACGGCAAGATATCGCTTCCTTACAAGAAAAATATTTCATTTGCAGAATGTTAAGTATCCATCTGACGCCATGCAGGATGCTAGTTATGGCCAGTGCCAACCAAGCCAGCACCTCCAGCTGTTTACGACCCCCATATTGTACGGAGGCGCGCGTTCGTTGTATGGTAGTACCATTCTCATTGCATACAGGCGGCCAGTGACGGGGTGACACAGAGTCCAGCGATTGGTGTCACTCATTCAGAAGTCCCCCGAAATTCTGATAGAAATGGTATTGGAGCTTCGGCCATCCAAGAAATCCGAAGTTCTTGAAGACGGCGAACCAAATTTTGTAAAGAGCCACCGTCCGAAGCTCGACATGTCCCTCTAAATTGCTATTCTCATCCCGCCTGATCTCAAAATGTTTTTTGCTTGTGTTCTCTGCTGCTACCCGCAAAGCAAAAGATTTTGTTGGCTGAACTTCACACCCTCTTGTTGTAAGAACATCAATTTAACATCGGAGTCTCATTACCATGATCATCACCCGTGTTTATAGCCTTATTCGATTCGTTCGTTGCTTTATAATGCATGCCGTGGTATGCTTTGCATCGTGGCAGCACTTGAAGCCGGGGTTTTTCAGTGGGGACTTCCGAATGATTCGTTCTACATGATGCACCAGATGCATGAAGCTCGTTAGTCGCTGAGGAGTGATTATGCGAATGCCACTTTAAACTTCATTTCTGGCCCAGACACGTCAGAGTCTTCTGATAATATCAAAGATATCCGATAACTCAATCCGCAGAGCCTCTGCTTTCTACCCCACCAGCCCTGACGGAACAGGCCATGCTCATTATGGTTTCCGCTTCTTCCTCAATGTCTGCCTGTTCAACGACACATTGACCATCTACGCTTCTACCAGAGGCGCATTGACTTGATGTCTGCGCTGTACATATGGAGGAGTGTTTTGGGTGCTGGCAGGAGGCGAAGCGAGCAGACAAGGTCGCTGCATTTCTTCTGGCTTTACGAACAGCGCTGAAGCCGGAATATTATGAGAACATCTCGGCCGTCCTAAAGGAAGTAGAATCCGCAAGCCGGCTACTACGCGATCTGTATGACCTCTTCCCCATCTACCAGACTAGGGTTCCTGTGGTTCTGTACTACCTCAACACAATCCTACCCACTTTCCAGAAGACAATGCGGGACATGTTGATCTACATCGACAATGGAGAACTTCCACCCAGGACCCAATGGACATTGATGAGCCAGAGACTCAGCGATCAAGGCGGAATGACATTGGCACAACGTTTTGTTATGTACAATGAAGCCCTAGTCCAGACAGTTCGGCTATTAAGCAGGTGCAGGATAACCTTTTCTAAACTCCAGCCATTCGGCATCAATGATTGGTTAGAGATTATTTTAACAATTGTCAGCACTAGATCCCCATTATATGATCCCACCTCGTTAGAATTGTTGCGCGTCAGGCACATGCGCTTGCGGACGCTACAAAACATTCCAGGTACGCACGCAGGAAGGAGAGAAGATCAACATGGACTCAGCACTTATTCCCTTCGTTGTGACAGACCCCCGGGCTCCGATTGTGCCACACCAAGCGCCGCCACAGCCAAGCCAGGCAGAGCTTGAGGTAGTCCTCCCTTTTCCACGTCTCAAACCTATATAATGTTCTTACAGGAGTCCAAGCGACGCCATTGGGCAGAGAAAATATTCGATGATCAGCCTCATTCGATTACTGGATTGAAACACAGGCGAGGGTAAGTCTGGTTCGGGAGATATGTTGGCATCTCCTTAGCCTTGTAGGGATTGGTGAAGTCAACACTGACAAGCCATTAGGTCAAAATGCTTCGGGCCCCCAATGGTGGACAACAATTTGGGAATACCTCCTGGATCGACGGTGCTTTTTAAGCTGTAAGTAGAAGATCTCTCGATCACCATTTCGACAAAGTCTACCTTACTACACATCTTTTACCCTTTGTTTCAAGGTATATCAGACACCAAGAGACAATCCAAAATCCCATTTACTTACTCACAAAGCCCTTTACCTCGAAAACCAGCCTCGTCAACCCTCTGCTGCCTGATCCCTTACAACTAACAACTAACAACTTCTACAGACCATTCGACAAGAACAAGCTCTCTGTAACTCTCTACCTCCATGCCGACGGAGCCGATGTCACGCGGCTCCTATGCAGATGGGTGGACCCCTACTTCAACCCCCTATATTCGTGTTATGGCGTACACGAGCTATGTGTGAGACGAAAAGGCTCTAGTTTGCAATTTCAGAGGTGGAACCCCACTATCGCGCGGCCGAACATATGGATGGCGCTTTTCTTCAAAACTTGGGAGCGTAGGTTTATCTGTTTCTCTATTTTATTTTGGACTATATGTTTCGGAAAGTGGGGAGGGGTTATGCTAACAGAGAACAGGAATGGTACTCTTTCATGCCGCTTTCGTAGCGCTGAAAGCACGTTGTCCGCTCACCATCAACATCAATCCGGATGATTACAGTCTTGCTGGGGAACAGATATTGTTTCGAGCGTATGTTCAATGCCCTCCTCTATCCAATATTTGTTGATCTGTTAATAGCCAAATAATCGACGACGGATTCGAGCATTCTCTCGCCGTAATCCAAGATGGGAAATGCGGTGGTTTACGCCTGCATGCTGCGGTTTGGAATGGAGAGTTGAGGAAGTGCCCTGTCTGGACTGCCTTTAGTTTGTTCACTCCCCCGCATCAAAGTGCGCCTAGTCTACAGGACCTTGGTATTGACGCGGAATAGTTACTCAATCCTCCGTCTCCCCCAAATGGCTGAATCGTCGTAGCGGTCATCGAATCTGGCTGAAAGAGATTAGTCCATACGTTTTCTGCGCGAACTATAAGAAGAAACGTCAAGTGAGACGTCATGGAGATTTTGAAATCTACTTTGTTGATAGGGCTGGTACTTCTTCCCCCCCCCCCCGGACCTTTTCCCTATTTCATGAAGTGGTGCTTGACCAGAGTGCCAAAAAAAAATCTAAAAGAGGAGCAGAAGGTAGACGCTAACAGGATATAGCCGCCGATGCTTTCGAAGATATTTTCAGGGAAGAATCAGACACCGGCAGCCTGGTCTTGGATGTGCCTATCATGTCAGGGGCGAATGGAGACTGAGGTCACTCTTATTGATGACTTGGTGAGGGATATGATTGAAAATATGGGATAATGACTTTGGATTTGGGCTTGAGATGGGTTTGATTTCGGTTTTGGTGATGATATCCACCCCACTCGATATGACAGAATACTCGCTGCTCACAGAGGGCCTTGGCTTATGATGATAATGATTTGGTTTTGGTTTTGGTTTTGGTTTTGTTGCTTTTGCTTTTGCCTTTGCTTCTGCTTCTGCTCTATACCCGTATTTTTGTCGTTAGCTAGTCTGTCTTGACAGAAAACAATGAATTTATGAATTATGAAATTGAAAAGAAACATGCTGTAATTCTAGATGGTAGGAAATCTGGTGATGCCAGTCTTCTACCTTAGCTCAGGGGCTCTCGCCTCCGAAGCGCTAAAAGTTTGTCTCCATTAAAAAAATAGAGCACCAGGAAGTTTAACCCCGCCACGATCGATCAACCAGCTCCCTCAAGACTCCCAAAATGACATCCCTCAAGCGCTCCCTGGGATCCGACCCCCTCTCCTCGAGTATCTCAAGCAAAGTCTTCGTGCGCTCAACAAAAAGCGGAAAGGTACAGAAGATAGTCCGGGAGCTCTACCTCCGACAAGACATCCCTTGCTCCTCGAAGCTATGTACAGCCTGTCTAGCTACAGCGCCGAGAGATGCAGCAGGAGTCCGTACGTTCTCTTCCCTTCCCAAACGTGAAGCCAGAGCTGACATCAGGTTCTAGTGGCGCCCTTCGTCCTAAGCGCAAAGCCAGCAGGAACAAAAGCCTACCCAAACGGGCATTACCTCCTCCCTGACACCAACGCGCTCCTCAACGCCCTCGATCTCTTCGAATCCACCTCCGCCTTCTACGACGTAATTATCCTGCAAACCGTGCTCGAAGAGCTGCGGAATCGATCACTACCGCTATACAATCGTCTTATTGGTTTAACAAAGAGCGCGGAGAAGAGGTTTTATGTATTTTTCAATGAGTTTAGGCTGGAGACATATGTGCACAGGGAACAGGGGGAGACGATAAATGATCGGAATGATAGAGCGGTCAGGAGGGCGGGGAAATGGTATGATGAGCATTTAAGCCAAGCTGTGAAGGCTGCGGGAGGAAACAAGAAGAGTGTTCCTACGGTCGTTATGTTAAGTGATGATAAGGAGAATTTGAAGAAGGCAAAAAGGGATGGTGTTGCTGCTTGTGGGCTGAAAGACTATGTCAGTATGCTGGAGAACGCAGAGCAGTTGCTTGATATGATTGCGGTGGTCAAGGAGGGCAGGGAAATTAGGGATGCAAGGGCTCAGGAGTCGCTTTATGCGGAGTATTACTCCGTTTCGAAGATGATGACGGGTGTGAAGAATGGGACGCTGCATCAAGGGATTTTCAACGTATCGCCATACAATTATCTCGAGGGTTCGATAAATGTCCCAGCGTTTGATAAGAACTTGCTGGTGCTAGGGAGGGAGAGTATCAATCGCGCGGTACAGGGGGATGTGGTAGTTGTGGAGGTGCTGCCGAAGGATCAGTGGAAGGAGCCATCGACCAAGATTATTGAAGAGGAGGCTTTGAATAAGAACGAAAACGCCGATGCGGAAGATGGCGAGGCTGTTGTTACAGAGCGTGAGAGAAAAGCGTTGCAGGAAGAAGTTAAGAAGGTTCACAGCAAGAGCTCTGAAGGGAGACCGCAACCTACGGCTAGAGTTGTTGGTGTTGTGAAGCGGAATTGGAGGCAGTATGTCGGGCACGTGGATGAGTCCTCGGTGAGCCAATCTGTAAAGGAGAGCCGGAAACAACAGACAGTGTTCTTGATTCCTATGGATAAGCGGATACCCAAGATCCGAGTACGAACGAGACAAGCTGGAGAGATCATCGGAAAGCGTGTTTTGGTCACTATAGATTCTTGGGATCGGGATTCGAGATATCCAATTGGCCATTTTGTCCGATCACTGGGCGAGTTAGAAACCAAAGGCGCTGAGACTGAGGCTCTCCTTCTAGAATACGATGTTCAATATCGACCATTCCCCAAGGCTGTTCTGGACTGCTTGCCAACGGAGGGCCACGACTGGAAAGTACCTGTCAGTACGGACGATCCTGGATGGAAGGACAGAAGAGATCTTCGTGGGCTCCAGATCTGCAGTATTGACCCTATCGGATGCCAAGATATCGATGATGCTCTACATGCAAGACCCTTGCCAAATGGTAACTTCGAAGTTGGCGTTCATATTGCAGATGTCTCGCATTTCGTCAAGCCTAACAATGCTATGGATGCCGAAGCTAGTATTCGGGGTACAACTGTCTATCTGGTTGACAAGCGTATTGATATGTTACCAATGCTTCTTGGTACAGATCTGTGTTCTCTAAAGCCATATGTTGAGCGTTATGCATTTTCTGCCATTTGGGAAATCACTCCAGATGCCGAAATTGTCAAGTCGGATTTCACCAAATCGGTCATCAAGTCACGGGAAGCATTCAGTTACGAACAAGCTCAAATCCGAGTCGATGACGCTTCTCAGCAAGACGAATTAACGACAGCCATGCGAACCTTGCTCATACTTTCCAAAAAGTTTAAGCAAAAGCGTATGGACGCTGGTGCACTCAGCCTCTCCTCCCCAGAAGTTCGAGTAGAGACCGAATCTGAAACTTCTGATCCAATTGATATCAAGACCAAAAAGCATCTCGACACCATGTCCCTGGTCGAAGAATTCATGTTGCTAGCCAACACCTCTGTCGCCGCAAAAATATACTCTGCTTTCCCCCAAACCGCCATGCTCCGTCGCCACGGCGCCCCCCCGAAAACCAACTTCGAAGAGCTTGCCAACCAGCTAAAAGTCAAGAAAGGTCTCGAACTACGTACCTCGTCTTCAAAAGAACTAGCCGACTCCCTAGACGCCTGTGTCGACCCTCAGGAACCATTCTTCAACACGCTGGTCAGGATTATGGCCACGAGATGTATGATGTCGGCGGAGTATTTCTGCTCTGGCACACAGGCGTATCCCGAGTTCAGGCATTATGGTCTGGCGTCTGAAATCTATACGCATTTCACATCTCCTATTCGTCGGTATGCAGATTTAGTCGCGCATCGACAGCTCGCTGCTGCTATTGATTACGAACCTCTAGACGCAAGCGTGAGGAGCAAGGGCAAGCTTGAGAGCGTATGCAAGAACATCAATGTCCGACACCGCAATGCTCAACAAGCCGGCCGTGCTTCTATAGAATACTACGTCGGTCAAGCTCTCAAGGGACGGATAGTGGAAGAAGAGGGCTTTGTGATGAAGGTGTTCTCAAACGGATTCGTGGTTTTTGTTCCGAGATTCGGAATCGAGAGTTTGATTCGCTTGAGGGACTTGGCCGAGACGGAACCGGAGAGCACGTTTGATGCGGAAGATTATGTGTTAAGGACGAGTGGCAGCAGAGAGGTGGAAGTGGAGTTGTTTGAGAAGGTTGTTGTGCGCATCAGTGACATCAAGGAGGAGGGCACGGGGAAGAGGAAGGTGCGCTTGGAATTGGTCAAGACGGGTGGGAAATGAAAGTAAAAGATATTAAACTTGTAGTATATGAATACATGATCTTATGAAGCCCTCAGGCGAGCGCCTAGTGGATGATGCTATTGCAGTGACATCTCTAAAGTTATGTTTTGGTCTAGTTCAGCCTTCACAGATCCAGCTTATAGACTTAAGAAGCGTCGTCTTACCACTGAAAGCGGCTACTAAGATTACGACTTTGATTTGCTCTTCAGAAGTAGCTGGGCGGTTCCGGCACATCGAGATTGTTAGGATTCTTGAATGGTTTTGGGATCTGAGATCTCAAAGTCCGCACGCCTTTTCGTATTAGTTTTGACTGGCTTCTCTGTAGAACGTGTAAGGGCAGGGACTTCGAGGCAGGTGCTAGCGGTGACTGCAGTGGCCAGTCCCGTTGCGTGAAGGTGCTCTCACGCAACTGAGCTTGCATAGTCGAGGTACCTCCCGAATCTTCCTCTGCGGCTTCTAGCACTACCTCCAATACAACATCACTGCCTAGGGCCATGTTTCCCTTCGTATCACTAGCAGCCTTCCTCATATTAGACTTTAACGCCGCTCTGTAGACATTCGTTGTAATGACTTCTTGATCCAAATCGAACTCCATGTCTACGAGACTCCAACTTTCGGTGGTAGGAGTACTCTTCCTGGTATATTGGGACTCGGTGCCTCCGAGTGATAACAGCGACGTTTTGTTATCCTCAATCTGCTTGATGATCTGTCGACTTTCATTGCTACATAACATCTCATTGCACTCAAAGGTGGATCGGCTACAAATTGTTAGCTTGGTATAAGTAAGGGGCTGGCTGTGCTGCCTCGATAGTTAAACCTACCAGTTCAAGGCAGTAAGAAGAAGGTTAAGCGCATTGACCTGGTGGTTCAGATGAGTCGTAAACTCGCTCAAGCTGCTTTCTTCTAACAAGAACCCAAAATTTCCCTTCACAGATAGGTTACCGCCATCTTGTTCCAGCTACAGTTTCTCAATTCGCTCCTCCATGACAAAGATCAAAATGTGACAGCTTTCCAGGGAGACCTGAAGGTCACCCACGAGTTGCTCGTGCTTAGGTACTTTGACCAAACTACTCGTAGCCCGTTCAGTGATCTGGCTCAGAGCAGCGCTATAAGGGTAGTGAGCTGTCCGATAAGGAGGCTAACGACGAGGCTGGAGGATCGGTACTTGGATTGGAGGAGAGGTCTACGAGACCGCGGAGGCTACGTGTGATCACATCGCCAATTCCGACTAAGGCGCCTGCGAGACCAATCGCTGATACGGAATCCGTATCTGGTGTATCTTCTACGGAGGGAACAATGAAGAGTTGAAAGAAGCTTCGAGGTCACTGTGAGCTGATGTTGTGGCAAGGCTCTGCTGCGGCGCCTGACGATCCACACTCCAGGCATACTCGTGCATGCAGATTACTCCAGCCCCAAAACTACTTCGCTGTAGCCAATCGGTGTCTGAAGCCTCTGCCGTTCTCGTATAAATTGCAAGTACACACTGTTTTCCAATTTCATGCCTCTTTCGAAGTCGAGATACAGATTTGGCAAAAAAGAAACACTTCACTTTGAAAGACTGGAAGCAGAACACACATCTCTTGCGAAATCAGAATCGTCTGCGAAAGGAAAGGGTTGCCCTCCAGCACGAGTTAGTGCAACAATCCAATACTCAAGTCACAGTTTAGATGACAAAAGACATTCTCTAGCACCAGTTCAATGGTGTGGAGAAGAATGTCCGTCAATGAACGATGTGTATTGGATAACTTTAACATATCATATTGACGAAAAACCGTACAATATTAGATGCCACTATCTCAAGTCGTCGAAAGACGAAACTCTCGCCATTATAATCCCGAGTCTAACATCGTACTTTTCTGGCTGACTTGCACCCCTATCTGCTGGAAGCAAGCCAGAATCGCCAGTGGCCAAGAAGGCCTCTGACAAAGTGCAATGGCCCGCGTCCACAAATCCAAGTCCATCATAAAGCTTTTTGACCAACTAGAAGACATCCCGATTAGTGACTTTTGGCAGAGGAACGAGTCCGGTTCATATTTGAACAGAGCTATCTATTCCCGAATGTTCCGCCAAGAAATACTCCGACAAGAGGAACAACTTGGAAGACTTACAATATTATTAGGATGGATCATAATCCGAACTCTACTCTGTCGTCCCACCCCGGCTTCCTTCGCAGCATATTCAATAGCGCCTTTGATCAATAACTTCGCGATTCCCTTCCCTCGATGCTCCGGATTATTGTAAACAGCATACATCTGCCATTTACTCTCAATATCATCTCCACCGATCTCAGGACCTCCACTTCCAGGAATATCATAAATGTCTTTCGGGGTAGGTCCTAACAAAGTAGCACTTCCAACCCAATCCCCGGCATCAATGGTCTCTTGCTCCGGTTTGGTGTTCGGTGAATACGCCACGGCAATGAACGTATGGACTTCGGGACGCTGAAGGCGGCTTATCCATTGAGAGGCTGTGAAGGTTGATTCAATGGCGAACGTGGAACTAAATGCTGCAGCGGAGATTGAGAGGGCTGTCAGACGAAGAGCGGCGAATTTGCCGGCGAGAAAGGCAAGGAGCGTTGGGTCTGATGTAGGGATATGGTGGATTTTGTAGATGTAAGACATTTTGAGACGAGTATGAGAAGATGATGCTTTGGGGAAGGATGACGGTCTATATAAGTAATATTGTTGCTCGTATATGATTTTGCAGTGATCACTAATCTGAATAAATCGAAAGATAAGTATAATGGATTACAACAGACAACCAAAAAGACCAAGATAAGTCACTCTGTAAATACATTTAGATGCCTCCCAATCATATTCCTTGAAAGAAAAGCTGCCCACAAAAGTCCATCTCAGAACCAGAAATCCGGTTCTTGTTGGGATATAAGCACCGCGTCACGACCTTTCTAGTCATGTGGTTTAGCGTAGCTTAGTCGGCGAAGAGGCATCACCTCTTCGCATCCATAACACTACCTAAATGCTAAGCATCGTCAACCAGAGATACCCAGTATCAAGTCTATCTACTAGTAGAAGAAGTGATCACGTATCTGGAATACCTGTGATACCAACAGTTCTCACTATTGAGGATATACCTCGAAAGTGGGTCGTGCGTATGAATTGTTCGGTTATTAATTAATACACGGGGGGAAAGAGCACTAGGCTAAGGTGAACATTTGGAGTCTTCTGAAAGATTTGTGTTCGGTCGGAATAAGATGTAAAATTCCTATAGCATGACGATGAATAGTAAAGTTAGTTCGTAATCATGCTACGTGGGTGCTGCTTACGAGTTAATGCATTCATCGCTTTGATTACCTACAGAAATATAAGAAAATACTTGGATGTTGACTATTTCCGTAAAAGGTGCAGGCGAGTGGGAAGGATCGTCTCAAAGATGAGAGATTACCAAAGAACTTGAGATGGAACATCGTATCTTCTTAGATGATTAGGAGCACTTCTCCCTGCTCCTTCATAATATCTTTTCTAGGGGGGAGATACTATACTCTGTGATGACACACGCTTGCCTTATCTCGAGGAACTCGTACGATCAAAATGGAAGAACGACTTAACGTGTTCATTTGAGATAACGTACGAAGTATTTACAAAAATTAACCCCCCCCTAGAACAAAGACATTGCCTGCCAAACGAGTATTCAAATCTGCAATATGCCCTAAAGACAATTTTGATAACAAAACTCTAAAATTTGAAAAGTCAATACACCAAACATGCCAACTATCGCCACGGACTAATAACAAAGTAACTCGATATTTGTAACTTGTCTTTATCAACCCTTCAACTCCCCTTGTCCCAAGCTTACTCAAACATCAACCAACTTGCCCTTTTGGACATTCTCCTTCTTCGCCACCCGAGTCTCCGCCTCACAGCACTCACCCATAACTCCCTCCTCACTTCCCTCCAACGAGTCATCACTTTCATCTTCCCAGCGTCTCGCGTCTCTAACCGCAGCTCTCTCGACCATAACAGAGGCATTATTCTTCTCCTTCCCCTCCAATCTTGGAGCCAACACCTGTCCACGTCCCTTGACTCCCACTTTCTCCTTCTCCTTCTCCTTCTCCATTCCCTTCAATCGCTCAATAATCTGCTCACCCAACGTCGACCCCTCCTCCTTCTTTTTAATAGTCTTGACCTTGTTTCCACTAGGAGCAAGGCGTCTCTCAGCCCTAGCATGCAAATTCCTATTCCTCAATGTCAAACGACCACCAATTCGCTCGACACTCGAGACAAAGAATCCGGGATTTAGGGAGCGGTACCAAGCCGGCCAGTCGGAGAGACCGATTTCTGCGAGGCCGCTGAGAGTCATGGGCATGATGTGCATGTAGTGGCATTGCTTTCCCCATTTGCAGATGCCGTGCGTGCACCAATGGCGGCAGAGCGTTGTCTCACGCATTTCGATGGGAGAGTTGGGTGGCTGCTTGGGGATTTTTGCTTTGGGTATGCGAGGAGTTGATGCTGGTGATGATAGCCTAATTGTGTGAGATAGCGGGAGAAATAGACTTGAAAGGTACTTACTTTGCTTGGGCGGCTCCTCCAGACTTGCTGTGATCCACAGAGACCTGGTAGTAAGCGCCGCTGCCTTTTTTGAGACCGAGATTCAGCATTCCTACTGTGTCTTCAAGGTCGAGGGTGCGTGGGATACCGACGAGGTCGATTCCATGTGGGAGCTCGTCGATGGCAACCAGGGGAACTACCTCGCCAGTGTTACGGACTATGAAATAGCCCGGCCATGGCTTACGGCCCTGACTGGCCTCGATAGAGTGCGGAGACATTGCACTCTATGTGCTATCTGGCCGAGTTATGATGCAGACCGAGCAAGATAAGACGTACAGAGTATAATCGGTCAAACGTCCCAAATTGCGTCTCTGTGAAATGGCAATATTGAAAGCAGTGGAATGTGTAAGGAGCAATAGGAGGATGAGACGAATTAAAGCAGATATAGGAAATAGCAAATTTGTGTTTCCATTGCCGACCGCGTTTGACCATTGACGTGGAAAAGGAAGAATAACAATAGCCGGGAAGCATAGACAAACTGGGCTAAGTTGCACGTAGACAAACACCCTTTGATTGATTGATAATGATGGGAGAGCTCTACCCATCCACCCACCAAACAAGAGTATGCAAATATCCACACAAAAGCTTTATGTACTTACTCATCTTTTTCTCAACTCGACTCGGACATTGGCTTCCATGCCATCAACACAAAATCCAATTTTTCGAGCAGATTCTTGAATCTCAACCTCCCGCTTCATCCACTTTCCTTTCTCCTCGAGTGATGCCGATGCTTTGGCCGCTCTCTGGTCATCTTTTTCATCTTCATCTTCATCATCACTACTATCATCTTCCCATTCCTCATAGCCAGCAATCGGATCCCACTCTCCAGTTTCCCAGGTCAACCTGCTGTCCAAAGGCGGGATGTCAAACATTCGACCCACAAGCCCCTTAACACGGTAAACATCAAACGATTTGGGTATCTGCCGCTTGATGGTGATTGCTTCTTCCTGGTCTGCTTTTGTATTTGGAGGCATGTAGAACGTGAATGTGATCAAGCGAGCCTCGAGGAAGTTCGGATTTATCTCCTTGGTATCCTTCCGAACAACGGTTGGTGCATCGTACTTTTTGCAAAGCTCGTGGTAACGCTTGTGCTTGGCAATAATTGCATGTTCCTCGCTTTCTGGGACTTCTGCCATCTCCTTCCCAATTTGCGAGAGGTAGTACATCTCGGCATTTGTCCGCTCGGCCGTTGTGATGTTACTAAAGTTCAATGTCTTCAAGTTGCCAAGACGAGCCAATGTAAGCATATATCCTTCTTCTGCGATTGAAGATGATCCAGTGTCCTTGATTTTGCTCTCATATATCGGGTTGTGTGATAACCGCAAGTTTGTCAGCCCCGGGAAGACGGCAGGGAGGTTATCAACGAAATCCCAGCTGCTGATCAAATTGTAAGACAAGTCCACATATTGCAATTTGCTTCCAAATATTGGACATTCAGTAGGGTCATTTGGCGTGATTATGGAGATATTGTTTCCCTTGAGGCGAAGCGTTTCAAGAGACGCCAGGTCTGACAAAATAGAAAGATCTAAAAGGCTTGTGAAGTCGTTGTACTCCAACGTAAGAGACTTCAGATTTGAAGCTCTGAGAGGATAATCAAGTTCAGTGAGATGGTTCGAAGATGCTGCAAGCTCCGTCAAGGTTGGGAACTGCTCTGTGGTTTTGGCCAAGTCCCTCCAAGGAAGGAGCATATCATCCATCTCCAACTCCGTAATCCCACGGAATGCTTTATGATTACTATCCGTAGACTTGAGGCCGGACTCGAATCTATTGCCGCTGTATTTGGGTTAGTTGGTGGAAGTACTAGATGAGGAAGAACTTACTTGATACGCAGGCTTCGTAGGTCGTCAAGCTCTCCACAGATATGGACGACCTCCTCCCAAATCTCGAATAAATTCCTGCTAATATCAAGCTCTACGATCTTGGGACACACTTCCCTAATGGCCTTCCTGTCTTTCTCGGCACAATTGATACGTAGCCCATCGACAATAATTATCTTCAACTCGTGCAGTTGTGAAAGCTGCTGCCGAATTTTATCAAAGCCAACTTCTTCAGCAACCTTGCCAGAGATTACAATTTGCTTGTCCAAAGCTTCTGGGGCTTGCTGGTTGGTGATTTCAGTTGCATATTTCTGATGAACGGCTTCCACGAAGCTTTGCTCGGAATCTGCTTGTCTGGTGGGACGAACGAAAGATCCTGCACTTCGAGCTTTACTTAAGCCTGAGATTCACTTAGTAGGTGTCTCATGGTAGTATGATGGTTAAGGCGACTCACAGGTGAAGTATCGCTTTCCCTTGTGCTCTCCATCATGCTTCCCACGTGTAGGGTCATCCCACTCAACTCCAAGCCATTCTTTTTCGGTTCCTTCAACTGGGCCGACATATCGAACAGTGCACAAAGCGGATTCGAAAGAGATTCGCTGACCTACATGATACTTTGACGGCATTGCTTGTTGTTGCGTTGCGGCCTATTATTCGGCAGCCTTGTTCTTGTTTTGAAAAGGAAGGCTGAGATCTCGGCTGCAGCCGAACCACTATCTTTTTTACACCACCTCAACTTTTACAGTCCACCACATACAGAGAGCAAGCCACCGCTCAACTCCTCTTTCCAACAGAATCCCCATCATCAAGCACTTCTGGTCTCTCAAAATGGATTATCAGAACCGTGCCGGCTCCAAATTCGGCGGCGGCGGCGTCGCCTCAACCTCAGCAACAAACGCAGACCGACGAGAACGCCTGCGCAAACTCGCCCTCGAGACTATCGACCTAGACAAGGACCCCTACTTCTTCAAAAACCATGTCGGCTCCTTTGAATGTCGTCTCTGTCTCACAGTTCACCAAAATGATGGCTCCTACCTCGCACACACCCAGGGGCGCAAGCATCAAACGAACCTGGCGCGGCGCGCAGCGCGGGAGCAGAAGGAGGGAAGAGCAGGTACGGATCCAGTTACGGGATTACCGATAGGGATGGTGGGCGCGCAGGTCAGTGTTAGGAAGAATATGGTGAAGATTGGACGGCCTGGGTACAAGATTACGAAGACAAGGGACCCGGTTACGAGACAGCAGGGCTTGCTATTCCAGTTGCAGTATCCTGAAGCCTCGCCGGATGTAGAGCCCAAGGTCAGATTCATGAGTGCGTTTGAGCAGAAGGTGGATGATCCGCCAGACAAGAACTTTCAGTATATGTTGGTTGCGGCAGAGCCGTATGAGACATGTGGATTCAAACTTCAGGCGCGCGAGGTGGACCGTACGAATGATCGGTTCTGGACGTGGTTTGATGCGGATTTGAAGGAGTTTTGGGTGCAAGTTATGTTCAAGACGGACAGAGAAGAAAGGTATAGCGGTGTTCCTGGTTTGGCACCTTCAGGACATGCCAGACGATGAATGTTACGGGCAGGAATGGGGAGTACTGGGCGTTTGTAATACAATATGTAATTTTATCACTGAAACATGGAGTCTTTGCCGTTATTCATTTGATTCATTTACTATTTTCTTTTGCGTGTAAAAACGCCTCAAATCTATGACCCTGCTGCGCCTTCAAATGCAGATCAAAAACATTGCATGAAACAAAAGCATGCTAGAAACCAGGAGGGGGGCGAGCCATCATTCAGGTCTTCCCGGCCCCGTAAAATAGGATATCAGAAGGTGCCTATGCTTCCAAGCTTCATATGACATGTAACGCAAAGTGGTATCTAGGGAAATGGGCCCGGTGAGCCACCGTGGATGACCCAACAGGTTAAAATGCCGCAAAATTGTACGTCTGATGAGACAGGTTCCAGTATGGACATAATTCTGGTCCGGATAGGTAATCATCATCCTCTTTGGTTGTTCTCAAATCGCTTGAAAGTATAGCCAATGAATGGTAAGCTCATCTCGGGTGCTTCAGCTCTTGGCTGTCCACCAGCAGCTGCAACAGCGGCCTTGAGATGGGTAGCATTATCGGTCTGGTCAATCTCATCCGTTGGGAAGTAGGCTGTGTCGACATTGGACTGCAATTTAGGCTCGAAGGGGGCGCGAATACGGCGGAGTGTGTCGAACTCTACACCGCGGAAGAACTTGTGGGCCTTGATTTCATCGGCACCGCCGCGACCAAGACGATTTTCGGAGTTACAAACCAGGCTAATAGAATCAGTCAGTTTTGCAAATAGACAGACTAAATAGGAACATTTACCTTCGGATCAAGTTCTCCGCTTCGGGACCTAACTGGACATCGTCAGGGAAGTAGAGTGATGAACGCCAGTTAACAATCTTTCGGTATGTATCGTGAGCGTCCTCCGCACAGAATGGAGGCCAGCCAACTTGGCACTCGAACATGATCGTACCCAACGACCACCAATCACAGTCGGAGCCATAACCATGCCCAGTGAAAATCTCCGGAGCAATGTAATCGGGAGTACCAACGGTGGAATAAGCCATGACTCTACGAGACTTACGCCAATCGTTAATGACACCTCGATTACTGACAGTAAGGTTGATTTGATCAAGATTGACGGAGTTGCGGTCACGCGGCTTGTTGGACTTGCCCTGGAGGAGTTGCTGATAGTAAGAGTTGTCGTGAAGCTTATGGAAGCCAGTTGACAGACCAAAATCCGTCAACTTTACATGACCGCCCCGATCAAGCAGAATGTTGTCAGGTTTGATATCGCTAGAATTTCAGTCAATATATTGATTCAACGTGGAAGATACCAGTTTTCATGATTTACTTACCGATGAATGAAGCCGTATTTGTGAACGGCCTCGATTGCCAGAACGATCTCAGCAATATAGAAACGAGTGATGTCCTCAGAGAAGATCTCATACTTGATAAGCATGGTCATGAGATCTCCTCCCGGCAAGAATTCCATCAACATGTAGAGGAAGTCGGAATCTTGGAAGGTGGTGTAGAGCTTCACGACCCATGGACTGTCAGACTCGGCCAGAATATCTCGCTCAGCTCGAACATGAGCCAATTGATCTTTCTTGAACATTTCGCTCTTAATGAGTGACTTCATAGCATAAACCTTGCCGTCCTGCTTCTTTGTCACAAGCTTAACTTCTCCGAAGGCACCTTTACCAATGATCTTCAGCGTTTGGTAGTTTTCAGGCTTGTCCCTTGTCCGCAAGAATCGCAAGTATTTTCCCTCCTGCTTCCCAGCATTTGACCAGGTCTGTTCTCGTCTCGATTGTGACTGGTTTGGGTCCACCAGACGCTGCTCCATTTCGCTTTGTCTGTGGCACGCAATCAGTTTCACCACATCACCTATTGGGAGAGGTAACTTACCGAACATTTCTGTCCCGAGCCCGCTTTACACTGTCCTTGAAGAAAGTTTCCGCCAACTGCGCACACTTTGTCTGATTGGTTTGCGCAGACGATGGGTATTTGTCCGGATTTCTTTCAGGAGCCCGCTCAAATTCAGGCAGCTGCTGAGTGGGTTGATTTGGCATTGGTGCGCTCAAGTAGCTATTGTAAGCTTGCTGTGTTGGGGCACCAGCTGTGCGGGGACGTCCAGAACCCTGCGGTACCTGGCGATTTCCGTATGGAGAGGCTCTGCCACCGCCTAGGTTCTGGTTAGAGAATTGGTGTGCAAGGCCATTCGTAGCATCATTAGCTTGGTAGCCAGCAGGTCGCTGTTGATAAGAAGCCTGGGGAGCTTGAGGAGCATGTGGGTATTGGGCAGCAGGAGGCTGCTGGGGATATTGAGGTGGGTAGGGGTTGTTCATAAAGTATCCCGCCGGTGGAACCGCCGGTGGAAAGCCAGTACCATAGGGCGGTTGTTGAGAATTTTGACCCTGGCCCTGCTGCTGAGCTCCTTGGGCCTGTGGGTATATGGGATTCGGAAAGGTGGAGGGTGTGGTCGGAAAGGCACGATCATTGAATTGCGGGCGGTCGTTGTTGTTAAGGTTCAAATGGAACTTGCCAGTGTTGTCCATATCGAAGGTGAATACCGCCCCAGGTTGGAGGACAGTGTTGAGAGGAATGAATGGTCTCTGAATAGGCAATGGCGTTCTTGGTAGTGGTGGTGTTGGATTGACTTTCGTTCACGGGCTTAAGGCACCTACACCGCTTTGTCTTTGCTGGCCGGGTGAAGCAGAGCAAAATTCCTGACACTTTGAGGGTCTCGCACACACAGGAGGATGTTATCCTTTCTTTCGCCTTGCTTCTCGGTGGTGATGAAGGGGAATGGGGAGTATAGAGGGGAAGGGGGTTACAAGTATAGCAACCTTGAAATAATCAGAGGCACATTGGCGAGATCTCCCGCGGGACAACCCCTGAATTCACACACAGGAACATCCGAACGGGTACTCGTAGCGCTGGAAGTACCTAACGCAAATAGGAATAGGATGGGATAGAAGATGATGAGTTGTTCACATGGTTATATTCACGTTAAGACTTAATAGACGCTTGAATTGTTATGAAAGTGTGCATGATGCAGCATATATATATAGAACGACTTTTTGACTTCTACATACCTACACCTTAGGTACCTGGGAATCTCATCCCATATGTGAATCTGGACCTTTATTATCCTTCTGCACGTGGCTCATGTACTCCACAAGGAAGAGTTGCATTGCGTTGCCACTTGTTCAGCAATACAAACTCTATATAAATCAATGATAGCTACGGATTATGCACCCGCACCCTACCAGCCTCTGTCTCATGACTTGACCCCCTTTTTTCAAATGTGATCAAATTTAGACCGGCCGGTGCTGCTGTCAGCCTCAACATCCGAACCCAAGGCCCCTTAGCTAGTTCCGTTGCTATAAGTTTGTAAACTGAATTCGTCAATCATCTAGTCCAAGTAGGGCATCTACCGCATTGGATTTTTGGTTAGAGAAAGTTGTTATTGCCTGGGTAGTTTGCCAGCCATTCGCGAACGAACGACCAGCTTGGCATAGCCATACAGTAGCTCTCTTGACGGCGTTTAGCAGACCAACCTTATCTCATTTGTTGTTTTATCCCCACCATTGGCAAGTTCGTGGAGCTGTCTGTCCAGTACCCTGCAGGGCCAGTGAATTATAAGCCATGCCGGTGTTTCAATGAGTGAGACATCCAACTGTTTTGAAATAATGGCGTTGCAGGGCTGCTTGTGAGGGGTTGTAGCAGCCAATCTTTCTATTCGTAGCTGCCAAAAACAGCGAGACGGAGATGTGTGTGGTTGTACATACATACACATACATCAGTGCGGAAAGAACCAAGTACCAGTATACGATTTCTGCATGAACATGTTTTGTTCAAACACTAGAAGGTAGGATACTCGAGTAGATAGAAAACTCGCAATGATCTTCCTCGGCAGGAGAGAAGTTGCTGGATTCGGCAACAAAACTCCCTTCTTGAAACTATCACGTGCAGACTCGGGAGACACGGCCGCTAGCACGCCTTTGGACTATCTGGTCGGAAAAACAACCCTGAAGCTGAAATCAAAAAGTTTGGTGATCTTGAGAATAATGAAAGTAACGGCTTGACAAACTTGCCAACGCAAGCACCTGGCATCTTCACCGCCAAGTATACGAAGAGCTGCTGGGAATACCGCGACTGTGCTTCTAAAGAGCGCCCATGGTTGCAGACGATCAAGTCTATTAGCAATGGCGGACTCGAAGCCCTCAGCAGAGGTAAAGTTACAACTTTTAAAATCGGATATGATAAGTCTAACAAGCAAACAGAATGGCACCTCTGCACCCAAGTCAGAGCCAAAACCAGATGTCAAACTCCCTAAAGCTTCAAAACCGAATCCAATGTGGAAATACCTCGGATTTGGAGAGAACTTTCGTCCCAAACTTCCCTCTCGAAATTGGAGCATATTCCTAGCTGTTACTGGCTCCTTCACTGCAGCAGTAATCTACGACAAGCGAGAAACAAAACGTGTGCAAAGGAAATGGTGCAGATTAGTTGAACATGTAGGGAAGGATCCTTTGGACCCGAGGGCGATGCCTAGAAAACTCTCAGTTTTCTTAGAAGGGCCGCCGACCGACGGACTCCGATCAGCACAAGACCACTTCAAGGAATACGTGAAACCAGTTCTTGTCGCTTCTGGCTTGGACTGGGAATTCATACAAGGGAGAAAGGAGGGCGACATCAGAGCGGAACTTGCGGAGAAGATTCGGAAAAGCAGATTACCGCTTGAACAAAGGGTAGAGGAGGATGTAATTCTAGAGATGCGGACAAAGACCGGCATTGCGGAGTTTGAAGGGCCAGGAGGTGATATTGTTATTGGAAGACATACATGGAAGGAATACGTACGTGGCCTACATGAAGGCTGGTTAGGACCTCTGAAAGAACCCCCAAAGCCAGAGGAAGAAAAGCCTCAAGACGCACCAAGTGCATCGAACCAAACGTCTACAGAAATCCCGCCGACCGAGACAACTACAGAGGGAACCACAGTATTTTCAACGGAAAACTCACCTCAAGCAGAACCAGAACCAGAACCTGCCAAGGAAGACGAGAAGCCCAAGAAACCACCCCAACCTGCCCCCTTCATCTCAACCCTCGCATATCCTTCTGCACCCACGCCCCCCAACCTCCCCACCGAATTCGACCCTTCAACACCCATTTCCTTTCCACACATCCTTGGCTTCCTCAATACGCCTCGCCGACTCTACCGCTTCCTAAACCGACGCTTCCTAGCCGATGACATTGGCCGAGACACAGCAGCTATAATATTATCCAACTACCGTCCCTACAAACCAGCGTCCTTGAAATCATCAGATGATAGTGCGGCTGAAAGCGCAAGTAGCGAAGCGCCCCTAGATGATGGAGAATGGGGCTCGAGGACCGAACAAGCAACCGCCCTGCAAGAGGAGGAGAAAGAATGGCATAAATCCGTCCGTGTGCATACCGAGAACGAGCCCGAAAGGACATGGTTAGAACCCGTGGTTCTCGATCCCCGCATTGCGAGCCGGATGCGGAGATTCGAGCTCAGCGCTGAGGACGAGGAGCGCGCTCGCAGTATCGTTGTGCCGGAAAATGAAATAGAAGGGTTCATCAAAGGGGGCTTGAGATCATTGGGAAAGGAGGTTTGGAGATGGACGGGGATTGGCATTGAGAAGAAACCCTTTGCTAATGTGGGGGATCCTGATGTGGATAGTCAAGGATGAGATATCTTGGAAAGAAGCTTGTATGTAGAATAGAATACCCTCTGCTCTAGTAGATTATGTATGTGGACGGGCACTGTAATATATCATGTAAATTTACAAGAGGATGGGATGCATTACTGTAAAATAAATACATAATCTCCTCTGCCATTTGACCGTACCTTTTTGCAAACTTTTGTCTATGTAGCGTATCATATCACAATCGGTTGGATATGAACTGTGGTCAAAACACTGATTGCAAAATTCCCCCCTCACTCAACACACAATGAACTACGATGAAGCAGCAAAGACAGTCGCGTTTGGCCATTTCGCAGCTGCCGCTTTCCTGAACGCTTCAAGCGCGCCACTCTTCCAGCTTTGCAAAAGCTCCAGTCCCTCAACTGCCTCTTCCATCGCCACGTTGTCGATCTTCAACACTTTGACAACATCAGCGTCGGTGCTGGGCGCCAGATCATGAGCCAGGAGCTTCCTTGCACTCAGTCCAGATAGCGTACGTCGAGCGCAGTCTTCGTATTTGGAGAGGTAATCATTGTTGAATTGTGTAAGCGAGACGGATTCAGGTAGGAGCGTGAATTCTGATTTGATGATCTCGGCAACCTTCGGTGGAAGGGTGGCGAGATCTTTGTCAAGGGCGAGTTTGAAGCGGATAGTTTGGGAGTGGACCTTCGAATGCTCGTTGTCAAGCGCAGAGGCTGCTAGGAGACATCTTAGGGCGAGGAGGTACTTTTCTATTCCATTTGTCAGTATGTGGCATCTAGGAAATAGGGCTGAGGACTTACTCCTCCGGATGTACACCTCGAAGCCCGCAATTTGAGCGTCAATGCTGTTAGGGCTGAATTGCAGAAGAGGTGTGAGGAACTTCATCGCATCCGTCATGGGCTCCGTCGTGGCAGCAAGCTTGGCTCCATCTGGATCGTCGTCCTTTTTCTTCGGATCGCTGTCTCCTTCCTTTGTTGCCTTATTTGGCTCATTCTTCCTAGCTAATGCTTCACGCTCTGCCTTTTGGGCTTCTTTCCGTGCCTTTTTTGCGGCCTTCTTGCGTTCTGATGCATCCTCGTCACCGTCTGCAGCTCCATTGGTACCGTTCGCTAGGGGCTTGTCATGCAACTTGAGGTAAAGATCGACGGCTGAGAGTGCCGCACGGGTGTAAAATGGGTGCTCCCGCAACTTATCCTCCCATCTAATCATATCCACATACGCTCTTATCTGACCTTTCCGTAGAGAGAAGCTGTGGAAGTCAAATTGGTCTTCTTGCCACACATCAAAGATGTTGTATATGGACATAAACCGTTTCAACGCCAACCCAACCTTTCCTTGCCGAGCGTAAGACTGGCCATCTTCCGTCAAAAACCACACGCATTGCATATCATGCAGATCAGCCAAAGGCCCTCCAACAGTTTCTGCGCGAGTGAACATCCCCATCGTCTTGATTGCAGCTTCATTCTCGTTGTTTCTCAGTTGATATTTGGCGGCTTTTGTGTTGATGTGACGATCCCTGTTGTCCAAGGTTCGAGCTTGCTCCATGATTTCAGAAGCTTTGTGGGAGTCTCCATAGTGTTTCCATATCCGTGCCTTGGTCATGTGAAAGTCGACGCTTTGGGGTTCCAAGTCAATGGCCTTTTCAATGTACTCCAATGCCTTGTCCAAATCTCGGCTCAGGTAATAGCTATAATGCTGGGCGAGAAAGTAATATGCTGAGGAGGCGCCCTTGGAGGTGTCTCCGTTTCTCTTGGGCTCCTCATTCGCTTCGCTTTTGCCGCTATTGATATATTGTTGAACCAAAGATGGGAGTGTTTCCCTCTTGAAAGAACTTGAATAGAGATGCTTGAGATTGGCAAACGTCGAGGGTACCCCCTTGTCTAACATTCGATGGATATATTTATCAGCAGTCTCTCGGAAATCGTCCCCTATGATACAGATTAGCAATAGAACCGACTGGAGAATTAACATGCATACCATCCAAAAAGTCCAGGGGTAACCGCCGCGCCGCATCATTCCGAGGATATTTTTCGGCATATTCATCATACACAGCCTTTAAGGCTTTGTGATCCGCCGCATCAATGGCCATAGCTTCTACGAGACCATCGTAGTATTTCTTATACTCCGAGTTGCGCTCGATTAAAGCTCGGTATGCTTTCGTAGCTTCCTCTTTCTTACCTAATTTGGTAAGGTAGGTCGCCCGTAACTCCAGTATAGCCAGTCTATCCAGATTGTGTTTGCCGGCAGATTCCAAATGATCCAAAGCCTTCTGGTAATCGCCCTGCTCAGCAATTAAGGAATTCTTGTACATGACCGCCTCAGAGTTCTCGAAGTCCGTTTTCGAAGGGGGGTTCTTCAGAGTCTCTTCATAAGTTGTCAAAACTCCCTCTGCCTCAGCAAGCTCCCCATTGAGATGATGTGCAACAGCCAAAGCCGTCCAATTTTGCCGAATATGTGATCTCGATTGCAACATAGATTTGCGGCTCACAATATATCCCTGATAATCGCGCATTTGTATCTGGAGTAAGGCCAGATCTCGTTGGATCTGCGCAGACTCGGGTTCCAACCTCAACGCAAACTTGTATGCCTTGATCGCCTCCTCGAAATTCTTCACTGCCCTCCAGAGTAGCCCGTAGACGTGCCAGCATACGTGGGATTTCATGTCGCATTGGAGGGCCACCTTTGCAAGAGCAAATGCTTCTTCGGTCTTCCCTTGGGAGTTCATGATGAGCGCTTTCATGGCCAGCGTATCTCCATGCTTGGCATTCTTCTTGAGGATTTGATCAGCCGCCTTGATACCTTGATGGTGTCAGTAACAGCAGTCCAGACGGAGTAAGACAGCTTGTGCACACCTTTCTTGTACTGCTTGTCCTCATAGTTGCGCACGACCGTCTGAAAGAGCGACCGCTCTTTCGCGCTTAACACCTGCGGCATGGCGAATTGCTACTCTATCACAGAGTTCCAGACGACAGCAGGTGAAGTGACCAGGTGTGGGGAGAATCGGGGGAGAGCTCAGCTGTCGCTTTGATTTCGAGACCACCTGGCGCAGCAAGTATTGTAGGGAATATCTCCACTAATCGCAAGGGTCTGACAAACCAAATGAATGTGTCGAGGGTAGAAATGCCTTCAAATGTTGAAGAAAGGGCTGGAGCGCAGGGTCATAAGAGTATTGTAGAGTTTCCGCGTCTACTTAAGTTATCGAGTACTGTACTGTAAATTTTGGCGAACCTCACGGGCATGACACGGACCGTCATCAAGCGTTGAAAAGCAAACCCCTCACCTCCCCCCACCCTCTCTCCAAGATGGGAGAAGCTTATGTGCAACCCCCAGCGCTGATACATAGCACACAGCGATATCTTGAAGGCCCAGAATCTACAGAGTTGCATACAGTAGATATCTGGACAAGTGATTCGGATCCAGCTACCAAAGGAGACGAGAAAACATGGGTCATGTCTGTATTGACCCCTCATTCTCTTTAAACATACACTGAACAGTAGCTAGTTATATTCACGGGGGAGCATGGAGGGATCCTGCTGTAGACTCAAAGTCATTTGAGCCAACAGTCTCTGAATTATGGACGTCTCCAAAGCGTAGCTCAATTGGAGCTTTTGCATCCATAAATTACCGGCTGTCGCCGTACCCTTCGCACGCTGAAAACCCCAGCAACCCGAATGATCCAACTCGGAATGTGCAACACCCAGCTCACCTGCTTGATGTAGCAGACGCTCTATTATATTTGGACGAGCAGTATGGAATTGCCAATCGCTATATTCTTGTAGGCCACAGCGCTGGTGCAACAATGGCTTTTCAACTTCGCAATTCTTACTTGAAAGATGCATTGCTTCCAAAACCAAGTTGTGTCCTTGGAGTTGCCGGAATCTATCACTTTGATGATTTTGTCGAAGTTCACAAACACATACCAGCGTACAAGGAAATGATGGAAAATGCGTTTCCGGATCACAATGTATGGGAAGACGCTTCTCCGCCTGTTACCAAGCTACCAGGTTCCGCTCTGTGGGAAGATGCGAAGATTATAGTTATATCACATTCTGATGGGGATGAATTGGTAGAGAAGGGCCAGTCTTCCACTATGATTAAACGTGCTAGAAGTATAGCCCAAGCCGAAAGGGTACACTCGATCCAAACTACTGGCAAGCATGATGAGCTCTGGAAGAATGGTAAGCTATTGGGAGGTTTGATTTTGAAGTCAATAGACTTGCTTAGAGTTTGATCGGGGTTGAATATCAGGGTTGGGAAGTCGCGAAGTTTACTTTGTCAATCACCCACACCCTGTGAGGAATTCTCCATCAGAGGAAAACCCGAGGCGGTACCAAGCTACATATTCACGGACGGAGCTGTGATCAGTCCTAATATTACAGAGTTGAGATCTATACTTATGCCGTGACCCATCAATGCCCATTACCCAAGATTCAACTCATCCATTTAGCGCCCACGCAGCGTTCCCTAACCCTCTGTCTCATGCAAATGGCCTTTTGCTTCTTTTCGCCTTCTGCCAATCATTCATAGCCTGCTCCCAGTCTCTCCAATCCTCTCCACACCTCTCCCCAACCACTTTCCAGCTCCTTGCTCGCACAATGCTCTCGACCCCGCGTTCCTGCCTTACAACAGCTGCCAGCATCTCCGTCCGCGCCTCCCTAGGAAAGAATCGTGCAGAATAAGGATCTAACCGCTCATCCACAATCCTTTCTCTGTCCTTCACATCCTCTACTTCCCTCAATGGGAATTCCGGATCTTCTGGGTCGGGGCTTGTGGCTACGGACGCGCAGTAGTTGAGGACATCGGAGCGGGATTGCCAGGAAGGGAAGAGCGCTTGGGTTTTGAAGGTGTTGCAGGAAGAGCGTGGGATTTGCTTAGTATACGAGGCCCTTGGATTGCGGGTGCTTGTCGAGGAGGGATCAAAACCTGCCGTCGAGGGGGTGAAGAGCGCATTGAGGTTTTGCGTTATGCTGTCGTCTATAGAGGCGCGGGATATTCGGAGGAAGTCTATTTAGGAGTCTAGCTGAGACGAGGTTGATGAAGAAATAAGTTTGGAATCAGGTATACCTTTTAAAGCGGTTGTATTGAAACAGAATTGAGGCGTTAGCTCTGGATGAGGTGGCGGCTGAGACATTATCTCCTTGGAAGTTGAAGGATGTTGAGGGGCCTCTGCTCGGGAGGACTGCGTCCAGAAATATTTCGCCACTATGAAGGATTAGATGGGTATTGTCCTTTGGACCTTTTGGGGAGAAGTAGAAGATATTCGCTTTAGCAATGGTTGTGGCCACCGGAGCTCAAGATTGAAGGGAGTGAGAGCGAGTGAACATGAACCTCTACAACAGGGGTTGGCTATCTTAGCGTTGTAGATAAGCTGTTGATGACGGTCCGAAGTCGACATTGACCACTTCCGACTCTCTTCTCGTCTAAATTCGCTTTTTTTGTTTTCATCCTCGTCTCGTCATGCTGTAGATGTCTAATTCTCATATCGATGTTCTCGTGGTGAGTAATCTCTTCTATAGTAACTCTCCTCTGTCTTCTCTGTCTTGCAATTGTTACCCGTACTTGATGATGTTGCTGACTTGGTCAGGCAGGAGCCTTCGCCGCTTTCACGGTCGATCTTCTCGTTTATCCCCTAGATACTGTTAAGACTCGATTCCAAAGTCCGGATTACAAGAAGATCTACTACGATGCATCCAAGAATGCTATCAACCGACGGCTTCTCTTGAGAGGCCTCTACCAAGTCAGTATCCTGTTGTCTTGTGCATATTGCACTAACGAGTGTTAGGGCGTGGGGAGCGTTATTTTGATTACTATTCCATCATGTAAGTATTCAGCCTGTTTGGATTGTACTTGGATCTTGTCCATCATGGCTGCTCAACAACGAATTTCTACCCTACTTGAGGCCTTTCTCAATATTGTAACGCTGTTGAATGCGCTGCGATACCGGGGTTCCTTTTTCTTACATCATTTGCTCTGCTAGACCTACTTCTGACTCTCAGACAGCAGGAGCATTCTTTACCAGCTATGAGGCAGTGAAGGGGCTGTTGTCGAGAGCGAACCCTACTCTGAGTGGATCGAGTTCTCCTCTGATTCCGCTGCCCTTTATTCATAGTGCAGCTTCAGCAACTGCTGAACTTGTATCGTGCTTCATTCTTACGCCCGCCGAAGTTTTGAAGCAAAATGCTCAAATGATTCGCCGGCCGACACAATCCTCCACATCCAAAGCCTCAACATTTCTCCAGCCATCAGCGACTATCCATGCTTTGAAGCAATTCAAGACCCCTTCACAACTGTGGAGGGGTTATACAGCATTAGCAGCTCGCAATTTGCCTTTTACAGCCATGCAGTTTCCTATGTTTGAGCACATGAAAGAGGTCATCAAAGATCATAGGAAGAAAAGCGGCACGTACACTGGAGGCTTAGGCGAAACTGCGTTGACAACTGCAGTCAGTGCTGGCAGTGCCGGTTCCATTGCTGCCGTTTTGACTACACCCGTTGATGTTGTGAAAACACGCATCATGTTATCAGCCACGACTGCAGCTTCGGAGAAGGATGCAATGGAAGAGGTCGCGAGGGCCAGGAATGAAGGCCAGTCCCTGGATAAATTGGCAAGCCACAAAGGTGTCACCAAGAAAAGTAGCTTTACCGTCGCACGCGAGGTATTGAATGAAAGCGGGGTGAAAGGATTGTTTCGAGGGGGTATACTGCGAGCCGCCTGGTAAGTTTTCTTACAACAGTGCTATGTTGGAATCGCACTAATCTTTTGGTAGGACGGCATTAGGAAGCGGCCTTTATCTTGGGGTGTACGAGAGTGGTCGAGCTTGGCTCGGGGATCGACATGCGAGCTCTGGAGAAAATGCGTGAATTGTAGCTGAAGCCAGTCGGAACCGCGGGATATATTGTCCTTTTATCTGAGATAATGTGGACAAGTGGAGCGCTTGTTATCATTGTATGCAAGAGACCGCATTGCGAGTTCAAGGGCTGTTTCTGGTCCAGACTCAGAGCTTGTCTCCATTTGAGCTGCAGATCCCGTCGACTTCACAGAATTGCCATGCAGTGAATCCCATTACCGATCTCGGCGCCTTACATTTACACCTCGATTAGCAAAAAGGGGAATATCGAAAGGAAAGTCGAGATGACGGGGAACAACATCGCATAGTGCAGTTCCTCTCAGATCAAACAATAATTGGTCAATGCGCATCAGCCTGCATCATAAAAGACCTTCACTGAGCGGTGAGGCTCGCGGGGGCTATAATCCGCTGTGAGGCAGGACGTCCCGCTCCGGGCATTTGATATTGCAACGTGTATCGAGTCGTTTCTCTGGAAGGAAAATAATGATAGACATTTCGAACTTCCACTCTCACCTACGGAATTGACTCTATTCAAATTGGTTGCCGTACAACGAAGTGTTCAAGACTTATACATCATCTCGGGTTTGCTATAATTCAAACGCTGTCCGTACACTAACATAGCAAGCAAAGTTGGGTTGCCAGTCGACTTCGGGACGGGCCGTGGAGCTCCATATTTCCAGATAAAAGGTTGTGCTATGTGCCTGCGCGTCGAACCCCGATCCATGCTCGGGGGTTAGGGCTGATACCCGATTGCGCGGTGAAGGATAAGTCAGGACGCAGTTGGAGTAAAATCGTCCACAAGTGGCAGGATTGCAATTGATGTGCAACCAGAGCGAGAGTTTACGAGCAAACATGGCGACCAAGACTCACCAAATCCCGCCATCCTAAATCTAGATTGCGCAATATCACATCGTACCTCGATAAAATGATACGACTCCCCGTACCTAGTAAGGTAGTGCCCACAGCACGTTATTCATAGGGAACAAATATCCATTTGCGTAAGACAAGCTTCTGTCTCCTATTCCTTCATTTTTTCCTCCTCTGCTCCAGTCTCATTACCACCCATTTCTCCTTCTAGAATTTAAAGTGCGACTACGCACATCTTTTCGGGTTTTAACGGAGCTTTCGATTTCTTCGTTGTGTATTTCTTTTGAGATATCCTCTTCAGCAGCAATGGCCGTCGCCGCGGCTTCCGCTCCTTTAGATCTTGCTGCCCCTCACGGCTCTAATCAAACCTATCCCGGCGAAAATAAGGGTTCAGTCTCTTATTCTATCAAAGAGATTGCCTCGGGTCACCAGATTATCAATGGAAAGAACGAAAATCTTCTCATTGTGTCTCCTTATGAGGAAGAACCCCATCTACTGGACCTCCGTACCCTCGATTCTGCAAACCAAATTCTTGCCCAGGCCCTCACCGGACTCAAGTGCTTGAGAAGCGACTACGCTACGGCACCTTACGTTGAAATTTTCAACTGGACCGAGGTCATTGAATCTGTCCGACAGCAGGTCGCCACATCAGACTTCGACTGGAAGGAGAACTCATTCTACATTGTCGTCTTCCGCTCTCAGATTCCACCCACGACAGTCTATGCTGATCTCGGCGTCCTTGACAAAGCTGCGCATGCAGAAGCAACAAAGAGCGGCGGATTTCTCAAGTAAGCAAAACACGACTCATTAATGCCCTTTGTTCCGGTACTAACCGGGAAACTAGGTATTGGTTCGGATCACCTGATGCTAGTGGAAGAAACCTAGCTACCTGCGTCTGGCGCAACTTGCACGATGCTCGGGTTGGAAGTGTCGGAGAGGCACACCGAAAGGCAGGTGGAGCCGCACGACAGCTTTATACAGAGTGGAAAATAGAGCGCCTGAGACTGCTGATCAAGGACGATGCTAAGGAATGGGAAATCAGCCAGTGGGTTGATTGAAAAAATAACCGATAGACTTCTCCGGTTACTATCGTTTTGATCCTGCGAAGCGTGGAGTTGGGAGGAGAGGATGCTGGCGCTATTGGAGTTCCGGCATAGACTTTGCAAATAATAGACTGCTTGCGAGATTTAGGCATTACAAATAAAAATGATTGTTTCCGACCTATAATGAGCTAGCTTGTATTGTATTCTTTTTTGGATGATTTCAATGCCTATATGGCCAGGTAGGTGAAGGAAGCATCATCATTATAGCGTAAAAGTGCTCATGTTGACTCTAGTGACATGTATTCACTCCAGGACTGGTGGCACGCGATACACCGCGAAGAATGAGCTGGAATACCACTACTATGAAGAGTTTAACATCTATTAAAAGAAGGAAAGACTCTCGATCCTTTATATGTAACAGACATGAGGTTGATTTAAACACTTGAGTCTGTGGGGGTCAAGTGGGATGAGAGCGTGGGATTTGTATTACAGTGTGAGCGTGTCTTTGGCGCTAGCGCGCACTGATACAGACTCGTGAATTTGGATGGAAAGGGCAAAAAAAAAGGACCCCGACAACACCAAAACGCTGTCTCTTTCCAACACGAATAACACGATCGCATCCACGCTATTGCCTTCTAGAGACCGTAATACTGATCTACTAGCAATCATGGCGGAAACAGCGAAGGAGGTTCCCTTGAACTCGGTGCAAGTGGAGGCGTTGGTATGAATATTCTCTTCGCGCCGGGATACATCCAAGGCTGACGAAATACTCCATTAGGTTGTCATGAAGATTGTGAAGGCTTGCGCTGCCTCTTTCCCAACGACTGCGACTGGATCCATTGTCGGCATGGACGTTAATGGCACCCTTCAGGTCACCAACAGCTTCCCATTCCCGACTGCAGACATCGCAGCCTCCGACTCGCACCCTAACGACCACATGGCTGCTTCGAACATTGCTGCCGCAGCGCCGAGATCAAAGGCGAATGCTACATATCAAAACGAGATGATCAAGTACCTGCGGGAGGTAAATGTTGACGCCAATAACATTGGATGGTACACGAGCGCAAATATGGGCAACTTCATCAACACCAGCTTGATTGAAAACCAGTTCTTCTACCAGAAGGAGGTCAACGAGCGAACAGTTGCGTTGGTTCACGATGTTAGCAGAAGTTCTCAGGGTGCTTTGAGTCTGCGAGCCTTCAGACTGTCCCCAACCTTTATGGCTGCTTACAAGGAGAGCAAGTTCACCGCAGAAAAGTAAGTTATTGCTTTAAATTGTTGCTGGACAATTTTCTAACACCTATAAAGCATGCAAAAAACCAAGCTCACCTACAAGGACGTCCTGGTTGAACTACCCATCATTGTCCACAACTCCCACCTTTTGACCTCTTTCTTGCACCAAATGCCTGCTGAGCTCCCCAAAGAGGAACTTGACTTCCCGGCCAGTCTTGCAGACCTCAACGCCAACCCTCCCAAAATCCCTCTCTACCCAAATCTTGATTCTCTCGATCTCTCAATCGACCCATACCTGGAGAGAACTTGCGATATGCTTCTGGACAGTATCGAAACGCACTACACCGAACTCAACAACTTCCAATACTTCCAAAGACAACTCGCCCGTGAGCAAACAAAGATCACCGCATGGAAGGCCAAGCGTACTGCAGAGAACCAGGCTAGAGTCCAACAGAAGCTAGCACCATTACCAGAGGATGAGTGGGAAAGATTGTTCAAGCTACCCGTAGAGCCGAGCAGATTGGAGGGTATGTTGAATGCTAAACAGGTGGACCAATACTCGAGACAAGTAGATGGCTTTACCGCGAGCATTACCAGCAAAATGTTTGCCGTGAAGAGCAACCTGCTGCCAGAGTCATCGTAGTGGGGGTAATTCTTTGGTTGGTTGCATGGGCTGGCTGGCGTTCAGAGGGGCATATGTATAAATGGTTGATATGACCAAAACAAAACTAGTGCTAGATAAAGCTTATGAACTATGAAAACCCTCGGAAGTACTATGACATTGTTTCGTGTTCGATTTGTTTCATCCTTCTTGGACTGAGGAGTTGTACGAGGTACCGTACAAGTAGGATTTTCGGAGTTTCAGTGCCCAGCCTTCAAGGGCGGTTTGACCCCTCACCTGGTGATGCCTGGGTATGGTAGATAGACAACTTGCAGCAATACTAACAGGAATCAAAGTACTACTCGTGATGGGGTATTATTCAAGTAAAAGTATATAACAACGTTACTATCGCACTCCGAAGTTCGGATGCCGATGTTCTTGCACCAACATTGTTGTTTTCCTTTTTCTTCAAATCAATCCTGCCCCTCGCGTTTTCAGGGGTCCCAAAGCCTGTCCTTACCTATCGTGGCCTAGTGTACAGAGATCGAGGGCTCCCACATTTTCAGACATCTTTCCTCCCCTCTTCCTTCCTCATCCTCCTTCCTCCTCATACCTCCTCATACCATCCCCACCACTATCAAAGCCTCAGAGTATGTAAACCATTGTTATTTCAATTGATAACGTACCGCACTTTGGCTAACATTCCCTCTCCAACACAGTCCCTTGTCCAGGCAATCTCCAGATCGATAACCCCTCACCGCAACTAAATCCTTCACACCTCCAACATGTCTGCTCCCGCATCAAAGTTCAAGGTGCGTGCATATCCCTCCCACGTATCTTGATCCAATACTAACGATTACTCCCTCCAGGTCGCTGACCTTTCTCTTGCTGCCTTTGGCCGCAAGGAAATTGAGCTCGCTGAAAATGAAATGCCCGGCCTTGTCGCTACCCGCGAGAAATATGCTGCCGACCAACCGCTCAAGGGAGCCCGCATTGCTGGATGTTTACACATGACCATCCAAACTGCTGTCCTCATCGAAACCCTTACATTCCTCGGGGCTGAGGTTACCTGGTCATCTTGCAATATTTTCTCTACTCAGGTAGGCTTACTCTCATACAAATTCGTTGAGGGGAGCTAGAAGCCTAAGAGCTGTTCCATAAGCTCGTGGGCCGGCTTCCAATGCAGCTCCCAAGCTCCGCGACTCTTTCTAAGCACTTCATTTTGTAATATGCTAACTCACTGGATAGGATCATGCTGCTGCCGCCATTGCCGCTGCTGGTAAGTCAAAAGCCACAATCCTCTTTTGGTAAATTCGCGGCTGATGATAATAGGTGTCCCCGTCTTCGCATGGAAGGGTGAGACTGAGGAGGAATACCAATGGTGTTTGGAGCAACAACTTGTTGCATTCAAGGATGGCAAGGGTCTGAACTTGATCCTCGATGACGGTGGTGATCTCACTGCTCTTGTCCACAACAAATACCCAGAGATGTTGAAGGGATGTTATGGTGTATCCGAGGAGACCACCACTGGTGTTCACCACTTGTACAAGATGTTGAAAAACAAGACCCTTCTTGTTCCCGCCGTCAATGTCAATGACTCTGTCACCAAGTCCAAGTTCGACAACTTGTACGGTTGCCGTGAATCGTTGATTGATGGTATCAAGCGTGCCACCGATGTCATGATTGCTGGTAAGGTCGCTGTTGTTGCCGGTTTCGGTGATGTCGGAAAGGGATGTGCTATGGCTCTTCACGGAATGGGTGCTCGTGTCATCGTTACCGAGGTCGACCCCATCAACGCTCTCCAGGCTGCTGTCTCCGGATACCAGGTCTTGACCATGGACAAGGCTGCTAGCGAGGGACAAATCTTCGTTACTACCACTGGATGCAGAGACATCTTGGTTGGCTCCCACTTTGAGAAGATGCCCAATGATGCTATTGTCTGCAGTAAGTTTCTTGGTTAATCATTACTTTCACCTCGCTGACTTCCCAGACATTGGTCACTTCGATATTGAGATTGACGTTGCGTGGTTGAAGAAAAACGCCAAAAGCGTACAAAACATCAAGCCCCAAGTCGACCGATTCCTCATGGCATCTGGCCGCCACATCATCCTCCTCGCCGAGGGTCGTCTTGTCAACTTGGGTTGTGCCACAGGTCACTCCTCATTCGTCATGTCGTGCTCGTTCACCAACCAAGTTCTTGCCCAAATCTTGTTGTTTAAATCTGAGGATGCTGCTTTCGGCAAGAAGTACATCGAGTTCGGCAAGACCCAGAAGCTCGATGTTGGTGTCTACGTTCTACCCAAGATCTTGGATGAGACCGTTGCTAAGCTTCACTTGGCTCATGTCAACGCTGAGCTTACCAAGCTGACCCCAACGCAAGCCGAATACCTTGGCCTTGAGGTTGCGGGTCCCTACAAGAGCGACATGTACAGATACTAGATTTTGTTTTCTGATTTCTAAAATTCCCTTTGTTTTGGTGGATATACCTTCAACACGAATAATGATGGCATGATGTTTTGGGGTAAAGCATTTGTCCTTCAACGGCATATACTAGAGCGGTTACTCTGGAAAAAGTTTTTCAACAATGGGATGGGGTTTCATTTCAGCGAATGGCGTTACTTGGCTAGATCTTCAACAACGGTCAAGTAGACAGATAGAACAGGTTTTGTTCTTAGAGAATACACTCAATAGGGTGTAGAATATTTTGCTGGTCTTCTACTTGTGAATTCTGTTATTCGAGGTATTGTAATTGATATTCCCTCTCCATCAAATTGTCTCCTGTCATTGGCCGGTGGAGATAGGTCAGGTCATGCAGCAATTGCCATCACATGTACAACACATGAGCGCCACGACATCGTTGGCCTTTGCTAGCCGTTCCAGATACGCAGAGCTATGCATAATCATGCAGTTGTTTCCTACGCCTTGATTGGCAATCTGGTAAATGGTGTGAAGACGTGGCTCGAGTTGGGATGATATTTGTTCTGGGAGTGAAAGTAACCCCGCACCTTGAAGCCCTTACTTATGGGTCTTCCTCGTCCAAGCTGCTATCCCTCAAAAGTGAGCTTGAGCGTAGACAAGTACACAGTTCTAATCTTATCCGGCAGCAAGCAAGCATGTCTGTCTTATCCGTCGGCCTCTCCACAACACACTCCCTCGCAAAATCCCCCACCTCCTACATCTACCTCCTCACAAACCAAGGAGTACAATCCGACGTCCACTGCTCACCCACTCCCTCCTCTAACCCGCGCCAGTGCGTTCCGTCGCGTTTCGTTCCTAATCCCCCTTCATTCCTCAACGCATCTCATCCCATCCCATCTCACCTCACTAATCACTCCCTTCCCCTATCTAGAGTCTCCCTCCTCGACTCCTCCCTCCTCACCACGCTCTCCGCCTCCACGCCCCTCTCCCCGGGCTCGCTCGGCGAAAACATCACAACGTCTAACCTCGACCTGACCTCGCTGCCGCTGCACACGCTGCTGCATTTCGGGGACCACGACGGCCATGCGGTTGTAAGGATTACGGGGACCCGGGAGCCGAGGAAAAGGGCGGCGGAGTGGCCGACGGGGTTGAGGGAGAGAGAGAGGGGGAGCAGGAAGCAGAAGGTGGGCGTTATGGGGGTTGTGGTGAGAGATGGGTATGTGCAGCCTGGGGATGTGGTTTTTGTGGAGAAGGGGAAGGGGGGAAAGTTGGGGAGTGTGTGAGGGGGAAGGGAAAAAAAGGCGCGGGTGGATTTACTTTTGGCTGATGGCGGGATGGGTTTTCGTGGAATGCGTTGTGTGTATTTGTTGTAGTTGTTGTGTGATGTTAGTGAACTGTAGCTTACTTTGTAATTCTGACTCGTGCCTCTTTTGGTAGCTTTATGTGAATTAAGGCTTACCGCTTATTTCTAAAAGGGGTAATTGACAAATCGTCGAGCTATCTAAAAATCAGTGGGTGGGCATGGAAATTGTGTTGATCCTCGCTATTAGATTATGTACCATACATTTGTACAAGTATAGGCAAATATTAGAAATGTTTCGAAGGAGTTTCGGGCTTACTATTCCATGTCCGCTACTCCGGAGGACAGTGCGAAAACGGGTTGTCACTTTCGAAGGTATAAAAGTTAATCAAAAGCGTAAGGCAAGTCATTGGAATCAAGCCACGATATATTGCCCATAGAAGCGCTCCAGCCCTAAGTCATCCTGTCTCTGGTATTGTACTGTACACGTAAGCAACGCCTAGTAACTCCAGCCCCTTTTCGCTTCCCATACAATAAATAAATCCTTTCCCCTTTCCATTAAACATTAGACATAGAGGCCAACGCCGTGGCCGCCTCCGCGTCCTCTAGAGCCTGCCCGTTCAATGGAACCGGACTTTGCGGCACAGCTTCTCTGGTAGGGGAATACGCCGCTTGAGCAGCCGCAGCTCGAAATTCATCCGCCGTCGGAATCTTAGCCGCGCTTGCTAGAACTCTTTGCCTTCGCTCATGGTAACTATATTCGTTGTTGATGACTTGGTCTAGCAAGACCTCCTTCTCCGCCCACTCTTTCCGTCGTAGTTGCTCGTAAGCTTCGGTTTGCTCCTTCAGTGCTACGGTTTCTTCCTGTGCCCAATGAATTTGTCGGCGCAATAACTGGAATAGCTGCTCGGCGCCTCGTTCTTCTTCGTCTGGTGTAAAACCTAGCTCAAGAGGGTACGAAGAAGTCCATCCAACAAAGTGATGCGGGCTGCCGTTCGTAGTGCCGTTTGTAACTGGTATAGGTGCTGCTTCTGCTGCTGCTGTGCCATGGTCTTTCTTGACTAGGAGTTTTAGACGGGATTTGTTGTGTTGTGGATTTAGGTACTTGGGGACTGGGTCAGAGGGGCGGAGAGCTTCAGTTTCGTGGACAGTTCGCATGTGCTTTGCTAGGGCATCTGAACGCGTGAAGGCTCTATCACATTCTGTAGAATATTAGTAGTCGGCCATATACGGAACTGCAGGTGGAATTACCAGGTAATGCGCAATAGAAGGGCTTCTCTCTCGTATGGCTTCTCATATGCGCCTTCAAAGCATAACCACTCGCATGCGGGAGACTCTTCCTCGTACAGTCCCCCCATTCACAGGTATACTTCTTCTGCCTCGTCTCAATATGCTCATTATGGATGTGCTCTACCAGCCTATCCATATCATTCATATCGCCTGCGTCGCAACCATCCCAGGCGCAAACCGTCACTTGCTCATGTATATCGTCATCTGGGAGCGGGACTCCATGGACTGGAGACTGGGGGATTTCGCCGTCGGTATCTGAGGAAATGGAACCCTCGACGGGATGCGAGGCAGGAGTGCCCCTCAAGGAGGCGTCTCCCAGTTTCTGACGTTTTGCGGGAGGCATGTGAGCTTCGGCGAGTTGCTCATGTTCTTCTTCGCCTTCGCCTTCAAAGGCGTCTGAGGAGAGGTCGGAAAGGGGAGACCCCACGGGAGATTCGTCTGCCATAATGAACCGCCTTTTTATATTTGATATAAATCAATTGAATCCACTTGTATCTGGTAGTTTTGTATGCAGGAGCGGCAGCATCATGTACAGTCGGGCTGTCAAGCTGGCTTCCGAAAGATACTCCTACGAAGGTATCGCGATGTGCACGGACCTCTTTCACGGGTATAAATTTCGCTGAAAAATAATTTCAGAATGCACTGCTTCAATAACCTTTGCTCAACACCAACATGTGTTTCAATGTCGCATAAAATACATCATGTATTATCCTTTAGTTCACTTTACTATGCTCCTCGATTGTATTCACAACAACGCAATGGGGAGCTACAGACACCATGGTATGTACCTTAATTCGTATCCCACAACATTTCCACTCCCGTGCTATGATGAATACAAAAAAGAGTTCTGCAATTCGGATGGCTTCGGCCAATGTCGACTTCTTATACGTTACACATTCCCTGAGCACTATTTCAATTCTCCCAAGATGCTTATTGATTACTGAAGAGCATAGCTAACGTCTCAGCCCTCTGTGTATGCAGCCCCAGGACCTCCATACCGACCACCTTGGACCGTGAAGCTCTTCAAGATCGAATCAATAGCCTCCGATTCACTGCTACTTAATCCAACATCCTTTGCGTTCTCACGAACTCGCTCGGGGTTCGTGGCACCGGGAATAGGAATAATCTCTGGGTTGCCGTTCTTCTTGGACAAGTGTCGCACCCAACTGATTGCAAGTTGTGCTGGCGTACAACCTTTCTTAGATGCTATATCTTGCAACTTCCGGACTAGGTCTATGTTGTTTTCAAAGTTCTCGGGATGGCATTTAGGTGATGTCCTTAAGAAAGAGTCCTCGGGAATATCCTCAAGCTTCTGGAACTCTCCAGTCAAGAAACCACGGCCAATCGGTGAGTATCTTTCTATTGTCAGTCCGGTCATAGAGGAGGTGGCAATGTACATACGCAACAACAAGAATATTATGCTCTGCGCATGCAGCCGCAACACCATTATTTAGAATATCCAAACTCCAGAGCGAAAGCTCAACCTCAACAGCTACGATCTTCGTGACCTTGACAGCCCTTTTAATCGTAGCAGCAGAGACTTCAGATAGAGCAATACCCCCAATCTTCCCTGCTTTGACATATTCCTCCAGTGCTTTCAGCGTAGTCTCAATAGGTGTATTCTTGTCCACTCTCGCAGGCTCAAAAATGTCAATGCTCTTCTTGCCGTCTAGAAGCTTCAGACAGTTCTCCACGGATCGCTTGATATTCTCGGGAGAGCCATCGGGGTGCATATGTTTCAAGGCCCCTTTGACTGAGAGTACAACTTTAGAGGCGTCTTCAGGGTACTTGGAGAAGTACTTGTTGAGTAGGTGAAGCGAATTGTACTCGGGCGTGCCGTAGAATTCGCCCGCCTACCAGATCCGAATGAGCATTAGATAACCCATATTAGTAGAATTGAGGCATATGGCCATGACTTACATTCCAAAAGATGTTTCCGACTTCTATGGAAGCTTTCATGGCTTTGAATGACTCTTCAATGGGTTGGGGATTTGCGCGCCACGTGAGGCCTTTGATAGAGCATCAGCACCCAGGAAGACAATATTGTGACCTGAGAAGCTCACCCATGAGGCCGTAGCCTGTAGAACCAACATCATTTCCCAAGAGTTGAGGCATATCGTTTGAGATTGTTTGTAAAATTGGGATCGGATTGTTATTTCTTCAAAAGTGGATAGATAGTTCTAGGGTGCAGGAATGTCAACCCAAACTTCATTAGGAAACCTGGCTCACCTTTCTCCTCTTATACTTTGAAATCGAAGAGCCCTAGAATTGACAGTTCACACTAGGAGTTTAACAGGACTTAAGAGGGAAAGTTATTCTTGGCCCGCGGAATTAGCAAACCACGACGTTATCTCCGTCATCTACCTTGTTTATGTGTTCGAAACCAGACTACAGTACGGATTCAACTTCTCCCTCGCAGTGTTTATTTATTCAAAAAGGAAGGTTCTTACATATCTTGAAGTCTACGCATGTTTACGAGAAAACGCCTCCCTCAGGTCATTTCCTCGTCTTTGCCTACTGTACCTTAACCAGTCTCCCCTTACGATTAGATCATCCTTCACATTTGATCCCCAAAGCTCTCACGTTATTCCACAATCCTTTCATCCATTCGTGTCTCCTTTGACGTTGTGCAGCATGAGACACGCCAGTTTCAACTAATCCGAGTACACATCCCAGGTCTTTCATCGACTGCTAAGGTTCATTTCCACGCTCATCACCCTTCCCAGCATCCCTTCTTTTGCGAAACGAAAATCTCGCTATAGCCTTCATATCTTCAGGGTGTGCTTTCTCTCTCTCTTTTACGCTTCTGTCACAGAACCTTTTCAGCTCTGGAAAGTCTTCATAAAACAGTGACGCGTTCTGAAGAAGTTCAAAAACACAACATCTCCTAGTGTCACATCCCAGAAACAGGTAAATTACCTTTAGAAACGGGTAGATCAGCATGAAAAGGAATGCATTTCTTGTTTTCATACTATCTTACAATATCTCGCCAGAGCTTCTCACATACCCCCCTGGTTTAACCGTTCAGATAGCTTTGCCCATCTGCTTCTTCTTCGCCGACGCACTCTCCTTGTTGCTGAAAGGAAAACCACTCGTCCTCTTATCCGCGCCTGTTTTCCTACTAATCCTTCCTCCACTACTGGCAAACAAAACACACCACAACCCTACACTAGCCAGTGCTGCATAAACAATGGCACCGAGGGCGAATGAAGTTTGACCGGAAGTGTTATACCGTGCGTACGTGAAAAAGGCAGCGGCGCTGTGGTAGAGGAGGGAGATTGTCAAGGTCGGGACGGCATAGGGTGCTTTTGGGTCAGATTCGGCGGTTGTTACTCCAGCAGAGGTTGCTAGGAGCGTTGTTAGTAGATGAATTAAAGAGAGGGGTAGATTAACGAACTGTCGGAGAATGAAGAGGTCAATGGGACGGAACCAGTGAGGAGGATGATCATTATTCCTAGCGTAAACAGCGTCATTCCGAGGGAGCGGGAGAAGTATTCTTCGAGTACTTGAACTGATGTTAGAGCTTGATGGGAATTGGATGGCATGGAGGCCAACTAACCTGTTGGTTCACGGACATCAGGGGAGAGGAGAGTGATAATGATTGTGGGAGTTATGACAAGAGGGGCAGCTTGAAGGGTCAACCACCCAGCTGTTGCATATGTGTAGGCGTAGTAGACCTGAGATAGATGTCAGTTGGTGAGCCATACCATGCTGGGATTTCAATGCTGATAACATACATCCATCTTGAAGAAACTGTCGTTTTGTTATTGAGAGTCAAAGTAAATGTTTGGGAAGGAAGAAAGAGTATAAAGCAAGCAAGCTCCCTTTGGATATAAATAAGCCATCAGGTACTTGTACCACTACCACTAGAAAAGGAAAAGCTTTCGTCCGATACAACCCCTACGTCATCAGGATATCCTTGCATTCTTACCAGTAAAGTACGGAGCAAAGTAGCGCGGGGTGTACGGAGGTAGGCTTCCTGCAAGGGCAATCCCTGCGAAGTTTGTATGGAGAGCGCAATCGGAAGTGGCTGATTAGATATCAAGAGGGGCTCTGCTCCATCTCTTTTTTTCTTGCATACAAATTGCAAACATCTCCGCAACGACATCTTTTACCATATACCTCTGGCTTCATTCAAAGAGAACAATTCAAAGGAAAAGGAGAAACATAATCTTTGCAGAAAGCGGCGCGGCGCGTCGCCACCAAGCAGCAACATGTCCGCCATCCTCTCCGCAGATGATCTCAACGACTTCATCTCACCAGGAGTAGCATGTATCAAGCCCGTCGAAACCCTCCCGGCCGCAAAAGCCCCTTCAAAGTCAGATGTGTGTCCCCAGTTCACTTCCTTTGAAAATCATCCCAACTGACAAACCCCAGGATCCCTACGAAGTATCCTTCAACACTGAGCCCTTACCCGCCTCCGACCTCCCTCCCGCCCAAATATCTCTCACCGATTGCCTCGCCTGCTCTGGCTGTGTGACATCAGCAGAAGCAGTGCTCGTCTCTATGCAATCACATGCCGAAGTTGTGCAGGAACTGGATTCAGGCCCGTCGCTGCGTTTGCGTGGCAATATCGCTGGGTCGGGGATAGAAGTCGAGAATCTAGAGAGTGGAGGACGAATATATGTAGCGAGTGTAAGCCCGCAGTCGAGGGCTAGTATCGCAGCTACGTATAAAGTTACAGAGCAAGAGGCGGGGAACATGATTGAGCAGTTGCTGAGTGGGCCAAAGGGAATTAAAAACCGGGCTGTGTATAGGAACGGGTTTCAATGGGTAGTAGATACGAATGTTGCGCGCGAGGCATGTTTAGTGCTCGGCGCAGACGAAGTTATGAATTCTATGCTTGAAGGGAAAGGGACTGAGAATGGGGTTGCCACGAAGCAGCCTACGAAACCCATACTCACCTCATCGTGTCCAGGGTGGATATGCTATGCAGAGAAGACGCATCCGCATGTACTGCCACATCTGTCACGGTTGAAATCACCACAGGCACTTATGGGCACTTTGTTAAAAACAACACTGAGTAGAAAGCTTGGCATTTCGCCAGACAGGATCTGGCATGTGGCGATCATGCCATGTTTTGATAAAAAGCTGGAAGCTAGTCGGGAAGAACTAACAGACGCTGTTTGGGAGGGTACTGGGACTCGGGGAGTCAGAGATGTGGATTGTGTTATTACAAGCAAAGAACTTCTAATGCTCGCCGATTCGAGACGAGTCGATTTTGCTAAGCTTCCTCGAACACCCGTCTCACGGATACCGTTCCCAGAACCAAAACTAGATCCGTTCTTGTTCCCAGCTCGACGTCGGAAGAACAACACTCCAGCAGCTGGCTCTTCTGGAGGCAACCTTTACTATATCCTCCAATATTTCGCATCTCAGTGCGAAGGCGCTTCTGTCCAAACAGCACGCGGAAGAAACGCCGATGTATTAGAATACACAGTTACCTCGGCAACAGGAGAGACTCTCATGAAAGCGGCACGATACTATGGATTCCGAAATATTCAGAATCTAGTCCGGCGGCTGAAGCCAGCTAAACCATCCCGTATGCCTGGAGGAAAACCATTTGGGAGTGCTAGAAAGCCTGGAGGCAAGCCAGGTGGACCAGACTATTCATATGTGGAAGTCATGGCATGTCCAGGAGGGTGCACGAATGGCGGAGGGCAGATAAAGGTCGACGACCCAGTAATAAGCGGCCGTGAAGCTTCGAATATGAAACCAGGACCTCAGGAGCAGAAAGTGTGGCTTGCTCAGGTGGATGAGGCGTACTTCTCCGGAGAGGACAGTACTGAAGAGGACACCATCATGGAAGACCATAACGATATGGTAGAGGGAATATCCCCGTCGTATATTAAAAATACCCTATCGCACTGGGCAACCACCACGGGTATAGATTTGGAGCGGTTGGCGTACACGACTTATCGCGAGGTAGTCAGCGACGTAGGGAAGAGCGCTGGAGATACCGAGCGTGTAATAGAGATCGCCGGAAAGATCGGAGGAGGTTGGTAATCGTAGGTAGAAAGAAAGAATCAAGTCTTCTTCCCACCCCTTTTCGCAAAGCCCTTTCCATTCCCATCCGGTCCCTTCGGCGTGCGAATGATCTGATCGTCGTCCCTAGGCGTAGAAGCCCCAGACCGGGAAGAGGCCTCCCCATTCCGTTTCTGAATGTTGACTCCCCCTGACTTTGGCGTGTAATTCGGATCGAACAATTCTTTCGGCCCTCCCTGGCTGTTTGGCCTTCTATTATCCGCACCACCTCCCCGGCCACGACTCTTCCCTCTACCTCCTTCTGGGGTAGTGGTCCCCGGACTTGAAGCCCCCGATGGCGTTCCTAAAATCCTAGCTCTAGCCTCATCATACCTCCTCTGCTTCTCCTCCCGCTCCCTTTGCGCCTTAATCCTCAATTCCTCTGCGGTAGGCTTATCCTTGCTCTCTACTTCCTCATCATCCTCATCCTCAACCGTCAACTTTGCCAATCCCGTAATCGGATCCAGTCTCTGTACTACTTTCGGAGCGGGCTTGCGCGACAGGACTTTGAGCTGGGGTTTGAATTCTGTGCGCAGGGGCACTTTGTCCTCCTTAGCAGCGAGAAAGTGGAAGGTTTCGGGCTCTTCGCTATAGTTTACAAATCAATTATCAGTATCTATGTAGTATACTTAGGATCTAGTTGTGTAGTGTACATACGCAGAATCCCAAATCTTCTTATTTGTCTCCGCATGTCTGGCCAGGCGTTCCGCCTTCGATACCTTGATGGTCTCTTCCTGCGCTTCCACTGCTGCAGTTTCGTCTGCTTTGTCGGCTATAGCTTCCCAATCGTCGTCCCAGGCATCTGGAACTGCTGCTTTTTTACTCATTTTATGGCGTGTGGTGTGTTGGAATTTTGTGGTGTTGGAGGGGAGGGGGTGGGATTGGGTCGCTGAGTGAAGCGGCGTGCCTGCTGTGAATGTGGGGAAGCTTGCTAGATCAGGCAGACTCGCAGAGTCCCTTGGACTTGGACTCGATACATTGTGCCATACTTTAAGTATCCACACCCAACTACAAATTACGACAACTTGTCAAGACCTCGGTGAATATTATCAAGACTCAAGCAATATGTCTTGTAAGCTTCCCCTTCCAATTCGCCCAGAACCTGCATCTAACAACCCCAGCATCCAACACCCAAAAGCCCACCCTCTCCAGCATCTTACCCACCTCTCAACACATCTCAGAATACTCCGACGCGACCATGGCCGACGCACCCGACTCCCCCGTCCAGACGACTTCCTCCCAGAAATTCCAATCCCCCCAGCATTCGCAAAGCAGTAAAGCAAATGGCGCAGAGAAGAGCAGCGGTGCTCCGGGCTCGAGTTGGAATACCAAGAAGTTTAACGAGGAGTACGATCGTGCTATGATGAGCGTGGTTGATAAGGATTGGGATCATGGTGAGTTTTCTCGATTTCCTGGCGGGGGGGTGAAATGGTCAAGAGATGAGGAGCAAGGCTGACTTTGGGTCTTTGTAGCCAAGTACGGTGATGTTCTGATGGGATGAGTCTAGGTGGGCGGGGCGTTCTGACTTGAACTGGCAAATGGAGTTTATTGGGGATTTTAGGAGCATTCAAGGGGAGTTTGGGTTCGTACTGGAAGATACATGGGAATGCTTTGCCATTTGCTACTGCTAGCCTGGACCAAACACTACGACGGCATTGTCTACGAACGGGCATGATGATGAATGAACGAACTACTATAACACGCGATCTACCAAAGCTTAGACGTAACCTCGAAGAGTTTCGAAGGGTAACAAGGCCTTGGGTCTCGTAGCATCATAGTGTCCAAATACGTTCCAGTGGTGATTCTAAAGTTTTGGGATATCTGCCTTTTCTACTCTAGTCTTCTTTGCTTTACTCTTTACTTTAATTGATACATTATAACAATGGCGCTTTTCTAGCTGAAGTCAGCTTCGGACTAAATTGAATACTTAGTCCTGAGAACCAGGTATCGAAATCCTAAAATGCATCATTATTCTAGACGATCCCTAGGAAGTTATAGGCACCTGTGAGAGGTTCAGAAATATCTAGGAGGTCCAGGGGGTAACTCGTTAATGTCAAAATTGGTTATCGGCCTCCTAAGGGTATCACGTCTCTGAACATACATAGGCAGTGTATATGCTCTTTTTAAAGTTTTTTTTTAGCAGTAGTTACGCTATAAATGACAATAATAGCAGCTTATAAATTTAAGAGCACCTGACCCCTCTCTCAACTTTCTCCATCTTTTGCGAGAATATCGGGATGATGATAGCCTACTATGGCTTGTCAACCTCCTTTCGCCTGCACCTCCGAATCAGGAAGCAAGTCTCACGCATATATTACTCTTTTATTCTAAATATTAATTCCAAGGGTGAGCTCTCGAAACACTTAATTGATATTAGTAGAAGCCGCAGGTCTATAATACTGAGGGTAAAATGCACACCACATCTTGAGTCAATCTATCCTTGAGTACTTGCTATAAAATGATACTTACCTAGGGGCATCACAGACAAGAAAAGCTGGTACTAAGCGCTCTACTTATACGCATAAAAAATAATCTATTATCCTTAAGCAAAGAAGAGATGGATGAAATAGATCTTACCCGTTTCAAAGACTGCACCTAAACTCAGCGCTCACCTAGACTCTGTGTGAATTATGCCTAGATAATCATAGACGATGAAACTCTTCGAGAGGGACCCAAAACGCTGGCGACAGAGAATGCATACATGTTTGAATATAGTACGGCGCTGCTCCTACGTGAAGGCATTTCCGCACATGAATCAACAGGTTTAATCAAGCCATTTTTCACATCTAAATAATATAAAGTTTAAGACTGTAGGACAGTTGATCGAGATTGCTTTTAGCTTTGATTTCACGGACTCCACAATATCCAATGCCGTCACGGTCAGATTCTAGCTCGTATAGTACTCCCAAATTCCATAGCGAGCAAGCTGTCATGAATTACGAGAGGAAGGAGCGAGTGTGGTGTCACGACTTTTGATATTAAATCGTACAAGGGAAAAGAAAATTGGGCTACTAGCCGAGTTATTTATTTGTTGGTCATAAAAATCAAAGGTAATGAGGGGTGAAAAGAGGTTTTGGAGTGCAACTTTGCGAAAGAAGGATGATCACGGGAGCGGGCTATATGAAGCTTGATGTGGCACAGTTAAAGAGAAGATGAAGTTATGGTATCCATTGGTATTTCTGAGCGTAAGGCATTTCGGTCAAGCACCATCTGACTTCATAGAATGCATCTTATAGCTAGGCAAAATCGATTTTGCATGTTTTGAGTTATTCTATCACTGCCGCTGAAGATCTTGTTATCTCATTCTGGACATGACAGCCTTGACGGTGCCGTCAACTACAGGTCGATCCTCAATGGAGACTTCACCAATGCCAGTTGAATCGCCGCTCCCATTTTCGAGCCACCTTGCGAGAAGGTCATTACTCTCCTTGGGCTTGACGTCTTCTCCACGGGTGCCGACAGTGATATGAGCAACCGCATTGACACAATCCCAACCAGGGTCGACGATGCGCGCCACAATGGCCATGATTCGGTCATCCCAAACAATCTTTTCCAACATGATCTGGCAATCACCTAGCTTGTTGTCCCAACCATCGAGTAGCGTATTCATGTCACTATACTTCTGCCAGACATCCGGGTGAGACTTGGAAGATGCACGGTGGATCAGTGTAACGTGAAATTCGGGCTGGACACGACGGGTTTCTTGAAGTTGTCGAAAGAATTTACCCTTGTTGGTCGAGATGGAGGCAAAGGCGTTCTCAAGACTATCGAGAATATCCTTCTTTGGTAATGCAACGGAGACATATTCCAATGGGCGGGGCTTCTTGGCCACCTTTGGCTGTTGCTTCTCGCGGGGGATTGCCTGCTGTCCTTTCTTATTTGGTCGCTTGAAGCCGCCCTTGGGACCAACCTCATGCCGAATTTCTGGCTTGTAATCGCTCATAGCTATCTTGATAGCTTCGTCGAGATCCTCGCTTGTTGGCATATCTTCGAAGAACAGCCTGGGGTAGGTGGTGTGGAGTTGGCTGATCACAGTTTCCAGGTTCATCCGCGAGCTCAAGGTTGGATCGAGGTCGATGACAGTATCGAACCCGTCATCGGGCGCCGCATAAGGATTTAGTTCCTCAAAGCGGTGGATGAATCCTTCCATAATTCCAATAACTTTATCTGGGTCCGCAGCTGCTTGGATGGTTTGATGATTGTCACCACGACTAAGAACTCTACTTTGAATAACCTCCCGGATCTTCGCAAGAGTCTCTGGGGTATGCACAAAGTTTAGAGCAACAAGTCGTACGTGAAGATGTGACATATGAACATCGTCAAGCAGTTGCTTTCTCTCATGTCTTTGAGCATTGTTCCGATCGGCAAAAACGACAGGGAGTTCCTCCAACTGGCCCAGAATCTCTTTGGTAAACCGGGGTGGACGGCCTTTGCCCTGGATGTTGTCATTTTGGACGTGACCCCAACCGAAGAGATGCGAGAGTGCGATCGCAATGGTTGTCTTTCCAACCCCTAATGTGGCAATTGGGACCAATATGACACCCTTGGAGATGTCCTCAGCAGCCCCTCCAGTCGCAGCATATTCCTGTCGGATGATGTCGGAGCCCTTTAGATTCTTCTCCTTCAAGAAATCGTCCCGTAACTGAATGATGCCATGATTTTGTTCGTACTCTTTGGCCATCTTAGAGTTCTCAGCAAGCTTCCTACGAGCAAAAAGTAAGTACTCCTCGGTAATTTTAACATGCTTCCTAAATCGAGGTGGCTTTCCAGAGATGAGGTTCTTCGTACACTCACGCCATTGACGATACATTAAATATGGTTCTTCAAACTTGTACTTGAAGAACCAGTCTATGTAACGATCGGATTTGGTAGCGCGTGTTTTGCATCGAATAACGAACCCCTCAACATCTCGGCCGTTGTAATGACCAGTCTCTGCCACTCCATCCAGGAACTTCTTCATTTCTTGGACATCGTCGATAACAAGGAAGTCAGTCTTTCGAAATCCCCACTCATCAGCAAAGGCTTGGATTTGGGGACCCGGATATGTCATGAACTCGGGAATGTTTATGTTGATGCCGTGAAGATACAGTCCGGCGACATCCTTGCCATAGGCCAAGATGTGCTCTTCAAAATCATCATCACAGAGCTCCGCCACGGCTGTAGCATTTCTCTTCCGCAACTCCCTCGCTAGCTGTTTTCGCGTCTTGCCAAGAGAGGCAAGCTGCCTGTCGACCCATCGATCGGCAGCTTCTGCATGACTAAGAGCAGTGTCGCCCCTTGCACCTGTAGAGTGCTTGCTGCACACCAGAAGAGTACCATCATGCAATCCACTAAGGAATACAATGCAGCCATTCTCCTTTAAACTCAGTTCATAGGGGCCTTTGGTGTTGTTTTCGATATTTCTCCAATGCGTCTCGTTGACTTCCCCAGTATTGAAGAACTTATCATAACCCCGAATGGATATCTCTGGTTGACCCTTCTCGTTTTTCCCCGTAAATAGACCACGGGCGTAAGTAGGGAGATCATTACGCTTATAGTCCCAATCTTGAAATCGCCATGAGTGAACAGCGAGGTTTGCTGGCGAGTGATCAACATTGAATTCCGTCTTCTTGCAGGAAAATGTCTTTTTGCTTTTGGGAACGCCTTTCTTAGTGTTGTCTTCGAGGTTATGAAGCAGACTTTGCACTTCTTGGATGTCCTGAGGCGCGTAAGGGACGTTGGTAGCCGCCATGATTGCGGTTCGACGAAAGCTGGGAGTAACAGTTGCTTGAGGGACAGTAGCTGTAGAAATGCGGCGACAGGCGGTGTAGAAGATTTCCAGCGATGAGAAGAGTTCTGTAGGATGGTGTTTGAGAGCAAACATCCAAAAGAATCTCTGGTGATTCAGCTCTTTTATAGTCTAGTCGAGCGTTAAAGGAATGAGAAGGGTCGACCTGAACAGCTTGCTCACGTCACGTGGTACAGTACAGCAGTATAAGGTACCTTGCCTTATGATAGGTTCTCTAGGATCTAACAGTGTGAGTCAGACCTTCTAACAAACCAGTCTTGCTCAAATGGACCGAAGAATTGTTGAAATTGACAAGGGGAAAGAGGAAGGAAAGGCAAGATGTTGTTGTGGCGCAGGCGTGACTCTTTTCGGCAAACAGTAAAAGAAAGCCTTTCGCTTGAAAAACTCAGCCTTGCGCTTGAAAAACCGAGCCTTGCGGATTTTATGACTTGATACTGGTTTGCATACTGACTACTCGTACCATCCCTACTTAATTGTCTACGAAACTGCACTACTGCATCTGGCTGGCAATGGCAACTCCTCAATCCAATCCATTCCTGCTGGCCGCCGACAATCCCTCGCAGCTTCTCACTCTGCTGCGAAATGACCCCGCCATCGCATCCTCTCAAGACGAGCATGGATACTCTCTCATGCATGCAGCAGCTTCATACAATCACTTGGAACTGCTTCGAGCACTCGTAAATGAATTCCATGTCGACGTTGACCTGAAGGATGAGGACGGAGATACAGCCTTGTTCGTGACAGAGACTACGGACTGTGCGAAGGTCTTGGTGGAGGAGCTACATGCGAGTATCACGATAAGAGGAAGTGAGGGGCAGACGCCAAGGGAGAAGATCGCCGAAGAGGGGGATTTTCCACAGGTGGCAGTATATTTGCGGATGAGGGAGCTGGAAGCTGGAATGACGGAGGTGAACGGTGTCCAGGAACCTACAACGAACGGCGCATATCCCCCTCCATTGCCAGAAGGTGTACAGGTTAACATTGGAGCAATGGCTCCAGAAGAAGCCGGAGAAGTTGCAGACCCCGAGTTCCGACGAAGAATAGAGGAGTTGGCATCACGAGAAGATTTTCAAGGGGAGGAGGGGCAAAGGGAGTTGAGAGTTCTTATCGAAGAAGCACTGCGGGGTCAAGTGGGCGATGACAGAAACGTGCGAAGCCGGACTGAATAATGGAAACGTCAATTTTCTACACAACTTCCCAAAAAATGTATTCCTTCGGAGCATTGGGAAGTCTCAGTACAGTACAGTTCTTGTTCTCACCCGATATCCCCTCACCAAAACCTCCAACACAATACGCAAACCACGCTTCCTGAGGAGCAGCAAGTAGAATTTGCACGAACGCTTGGTGTGCCCATGTGGGAGCTAGGAAACCTTGCCATGTCAATTTAACGAGCTTGGTGCATGTTTGGGAATCTCCTGGCGGTGCATATCGGGAGAGGAATGGATCTATCTTGTCGTCTGGACCAATTCGAGGACTTTCAAGTAGAACCAGAGCCAACCATTCCTGTAGCTCGATGGCGTAGTCTTCGAAATCGGCGCCATATGTAGGATCTACCTCTTTAGGTGGTTCAAGAGAAGGCTGAATGACTTTAATGTCTTGGAGAAGGCTTGGGGACACAATCTTTTCAACTGGAAAATAGGGGTCGAGAGGATCAGGTGTGACAGCTTGAAAAGTTAGCATGAAACAGACAAGTCTGAGAACTCATACCTGCAGTACCCAAATCATGAAATAGCCACGTGACGGGTTTTGTAAGGACATTTTTGAAAGCATAGACAATCCTGTCGAACCCTTTTTTGCCACGAAGCATCGAGGGAAGACGTAGATTAATTTCGACGACTATGAAGAATCAGTAATATGCCATCATAAATGAACAAAATAGCTTACCCCATCTGGGTTTTGTCCCGCGTTTTCCTTTCACTCCATCAGGTTTTCCAACTATGCCGGCCCGCTCGTAACTCTCTTTATCCAGGTGTAGAGTTAAGATTCCTGGTATAAAGTTAGTGCTTTCTTCGCGAGCTCACTGCGTGAGAACTACCCTCTCTCAGCGAGTACGTATCATCAACGCCCAGCGTGCCTTCCGAGAGCATCAAGATGTTTCCTGTAGATAAAGTCAAAATACATACTCAGTAAACCATGTGCGGAAACAGTTGAACTTCGCTTGCCTTTTTTGATATACTCGTTGAAGAACTCTCCTTCCAACAGCGCTTTCAATGGCAAGATGACTCTGCTGTACACGGATTTTGGCAATTGATCCAAAACCTCCTTCTTCATAATCTCATAAACCTCCTCTGGAAGGATAAATTCAACCTGAAATACGAGTTAGTAGTTGACGTAAATAACAATGCCTCTGAAATACCTTTTGCACAAAGTCGTATTTCAGGATGGCTGCAAACGGCTTTCTCTTCACTGGAGGCTGTTTCGGATCCAGATGGCCCATTACACCGTGTGTGACGTAGCATTTGGGATCGTTCTTCGTTCCTTCTGGTAAGCCCAGCATTTTGAGAATAATTGCAGTTCCCGAGCGTACGGTAGGACAAGGAAGGGTGAAATTTGATATTGAGGTTGAAGCTGGTCGAACGCGTGCTAGCTTGAACGACAGGGATTGAATTGGAGGCGGAGGCGCTAGTTGAGGGCGGGACGGACTCACTCATTCGCACTTTAGAACGACAAGAAAACAAAAGAGCCTCAAATAATTTCCAGGCGTCAAAATCCATATACAAGCCTACGAAGAAAATCAATTCATCATGGATTACATGATCAGATTCACCCAGGTCCACGAGACCTTTCGTCTCGCGGAAATTGAAGCCCTAGCAGTCCTCGAGGGAATCCACCTAGAAGTCCTCTCATACAGCCCAAGCGTAAGTCCCATTACCAATTTACACAAACCACCACTTACCAGACCCAGTCACCCTTCTGCTTTGTCAAGTTGCCTTCAGAAGATGCAGCCAGGAGACTCGTCAAACGCAGCATCCTCGCCAAAGCCATCTACGAAGTATGGGGCAGTGGTTCAAACTATTTAGATCTGCACGACAACGTTCGAGGTCTCTCACAGCATGTATGGCCACTCTACAAGACTTGCTCATTCAAATTCTCTGTCGACTCTTTCCAAGGCTCCCGGTCCACGACCGAGCAACGAAAGCTAATCGAGGAATTTCGATTTCTAGGCTTTGACGGACCAATCAAAATGAAGGGTGCAGAGCAAGATTTTTGCATCTCGGAAGAGTTCCAATTTGATGCTGCTGCTTTAGGAGTTCACCAGCCGCAGGCTGTGCACCTAGGACGGTATCTTGGTGGAAGTGAAAGGGAAATTATTGGAAAGTATGATTTGAAGAAGCGTAAGTACATCTGTACTACTTCTATGGACGCAGAACTTGCTCTGATCACGGCCAATATAACCCTTGCCGCCCCGGGAAAGCTTTTCTATGATCCGTTTGTTGGTTCCGGCAGCTTCCCAGTTGCTTGCGCGCATTTTGGTGCACTCGCTTTCGGCAGTGATATAGACGGACGAAGTATTCGGGGTAAGGGAAAGGGGAAGCCCGACCTTGTGGCGAATTTCATTCAGTATGGACTCACGAATCAGTTTGGAGATAGCTTTGTGGCCGATCTTACGAACACTCCGTTGAGAGCAGCAAAGTTGTTTGATGGAATTGTTTGTGATCCACCGTATGGTGTACGGGAAGGTCTGAAAGTCTTAGGCTGTAGGGATCCGACGAAGGGAAAGGAGCCAATATTCAGGGATGGCAAAGCTCATCATACGTTAGTTCTTCCGAACACCTACGAGATTGCAAATACTAACAACACCTTAGAGAAGAGAGTTTCATTCCCCCGAAGAAACCATACAGTTTCCTCGCTATGCTCGATGATATTCTAGACTTCGCAACCCTTTCCCTTGTGGATGGCGGCCGATTATCATTTTGGATGCCAACTTCGAATGATCTAGACCAAGAGATCCAAATCCCGATACACCCGTGCCTCCAAATCACGAGTGTTTGTACTCAAGAATTTAACAGATGTAAGGATATATATTACCTACTGGGCTATACGCTAACAGTTCTTAAGGGTCGAGGCGACTTATAACATATAGAAGAATTCCAGACTCCGAAGTTGTGGCAGGAGTGGCCCGAGAGCAGAGGACAAAGGAAACTGGAGTCAATGCAGATGACCTCAATCCATTTAGGAAAGGGTACTTTCAAGGCTTCAAAGCGGCATTTAGGTAAGGTAAGGCTGGCCGGTCGCTGCTTGAAACCCCACCCCGAACTCAATATATACAACGTGATCTTGTCCAGCAGCGGAAAATTATCTACTAGCTTGGCGGCATTACGTCCAGATTATGAAGTCTTCGACTAGGTACACTTGCTAGTGGACCTGCCAGCCATCATTCGGGCTACTTGAATGCGTGGACTTACAATTTTCAGGAGCGCAGTATGAGCCCTTTATAGCAGTGGTGGTGCGGGCTGATTTGCGACAAAGTCCTTCGCACAGTCCGCCATTCACAACACTTCTCAGTCCGGCAAAGCTTATTGAAAATGCCAAAGTATTGTAGTCAGCGTATCGAATCATCATAGCGACAAATTTCAGAGGATTTTGCGCTGCAGAGCGTCCTAGTGCTCTTTGTTGGATATACATAGTAGCTTAGACCTCATGGTTTAACAACAAAATAAAAGGTGTCTTCTCATCGACGTAAAGCTAGTTATCAGACAATATAAACTTTGTTGGACCTAGATTCTGTTTCTCGATATTTCTGTTCTATTCATCGCTAGAATAGGGGGTCCCTTTAAATTTCGACCTCGGTTCGCTAAATCAGCTTCCCAGACCAGATCCCGACACTTTGACCTTGCCCTTCACATCCGTACAACAACCCCAAATATGCGCCCCAAGCAATAACACCCACTGCTTGCTCCTCAACAGGCTGCCAAAATGTCCGACTGCCCCTTCTGCAACATAGCCACGCACTACCCACCTTCTTCCACCCCATCCTCAAATGCCGAACTCGTCTCCCCCTCCGCGTTCGTCGTTTTATCTACACCCCTCTGCATGGCATTCCTCGATATAATGCCCCTCGCGCCCGGTCATATACTAGTAACGACGAGGAAACACTACCAGAAGCTCAGCGATGTAAGTGAGGAGGAAGCAGCGGAGCTAGGGGTTTGGGTGAGGAGGATTAGTAGGGTCTTGATGAAGATTACTGGTGTGGAGGATTGGAACGTCGTGCAGAACAATGGTTCGTTCTCCCAGCATACGCCATCGTAGAAGAAGTTAAGGGACTATTTGGTGGGAGGGTACAGGCTAATGGAAGAGGTATAATAGGAGCAGCTGCTGCGCAAGTCGTCCCGCACGTACATTTTCACATCATACCCCGCCCTGCTCTCACGCCCGAGTTGCGGAATCGAAGCTTTACTATGTTTGGGCGTGGGCAGAGGAGTGAGTTGGATGATGATGAGGCAGCGGACATGGCGGGGAAGTTGAGGGTTGCGTTAGGGAGGGAAGAGTGGAAGTTATGATTTGTTGGAGTCGGGCTTTGTTTATATGTGTAGATGGGACTTAGATCTGAAAGTTGACTTCGATCCTAGACACATTGGGTGGCGCCGGGGAAACGGTCTTGGATAAGATATCGGGTTTGTGCTGAGGTTATCTAATGGACCCCAGATTCGAAGTATATTTCTTGTATAGTGACGGATGGATTTCATGCTATAAGCTAGGGTTGGCTCCTTTTGGGATTTCTAGGCCCGGGGTCTAAAAACGGTCGAACTTGGGTCGAAGAATGCTGTACGGCTTCACTGGTGGGGGGTTCTTTAATCATTACCCTTAATACGCACATGGGGCTCCTAGCACCCATCATTTGGTGTCTCCTTGATTTGAGGCCTTTATAACATGGTTTAAAGTTGTCTACTCTTTAACTTCCAAGCGGGCTGGGGACTTTCTGATACTGTCGGAACGCAAAGCCACCTTCATGACCGAACCCGATCATTTGAATAATTAGTAAAGGTAGTCTGAGCGCCTGGGTACTTAAAGAGCCTTTCCTGTCGTCCGTTAGGAAGAACAACACGAGCAAGAATCCTATTGCTTGGCTGAAACCCGGTTTTGAAAAGTTCTTGGTCAAAGTTCTAGGCATGACTGTTCCATGGCGGTTGCTCCCATGATCCGGTCAATGGCTTTGGCCGGTATGGTAAAAGGCTCACCACCTAATCGAATGATATGATTCAAAGCTTCTACACCTAAAGAGACCGGCTCATTCACTCTGGTGATTAGACGTGATGGTGATGCACACGAAGACGCAAGGATACTGCGCAAAAGATGGTAGTCTCTACAAAAGCTTTTGCCATATTCTTGTTCTCTCACCTACTAGCAAGTATTGACTCCAAGCAACACCAAAGGCATTGAAAATTACGTTCAGGCTTCATGTACAGGTATACAGGGGACATTTCCTGGTCCTCTTTTATCTTAATGCGGGTTAAGTTCTGATAACAGTAAATCCTCGCTTCACACTTAGTACCGTTATAACCCAAGTCCATAAGCCGCATGTTCTTTGCTCAAGCATCTTGCCCTTTCCCTGGTTCCCTATGTGTCCAATATCAGAAACGATTTCGCCGGATCGCGTACGCAATCCCTGAAGTCGAAGAGGTATATATAGTTTATTGCAATAAACACTTCAGGAATGTTCGGTGCATACCTACTCAGCACCCACGTAGCCGAGAGCCATATACTACACCAAGCTTTGCAGCCAACGAATCAGTCTCAGAACTCTCAGCTAGACATTCAACTAAAGAAGTACCCAAAGGAGTACCGGGAGTAACACTAATTTCTGACATGAATATGAAGATAAGATGGGGCGTAGATATGAAATCTAAAAAGCCTGCATTGAATGTTTAAGCGGTACATGGACCTGTAAATGAGACGATGGAAAGAGAAGTGAGCTTGTGTCACATATTTGTTTTGTTTTCTCTGCTCAATAAAGGGTATGATATGCCCCATCGCCCGAGTCACTTTCTAATTGCGTGAAACTCAAGTTCCAGAGGATGTATGATTTTCTCGTTCTGGTCTTTGCATGATATTAGAGAGGAAGCCAGCAAAACCTTCAGCATAAGGAAATGAGTATAGCAAGAGAGAGATTTACAAGGCGGCAGACAATCAAGCTAAGAGAGACCTTATTGGAAGTGAATGAATGGTTCGGATTCTATACAAGGCAACATGGAATACCAACTGTTTAATAGGAGCAAGCTTAGGAAGACCTCAACAAACAACCTCTTGGTATCGCACTTGCATTATGCCTGAAGCCAAACAGCCAAAGAATAAAAAGAGTACATCTTCGCCCGCCGAAATCCACACCTGCTGGTGTAGCATTACTTATGGGGCGGAGGATCTCCTGTTGCAGCATCAACGATACGCACATCCCGACAACTTCTGCGATATTTGCAACGACTGTTGTGAGAACTTGAGCACTCATAAGCAGATTCCCCATATACATCAGGACTTGGTGAAAGTTTCCTCATCAACAGTAGGGAGGCAGTGCTGTACGCAATAGGAATCATCTCCATTCCTCCTAGGCGGTGAATGAATCTTTGCCATCACGGCAACTGGTGAAGGTGTGAAAAGCTATACAAGACCTTCCTGGCTTTCAACCTTGACCGAATTTCCACTCCAAATAGCAGCATCGCACGACCTCCACGCAAAGCTAAACGAAATGTCGGAAAAGCACAACTCCATGCCCGTCGTCGAGTACACCAGTTGGTGCACTAAAACCGATACTTACAATAACATCAGCACGTACACCTGCTGGTGCAGCGAGAACCACGGCTATCCCACCGAAGCACAGCTAAAGAGACATCAACATGACGCACATTATGAAGGTTACTGCGTGATCTGCAATGACAGTCGCCAAGACGACCGTGGGTTGCTCCAGCATCAGCGCCATACGCATGTCGACAACTTCTGCTTGGGGTGCAATGAATGCCAGGTTGACCTAGAGGGGCACTTGCGGCTGGGTTGCGAGGCGACTGCACACAGAAGATGAAGGCTGAAGGGAATAAGCTATGTGCTGTGAGTGGATTGGTGCGTTTTGGATGGACTCAGCTTCTACTGAGGAAGGAGTCGAGAGGATTAGGGGATAGCTTGCTAAATTTACGATGTTCAACTTGGGAACAGTCTTTAATGCTTGGAAGTCTCGTCAATGGTGGCACAGGTGGTTGTTTTATTGTCTTGGATTCCGCAATTGGTACTCCATACTCCTAGACTGATGTTCCGTTAATTAATCGTCGTCCTCGTCAGAACAATAATCGACCAAGCCTAGTGAGGGTTTTGCTGGAGGTTTCTTCACCACGACAGCAGTCTTTGTACTGGAGCTTGATGTTGCCTTGTTTGGGTTTACTGTGGCATCGGCTGATGCAGCTGTAGATTGCTTCTTGGTCGCAGGGCTGTCGCCAGTAGCAGATGCAGCTTCTTCAGAGAGTTTCCCGATCTCGTTGGCCGTAGAAGACCTCCGAATCTTAACGCCCTTAAGCACATCCTTCTCTTTGGCACGTTTCCTCTTCCTTGCCCCAGAAATCCATGTTTCCTCCTCCGCAATTGGCGATCCCGCTTCGGCAACTGCCACACCCTCACTTCCCCTCCTCGCCTTATCAGCTTCCTCTTGCTGTTGTCGAAAGAGCGCAAGTCCTTCAGCAGTCTCCCTCTTTACCCTATCCTCATCAGCACGCGTGCTCTCTAGCACTGAGTCCAAAAATTCCACTTCATCTTCATCAAGCGCGCGAAACTGGTTCTTCAGGCGATTTGCTTCTTCGAATGCATCTTGTTTGGCAGCTATTAATTTCAAGGCACCCCTACGTGATCAGCCCAAGCCCTTGTGCGCCGAGGTAATAGAACCGGTTATAAAAATACCTTTGTTAGCTTCTAAGGTCTCGAATAAGCTCCTTTCCTCGGTTTGTCGAGCTGCTTCTGCTTTTCGAACGGCATTGGCATCGATTTCCTTTTGGGCGACAAGCCATTCATCGCTCCGCTCAATGGGGGCATCTGCGGTGCCGCCTGATACAAAGCCGGAAGACATTGTGCCCAGGTAAGGTAGAATTGTGGGAATTGAGCTGCTTGGGAGTTCAGTTGCTCAACACCTGGAGATGAAGTGGGTGATGCTGTCCAGTCCCACGTGACTAATAGGGTCAATAGGAAGGTTTCCCGAGATGCGATGCTTCAAAGCCTTTTCTTTCTTTCATTTTCACTTTCACTTTCACTTTCACTCTTACTCTCACTTGATACTGTATGCAGCAGGATCAATAATAATGCCAATAGTCATTGCCGTTACTCAGGATCGCCGTACAGATTCCGATATATATATATACTTACTTACCTAGCCTTTCCAAGCCCTCCACGCACGTCGGCGATTGAAGGTTGTAGCTTCAAATTCAGCCCCGCGACGTCAATATTATTATTAATAGTATGGAGAAACAGCGCTCACTGTGATAGGCGCGCATGCTGTCGGTCACACTTCAGGCTAAATGGTCAAAAGTGTCCCAAGCTTCAAACTTGCCCCACGGCCTTACCCCTCCATCGTAACTTACATGCTGCAAAATGACAGGAAACTAGACGCTTCGGTCCATTTATGCTCCCATTTGCCTTGCCGTCGAAGGGTGGGATTCGCCCCTAGGGTTGATAAATCGAGTATAGTCCTGCATCAGAAGCTACCATTGGCGCTCTAAAACCCTTCGGCGTCATATTTCTCCATTATTCTACTGGTGAATTGTTTGTGGCAACCACCCCGACTTTAATTTCCAAGGCGTTAGGAGGGGTATAAGTACAAAGCATATCCCTTGTTTCCACGACCACGTTTAGCATCTGCCCGCCCTTTAAACCACCTTCATCTTACCTCAAGCACCATGGCATCTACTAATGTTACCTCGTAAGTTTGCTTCGCACCCTCAAGGTACCGCCTGTTCATGTCAAAGCAGAAGTCTGCGGAGACTGGCCAGTGTGACCTCTCACTTTTCACCCATGAGGCCGTTCAGCTCACAAGCCCACCTAAATAGGAAGACGTACGCTCTGAATACGGGAGACAAGATTCCAGCCATTGGACTTGGAACCTGGCAGTCCCAGCCTGGTGAAGTTGAGAAGGCCGTTGAGGTTGCCTTGAGGAAAGGGTACCGTCACATTGACACAGCGGTTTGTGAAACGGTCCCATCTCTCGGGCTTGAATGCTGATTAAATACCAGCTTGCATACGGAAACGAGGCTGAGGTCGGTCTTGGCATCAAGAATTCTGGTGTCCCAAGGGAGCAGATCTGGCTTACTACCAAGCTCGACAACCCATGGCACAAGCGCGTTCAAGAGGGGATTGACTCCTCTTTGAAGTCGCTGGGTGTCGATTACGTTGATCTATATCTCATTCATTGGCCATGCTCTAGCGACCCCACCGATCTGAAGAAGCACCTCCCAGATTGGGACTTCATCAAGACATGGCAAGAGATGCAGAAGCTGCCTGCCACTGGCAAGGTAAAGAACATTGGAGTCTCCAACTTTGGTATCAAGAACCTCGAGAAGTTGCTCAATGACCCGTCTACCAAGGTTCGTCTCGGTTGCCTTCCTTTATACTCTTCCTCAACTGACCGATCCAGATCGTCCCAGCAGTAAACCAAATCGAACTCCATCCCAACAATCCCTCTCCAAAGCTCGTCGCCTACAACACCTCCAAGGGAATCCACAGCACCGGTTACTCGTGCCTAGGCTCCACCAACTCCCCCCTCTACAAAGACGAGACACTGCTCACTCTAGCCAAGGCCAAGGGCAAGACTCCCCAGCAAGTGCTTCTTGCATGGGGTATCCAGAAGGGCTGGTCCGTTATTCCCAAGAGTGTGAACAAGGAGCGTGTTGAGACAAACTTCGAGCTTGATGGGTGGAGTTTGACGGATGAGGAGATCAAGAAGCTGGATGGCCTGCCAGATCGATTCAAGGTGTGCGGTGATGATTGGTTGCCCATCAAGGTCTTCTTCGGGGACGATGAATGAGTTATGTAAAATGCCTAAATTAGATATATTTTATAGTCAGAAGGAATGATTTGAAAATATAAGGACATTGTCCGCACTTCCGCCCTTTCCTGCCTACACATACTGCAGCGAATACAATGTAGCTCATAGTTGAGAAATATTTACTAGTCCTAAACGGTTCATAATCTCTCCGCCTTCTCCCCATCTCTAAACAAGTAGCATTCCCAAATAAAAGAAAAAGGAACAACTGTAGATAAATAATTGCAGAAATACAGGCTAAATTGAGAAAACTCTAATGGCCTTAGCCGCCACCATAGAGGAACCAGCTGAACTGGTTTGTGATTTGATGCACCATTTTCTAAGCTTATAGTCAGGGCTCTTGGAGCTTGCGAACTTGATAACTGATGTCTTCAAAGACTAGGTTTGACATGTCTACGAAGCAAAAATGTTTTCCATAGATCTAGCGTAAATGTTTTCAACCTGATGATTAGTTTACGGTCGTTGCGGACGTTAGAGTCAGTCTTAACTCAAACTATATTGCGTATTGATGAGAGGCGGGGATGGGTGGTGAATTGGGCAAAAACGTTAATCACTCAGATCCGGCTTTTGGCATAAAGCGTTTTATTACCAAAAGAAAGCCTATTTCAAGTTGATTTTAACTGGTGCACAGAAAACTTAAATATATCCACTGGATTGTTTATTAAACTAAGCAACTCAAGACTCAAGAGGCCAGAATATCGAGCCCACATGCAAAGCGAAGTGAGCGAATGTGCCTGTATATCTTCCTAAGCAAACCTAAACCAGCACCTCGAAATCCTTCGCAGTCCAATCATCTGAAATGCAAAACCCTGATCCAAACCCATACTAAGAGATCGACAAATGAAAAGATCTTATTGTATCATATTCTCCGTGCATTATCACACTCTTCGATAAATCGATAAATGCCCTCCAGGCCCTCATAGCTGGACGAGTTCTGCTGCTTACTTGGCTTAGTGAAGTACGCCGATTCATGCTCGGATGAATCCTCCATGCTTTCGTATCCCTCCAGCCATGAATTATCAATATCTTCCATGAACTCTTCAAAATCATGCCCTGTTTGTGACCGCAAAGAGCCTCCTGGTGAAGATAGGGTATGCTCCGACGTAGGTGCAAACGGAAACATCAAGGCAACTTCACCTCCACAGCTCTGGCTAAATGTTTCATCTTGATATATGATTCCTCGTTGAACCCCGATCTCATTACAGAGTGCTTCTACGCTCTCGGCATGACAACCCGGAAACCTGACTCTGAGAATGGATTTTTGTTCTAGGGTTATGGGAAGATCGCCCAGTGAAGCGAGACGTTTCAAGTCGTTCATTGTAGCGGCGAGGTCCTTCAGAGCACGCGAGAAGTCGACCGAAAGAACGTCCAAGAAGCCCTCGGTGTTGAGGCTAGGTACTGAGGTTTCCAGAGCTGAGCCGAAGGGGAAAGCGGCACCGAGAGGGGTGAGGGCAGTAACAGTTGGGTTGACGTGAAAGTCGATATAAGAGCCAGGTGCGTTCTTTGAAAATGACCGCATCTTGCGTGTGGTTTCTTCTTGAAAATCAGTGACCGCGCGGTATCTCTTCTCTCCTGCGGGCGTCATCCCGTCAAATTGGGCTTTCTGGCCGGTCAGGAAAAAAGCTCGCACTGCTTGTGATACATTATTGACAACCTGCGCCGGAGCAGCAGGCGTGTGAGAGAAATGACGAGCGCTGGCACGTCCTCCACTCAGGCCATAACCTCCTGCGGTTCGCGGGAGGGAACCACCAGTGAGATTCGGACGTAGGGTCGAGGCAAAGGGAGCTCGAGCGGTAAGTTGACCAACAGCTCTAGAAGTGGCAGAGGATGGGAATGAAGCTCGATTAAACTTTTGACCATGCTGTGCTCCTGTCGCCATGAACCGACGGATGCCGGCGTTGATAGTGCTGTGGGTGGTGTACCATTTTCCCTTGCTTTGGCGGAGAGCGGCTATCCGATGAATAGGTTGACGTGGGGATGTTCGTACGAGTATTGGTTGGACTTCACGTTGAATTCCACGTTGGAGTTGTCTCGCTACCTCTGGGAGGCGCGCTTTGAGAAGGGTTGAGGCTTTCTTGAAAGCAACCCTATGTTGTTGTTAATACCGTAATTATAATGCGGGGGATGTACATTGAGGGATAGCAAGCTGTAAGGCATTGCGTGCAAGACAAAACTTACTTGAAGCTCCTGACGGCTATAGGAGCCAAGATGCCTCCTATTGGAGCCATGTTTACAACTACTGGAGATTGTTTCTCGCGGTGCAGAAGTGTAAAAGGGAAGTTGATGATGATAAGAAGCTCGCCACTTGATATCGGACGCCACGTGTGGCTGTGGTCATGATAATACTGCGCTAATCCGACGCGGTTAGCTTTGCGCTAAGGATCCAGTTCCCACCTGCGCGCAAAATATTTTTGAGCTTCAACTTTCCTTCCCTCTTCCCATCACAACAGAGCAGAACCAACAACGCGTACATTGCCGTGATTGGGATATGTTATACAGTGTTTTATGAATCAAAGTGTCAACGACATGTCCTCGACCTTCTGACAGTTGATCGTCTAACGATACAATGGTAAGCTCCAACTTCCTTCCCCGATATTTCCACCCCATTCAATGATGAGAAGAACACATATTGAACAATCCAACTCTTACATCACAATGGGGATTTGTAACCATATTTCTGAGTTCTCTAACCCAACGTCGTTCAACCTGCATTCACTTCCAGGACCGTTGCTAACTGTCCCTCGCAGTAAACTTCCAGTCCTCGCTCACAGTCTCATGCTCAATTTAGATATCAAAGGTAAATTTTACATTTTACATTTTATTTCTTTGGCCTAATGCCACTGGGTGTGATGATCCAATGACAAATCTAGGAATCCTCGAACTGAAGTTATCATGTAGATTCCGTCTCTTTAAAGTTTCAGCCTTGTCTGACCCATTCTCTATCATTGCATTTCTTCTTCAACACTTTCAAAAGCTCTTTGCTAACCATAAAATTGGCATAGGTACACCCCCCTCGGTTCAAGCCCTTCCCATATATGCATACCATGACGAACTTTGAACGAACGGGCGGACAGACTGCGCACTCTCGCCCCTATTCTCAACAAAGCAAGGCGTACAAACCTTGTGAGGATAGACGGTAGAGAAGTGCTTGTTGAGAACTCGTCAGCTGATCCAATTGCATGATACTTCAGCATCACCGACCGTCAGGTTCTGAGCTTTCGCTAACATGCTTTTCCCAGGTAAACAATACATTCTCCTCTTCGCTCTGTTGGTAGACCATGGCATCAAATGATGAAACTTATTCACACTGTTTGAAGCCGACTTCAGTCGGCTGCTGAACGCATTACAAAAAATCTGATTTAATGAGGTACGCATCCCTACCGCCAAATGAATGGAACATCCAAGCTAACCTTATCCTAGCCTGAAATTTGCTTTATGGTTCTTGCTCTCACACACTCGAGATCTTCTTAATTGAGGTGAAACGTCGCTGATACTGCCATGGATGAATATAGGTAACACCCGAAATTGCAAATGTTCGAAGAATCTTCGAAATGTAAGCACACCCCTCTATTGCCATGTTAAATTGCCTGTTGCTTTGATGAATCCAAATATTCGCTGTTCTTTCCGAGACATACCTTGAAGAAACATATATTTTCACCTTGGAGAACTGAGATAGTTACTCACGTTCCTGTCATGTATCATCTTGAACATTTAAAATGCAGGAGCTAACTCGATCACACAGGTGACATACGTGAAGAACTTTGGGAATAAGGCAGGCGAGTTGATACACATAAAAAGAATGAAATTCTTCCCTTTGCTTTGATATCTGCATGTGACAGCTGAAACATGTGAAAGCCCCGACCTAAAATACTAGGTAGGTTTAGAAATGTCTCACTAATCACTTAGTATCATGGTTAGTAGCTAGTGTAGGGGTATTGAACATGATTAAAGAGACAAACACTGTGCCTGCCCATATGGATACGCTAAGCCTATAAACACCACACGCTCCAAACGCCTTCATTCTCAAGGGTATACCCATAATATGTCCATGCCTCCTTTCCAGACCGTTACAGAACAGAAAAGACGATTCCAGTGACAGAGATTGCTGCCTATGTACTGCCTTTAGCTATCAAACACCAACGCAGAAAGAACATGTTCCTCCTGAGCATTCCACCCCTGATCTATCAAAGACTTGCCCTCTACTAGGATTCTACCCATGTAAACGATCTTGATTCTCTTGGGTGGAGCGAGCTATTTGACTGGTCAGTAAAAAATGCCAATGGGAGAGGAAAACGTACTCCAACTTCCTCCACAACACGCCGTATAAGCAAGCGCACAGAATCATCCTTCCCAAGCCTAAGGCTATGATCGGGAAGCGCGCCATCGCTAAACCGCACCTTCACAACCACCATATCAGCCTCATTGATAACCGCTTTTCCTTTCTCTTCCCTACGCCTCAGAACCTCATCTTCATCCATCTCCTCGCTTTCCCCATCCTCTTTACTCCTTTCGTCATCATTTTTCAACATAGGAGCAGGTGACGGCGCCAAGTTTTCCGGGTCGGAAATTATGTGCTTGGGTAACTCGTAGAGACCACCAAAAGAATCGTAGACAAGCTTCGTCATATCGCCATGTTGCATAACTACTCCAGCTGCATCAAGTATAGATTGTGCTGTTCCGATACCGCCATCTTCATCCCCAGGATCACCACCTGCCCATAGCAATTCCAACGCGGATCGTATCGCCAGCCATATTTCTGGGCGACCTGTGACTCTTGTATCAAAAAATGCTTCTCGTTCACTATCCAGGCTCTCCCGTGTCCATGCAGTTACTCCAGGTTTCGTCTTCCACTTTTTGGGCTGCTTCAACGGACCAGTGTTATTTCGGGCACTGGTTTCAGCGCTGTTCCCCGGCCTTGGATGCCCGTATTGAAGGTAGTGAGCGGGGCGAGGTTGATGGTTGCTGTGACTGGATGCATTGGTAGAGGGTCTCGGAAGGGCAGACTGCGATTCAGGTTGCGAGGATGTTATTGCGCGAGAGGATGAGTGACCTTCCTGAGCAGGGTAAGGCGATGATGGGGTCGATGCGCAGCAGCCCTGTAGCGATTAGCTTTTCCCTGTAGCATGGGACTGCAAGCTTACCATGGCTCCTCTCTCACCAATTTTATAGTAGATATGTGATAGTATGCACACGAAGTAGGAGACAGAGAGTCTCAACAATTGAAGAGCTTCCCCCCCCTCCTATGCGAAACGTGAAATAGGTTTACACCAACGCAGTCACAGCAATTGAGCAAGTGAGCGAGATTAAGGTACAGCAAGAAAATGCCGGTACTGTATGAATACTGGGATTATGTTGCAAGTCGCATTGTAATGAATGAGAAAGGAAAAAGAACGAGGAGAGTTAAAGCTGAACTGATGATCATGGCGATGGTAGTTGCTCCACCTTGATTTGACTTCAACCTCAAGGGAATCTAGATCTCCCCAATACAGCTTAGCGTCCCAGAGTCGCAGCCTTTTTATCCGTCGCGCAAAGAAATATTTCCAGGTACAAGACAAGTACAGCTTTGAATCACTATTCCACAATCCTCAACCTCAACCTCAACCCCACAGATATAAACAGACCTTCTCTGAATACCCACAAACAGAGTCGCAGCCATGTCCCGCGAAGCCTACCAACCTCCCGTCTCAGCCCCAGCACCCACTCGCGACGCCTTTGGCAGCGGGCTTGCCAGCGACGGCCCCGCCATCAACTACCTCTGCGGCGACTGCAACAGCAAGGTGCCGCTCAAGAGGGGTGATCCCATTCGGTGCAAGGAGTGTGGGCATCGTGTGCTTTATAAGGAAAGGACTAAGAGGTGAGCCCCCGCCGGCTTGAGTTTGACAGTGGGGAGGTGAAGAGGGGTCGCAATTCGGGATATTGGGGCAAGAAGGTCGCCTGAGAAGTTCAACTTTGCTAACAGGATGTGAACAGAATGGTGCAGTTTGAGGCTAGATGACGAAAACTTGCGGCAGATGAAAGTGATGGGAAAGAAGAATGATATTTTAGTTGGTTTTGGGGAGCAGGAGCCATGGCATGAGGGCGCAATAATGGACTGATTTGGGCACGCATGTAAACTGGCGTTGGGTACATCTCTGAAAGATCTGGCTATAAAAGGCTGGAGAATGCATGAGCTTTACAAATCCTCACGGGTATTTTAAGAGCTCCTATATCTCGTGAATGCTGGAAGAATGCTTCCTCGCAGTGGAACATTCAAGAAAGAGTACAAATTTTATAACCTGGTTTTCCACTAAAAAGTTCCGTATGGTATCAAATATGCGCCGTGCAATGCTTCCCACCACAACGCCTTTTGTCCCCATCTATAACCCTAAAGTCCTTTACATATTCATCTGGCTTGCTTTCAGATATCGTGTGAAGCTGTAATCTTCGTTACTAGGCTTCTCGCCTCCAGAGTCCGCTAGAGCTTGCTTGTATCTCGCGGCCAAGCCCTCCTCGCTCTCATCACCTTCCTCCTCGTCCTCGTCATCGTCCTCCATGTCGCTCAAAGTATCCATATCAGTTTCGGGCTTCTTTCTCGAAGATGGCTCCCCAGAGACAGCCATATCCTTCATCAATCTCCCCAACTCCTTCTCCCGATTCTGGATTTTCTCATCCTCCCTCGCTTTTCTCTTACGCTCTAGCTCCGGCTTGTAGTCTCTCTCAAATTCCTCCGCCTTTCCCTGTACTGCTTCGAAAAATTCCGTAATACCCGCCCCGGTCATAGAGCTCACACCGACTACACTCAAATGACTGTAGAACTCCTCCAGCATTAAGCTCATGCTGTTAAGCAAACTCCCCATATATCCACTCCCGCCTCCCTCCATACCTCCAAAACTACCAGCCTCTTCCTCTTGCCTAAGTGCCTCCTGAAAGGCCTCAAAATCAGTCATCCACTCCTTTGCAAACTCCGCGTCCTTCACATCCGTCTTATTGAATACCAAAATCATAGGCAGCTTCGTTTTGTAGAGGATACTGCATGCATACAGCATGTTGCTCATGAAGGTACTTGTACTCGCCGTCCTTGGGGTATCAATGATATACGCAATGACAGTCGGGAACGTGCTCGACAAACTGTCCAGCAAGATACTTCCCGAAGCGCTCCAAACGAAGACTTCGATCTGGCCTGGTGTATCCACCAAAATGTTCTTGATAGGAGCTTTTTCGGGGTTTTCTGGATCGGGAGCAGTGCGCTTTTCGAGCAAAGTAAGAATTTGGTCTATCTTTGTGGCGAAGAGATTGAGGGATGTGAGGATGCCGCCGTTCGGGCCTAGGTTGTAGGACTTCATTACTTCTTTGTAGTTGACGCTGTCGCGGATGTCGATATTGCTGTCAAAAGGGACAGTGCGCACGGCAGGGTCGAGGTTTATGACATAAGGCGGCTCTTTCTGGGAGTGTAGGTGGGAGTTGATGCGTTGCATGAAGGTAGTTTTGCCTGAGCCTGGGAGAGAGTTAGGAGGGTTTCCGGTTTTTCAAGTGAAGAATGCTTACCTGCCATTCCTACGCAGACGATAGCTACAGGCTGAGCGCCTGGTATTGCCTGTGGTGTAGCCATAATCGAGTTTTGTAATTGTTGAAGATCGAGGTCTAAGGTTGCGGAGAAAAAGTGATGCGGGGTGAGGTGGGATGTTTTCGCTTGGATGTTTTTGCACAAGCTTGAAGACCCAAGAAGCTCCATTTCGCTTCCCCAGATTTTGGATTCCTTAACCACGTTTCACCAATTTCCAGTAATGGACGGCCTCGACGGTTTCGAAAAGGCATTGGCAGAGGAGAAGAAGGCGAGGGAACGAGAGGAGAATGCAAGCAGCAGGGAAAAGAGTAAACATAAGCATCGTCACCAATCGAAACATCACAGAGACGACTCGGACGCAGATAAACGCAGATCGAAGCACCACAAGCCCAGAGAGGACGGCCACGAGCGTGATGACCACAGACATAAACGATCGAGACATTCTCGTGGGGGCGAGGAGAACAGTCACCGAAGAAGCAAGCATGAGAAGACTTCTGACTCGCACGAGGATTTACTAGTACCAGACGGTGAAGAGCCGTCGACGACTCCTAAGCTTACTCGCGATTCTTGGATGACCGATCCTTCGGCTTTGGAATTCGATTACACCCAGAAAGGCGTCAAAAAGGTCGAGAAGAAGCCAACCCCAAAGCCAGATTACGATTTGAAGATTCACAGGAACGAGTTGAATGTTCATTTACAAGAGTTGGCGGATGGCAAGAATTTGGAGGATTTAGATACGGAGCATGATGTTGAATACACATTTGGTGATTTAGGAGCTCAATGGCGTATGACGAAGCTTAAGGCTGTTTATACACAAGCTGAGCAGAGTGGACGATCTGTGGATGAGATTGCCATCGAGCGATTTGGGGGTCTACAGGAGTTTGATGATGCACGAGAAGAGCAGACGGAATTGGATCGTAGGCAACTCTATGGGGAGGGTTATGTGGGAAAGGAGAAACCTAGCGGAGAGCTGTTCCAGGAAAGGAAAATGGCATTGGGTATCAGAAGAGGTCCGGATGAATCACGTGAAAATGAGCTTCCCCAAGGAGAGATTGTGGAGGAAAAGCCTGTGCAATCAGCTATCCAGCTGGATTCTACTGCTTTGAATCGGATGAAGGCACAGGTGATGAAGGCCAAATTGAAGAATTCTCCAGATGCAGCACAGCTAGAAGCCGAGTACAACGAGGCTATGGCAAGCTTTTCGAATAACCCTACGCCTGGTGTAATAGTCCTAGGAAAGATGGAGAATCGAATGTTAGCGGGCACTCGTGGAGAAGTGAAATCTATCGATAACAAGCGGGGCCGTGAAAGAGGACTGGTTGAGGAGAATGAAGATATGAGCATTGAAGACATGGTTCGAGAAGAAAAGAGAACCAGAGGACAGGCTGGTGGTGATGGAATGAGAGCTGCCGAACGTATTTCAAAAGACGCTAAGTTCGATACTGATCTTGATTACATGGATGACAACGCAAACAAACTTGCAAAGCGAGTCCAAAAGTCCGAGATCAATTTGAAGAATGCGGCTATTGGCGACTTCCAGAAGATGAATCGGATCCTTGATTCCTGCCAGCTTTGCCATCAAGAAGACAAGGGCCAACCTCCTGTTGCACCTCTGATATCACTGGGCACACGAGTCTACCTAACTTTGCCGACAGAGCCGGAATTGGGTGAAGGTGGTGCAGTCATCGTCCCGATCCAACACAGGACGAATCTTCTGGAGTGCGATGACGATGAATGGGAGGAGATCCGAAATTTCATGAAGTGCTTGACACGGATGTATCATGACCAGGGTCGCGATGTTGTGTTCTATGAAAACGCTGCCACCCCGCAGAAAAAAATGCACGCCGCCATGCAAGTTGTGCCCTTACCATATAGCCTGGGCGAGACTGCCCCAGCGTTCTTCAAAGAAGCGATTCTATCTTCCGACGAGGAATGGACACAGCATAAGAAACTGATAGATACGGCAGCACGAGCACGAGACGGTTTTGGCAAATTAGCGTTCCGTCGGTCAATCGCCAAGGAAATGCCTTATTTCCATGCTTGGTTTGATCTTGATGGTGGATTAGGGCATATTGTTGAAGACTCGAACCGATGGCCGCGGGGAGATTTGTTCGCAAGAGAAATCATTGGCGGAATGCTAGATATTGAGCCTGATGTTATAAAGAGACAGGGACGATGGAGCCGAGGAGATAAACGAATCGATGGGTTCAAGAAGCGATGGAAAAAGTTCGATTGGACCAGAGTACTCACAGAGGGCTAGGAGCATGCCAGCAGCGCGTCAGTTTCATGTGTGGGCTCACCAGATTTGGAAGGCTTTATTACTGGTTGCCGGCCCGGTTTCCGATTCGAGGCTGTGCTGTGCGGAGGAGAATCATGTGATGTATGAAAAGCCTCAATGGAACAATCCTGAGATGCACGCCGTACACTCTTTCTGAGTTATCCAAACACAGGCAATCCGAGAAGGATGGATCAGGAATGTACAAATAACGGCGGTGGCCGAGAACTTACCTCGTATCGTGTGGCTGCACAAACTAATATCCCTCCCTGGGTGGTTCTCATCCTTATGGACTTGTAACAAGCACAGTCATCTCGTGGCATAGAATTAGATGAACGTTTCCAGCTGCAGCTTCCCATGTAGGCATATTAGACTCGCATCGGGAAGTGGCTTAGCGGATCTGAGTAAGAGGTACTTCTATCTTGGGCAGAGTTGTGCTCCTGAGACCTGTCCGTCCTCCTTGGTCACCTTTGAAGTTCAATAATTACGGAGTACATGGAACAAGTGTGTAGGGTATGAGCAAAGGATTTATGCAATTGCGAGTATCCGCCATGCAGCATCAACGTGCAATATCGGTACATTTCCTACAAATAGCACCCTTCCAGAAGTTCCGTAGAAAGAGGTGGGTGGTACAGCACAAGGCCTCAGGTGGTCTTCGGCACGCAGGCGGCGACCTGCCTGGAATTTATAGTGTGGTTTATTGTAATAGTACTAAGATGTTTGAAACTAAATGACAGTTTCAAACATATGCTTCATTTCGTGATGTCGCCGGTTAGAGGAAGGCAATCTCTCGGTGAGACTGAATCCTGCTACTATTTGTACGGCTAAAGGAATAACAGCATACGATTGGGTAGAGGTGCTGCGCTGAATTAGACGTCGCATTTCAGCTGGCTGACAAGAGAGAGGACAGTTGGATGAATGGAAAAAAGAAGCAAGCAAAAAGGGTTATAATATAAGTTTATAAAGATCCTTAGTACTTGTGATGAAACACTTTGTAGTAAAAGGCCCAGGAATTCCAGCTTTGTGGGACATTCTACGTGATCAAGTCCTTGTCAATACAGACTGCCATGCCAGTCAGTACACGGAGGATCCCCAGGAACAAGGCTGCCAAGGTTCTATAGCATTTGTCAGTACCTATTAAATGCCGGCGCTTTCGAAGCTTCCAAAGGCCTTCGATCGCTAAGTTATAGGAGGAGTAAGGTAGGTATATAGAGTGAAGGTAGGTAATTGTGAATTCAGTAGAGACGAGAGACAGTAGAGAGAGTAGGTGAGGTTGTAAGGTACTTTCATGCGAACTCGCGAACTATATACCACCATATACGCGTTTTCTTTTCTGCTTCTGCCTCTTGCAGCAGTAACAGGTGATATATAATACGACGCATTCCTGCCCTGATTTTATGATTTATGATTTATGATGTATTTATTCCATCTTCACATTTCTAATTCGAATTGCAATGCCACTGTTCCTATGTACGCTAGGCCGAAACAAGTTTAACGCTACAGTCAACCTGAGAACAGATTTTCAAGGCCTGAACTGAAGTACCAAGGTACCTAAAGCTAAAAATGATCTGAGCTGATCGTATCTGGGCTGGGGAATCGCATCGTCTTCTTCCTGCTTGGGCATGATTACTTCCTTTCACGCTGCGCTCTCTACACTAACTTAACTGTCTGTCAATCTGCCCATTCCACTCCACTCCACCCCGCTCCACCCCATAGCGCTGCGTTTCCTCCCTTTTTTCGCGAGACGAGAACATTCGAGGTATTAAGCGACACCCTACCAGACGCTGTACCGTACCGACTGATACTGCCTAGGTACAAAAGTACTCTATACTGTTCTTCCAGTTCTGCTGCAGTATCGACTGTCCTGTATAGATCTGGAGGCTTGCCTCGAGTTCTTTTTCTTTCCGCGGCGCGCGGGCTACGTTCGCCGCCGGCTTCATTTTATTTCCGTGTTCTGCCCAGTCGTGTCATTTTTGCTGCGGGCCTAAAATCAGATCAACTACCCTTACTCTACCTACCTACCCTACGTACTCTAAATATCGCCAAAGGCAACCTCGACAGCCATATTGACAGACACATCACTACCAACACCTGTCTCGTCCGGACTCACATGGCGCAGAGAGACTCTCCTCATCTTTCCTCGCATTCAAACCTTCAGAACGGGTCAGCCCCGTCCTCGCCCTCCATGTCGAATGCACAGCAGGCCGGCTCCTACCCGTCACCCTCCCTCTCGAATCCGAATCCCAATTACCAATATCCTCCTCCCAACAACCAACAGTCCGAACCATATCGCGCATCGCCAACGGGCAGTAACATCTCCGGCAGCAATATGTCCCTACCTAGTATGCGAACCCTCGATCCAGCCCAGGCGCCCATGAATCCCGCCATGAACCAGCCCTACTATGGGGGTCAATTGCCACATCCCTCTCATTATGCCAGCGTAACCTCCGACCCTAACCAGATGCGCTATGCGCTCCCTGCCACCGATGCCCGTGTGATGAGCGGCGGTCGTCATAAAAAGGTGCGTCGGCGCAATCGTGATGGGAAATTCGGATTTGCTGACATTCGGTCGCGTAGGAGATCAAGCGGCGGACCAAGACTGGTTGCCTGACGTGCAGGAAACGTCGCATCAAGGTCAGTACATCGCGTTCCAATTCTGGTGATTTCTTCGATTTGATGGATGTAAGACGAGGAGGGACGACGTTCTTCGCGATCTTTCGTTTATTTGAAGCAAGCGAATCTACCTAAGAGTAGGCGAGAGGCCATGTGAGCTCCAGAAGAGCGCAGAGCCGAAAGCGAGCCAGCGACTTTATCGATCGCAAACAATTAGAAGTTCTACTCGGACATCTGCATATTACTCTGTCTTTACCCTCGGAGTCGAGCAAAGATCACTCATTTATTGTGCGCATTGCTAATATCTTCCACCACCAGTGTGACGAGCAGCATCCAGCGTGTCGCAACTGTCAAAAATCCAAGCGGGACTGCCTGGGCTACGATCCCATATTCAAGCAACAACCAGGGCCTCCAAATATCCAGCCAGCGCCAAGCTCTGCCCCCTCCCAAGCAGGCTCGGCCGCAACTGCGAACCCGTACGGCAATCAGTCGCAGATTCTCGGTGGCTACGGTGCTCCCGTCAGCATGGCCTACGATCCCGCCCTCTCTGCCGGAGTCAGTTCTCCTGGCTCGGCAGTGGACAGTACGACTACGCCTCCGCCATTGATCCAGCTTTGGAGGCTGCTACCCCTTCCACTGCTGCTAGCAATATATTTCAACCCACCACATCAGGTATGCCAACTTTCCGCGATGATTTAAAGCGAGCATTGCAGAGCGCAAGCCCCTTCCCTGTTACATCCGATACACCCCACCTTAGAGGTGGCGCGTCCTCCTTCTCCCCTTCAAGCTCGTTCTTTGAAAACACAGCCGCTTACACGACTTTTCCAGCAAAACGCTCCATCGAACAACTTCTTACCCTCGGTGCCCCTCCCATTCCTGGTCTGCGCGGCGGTGACTTCTCCCAAGGCTCGCCCCTGCTCGAAGAAGCCAAGCACCTCTACTATAGTATTTATGCCCCTGGTCTCGAAGGTTTCCTCGAATCCAAATGGTTCCCTTCTGAGAATGGTGTGAAGAGGTTGACCACTGATCGGGCGGTGCTGGATAAATTCGGCCTTCTGCTCGCCCACTTCGCCAAGACAAGTCATACAGCCGATCCAAAGCAGATTGCCGTTACCTCCAGTGTTGAGGCTAGACTCGTCTGGGGGCTTGCAACAATGGTTCAACAAGCTGCTACCGCCGAAGGTGCTGCTAATGGTATTAAAAGCGAGACCAAGGGACCAGTCGTTCCACCAACTGATGATGCCACCGAAGCTGCCAATCGCTTGACGGTGTTTGAGAATCTGTTGACAGGCAGAGTTGCAACCAGTAACAGACTTACAGCCCCCGTCCAGGGAAGCACTGATCATCATCGACTAAGAGAGTTGGAGTTCTGGTACACGCTCGGCAACTTCGTCTGCCTCCGTGATGATGACCCAAGTGAGGCTAAGGCTATTGACGACACTACTGGTGCTCTGAGAAATCTTCTTGATGGTAGAGAGAACCGGGATGTTCTCTACTCCATTGCCATTGTCCGTGCTCTTGGTCACCGTGTGTCCGAGTACACTGACAGTGATGCACCACTTCACTTCGATGAGTCCGACAACAAGTCGAAGTTAGCCGTTGCCAAAAAATTTATCAACGACGAAGGTACAGGTGGAGGAACTACAAACGTCATTCGACGATTGTGTGAACTTGCTACCCGCTCCTGGACTGCGGTCCCAACCCCTGCTGCACCTCCAGCAGCTGCACCAGTTCCGGTGACAAAATCCGATTAATCGCCTTCAGTCAGCTACTCAAGGGGCATTTTGCGGTATTTTAGACGAATCATCAAAAATGCCCCTTTCTTGCTTGCGCGCTTGGTATAACAACACAAAAACGTCAATAACGGAGACTAGACCTCCGATTCTCTTTCTGACCTCAAAATGACATCTCAATTGTTCCTGGTCTCCTTCAATGGTGTTTATGGGGTCTTTTTAACGGCGTTCTTGCATTGTACTCATCTATCTCAACTACCTGTCTTGCTGCATTGAAAAGGGGAAATTGGGTCATACTTCTTTTACTGCTCGATTTACAGATGTGTTGTCATCAGAGGCACACAATCCATAAACACGCATGCAGTGAGAAGAATATTTTTCCTTGCAGGCGAACTACAAGATGTAACCTTATGGATCAGGAAAGACAAAATCTGGCGGTTTGCTTTTTTTATTTTTTCTGCGTATCTGCGTATAGAATGATGAAAATTGGGTGGGAAAGGGAAAATGGCAGTTGCGAGAACAACCTAGCCAGGGAGCTACATCTAGACTTCTGATCATTAGGAATGAATAGCTGGATGGTAGATGGTGCGTGTTTCCTTGTGTAGGATTAGATGACCACGAGAACAAAAGGCTTGTAATACGCATCGCTATTTTGCTAACTTTCACTTCCAATTGTAACGCGCTTGACTCCAAGCCGCCTGACCTGAGTAATAACACACAAGACTTCTAGTTTTCAAGCGACAACAACCTCTCCTTCGCTATTCCTCTAATCCGCAAGTAGTTTCACGACGAAAGACAGAACGTCCTCCCCTTGCTTCAAACTTTCTTTCCCCCTGTTCACTAATCACTTCCCAGTAACGTTCCAGTGTTTCATGACACCACTTGGGCTCGTAGTAGATCACCATCCTAGATGCAGGAACCCGTGGGGTGGGGAAAGGACCGAGGTGCTGCCCAAGATACAGGGATAGAGTCGGCTTCAGCCGAGAGATCTCTGGCAGGAACATGGAAATAGTACCAAGGTCAAGATACTGGGGCTCGAAAAAATTATCTGTTTGTTACGGAGCACTAGCACTAGCACTAGCCTGTCTAGCTGGACATAGGGAACATGATATGGCAGTAAAATCATTTGTTTATTGCTCGCCATCTATTCATGAAATCGGTCTACGGAGGTATGTTCTTTTGGTCTCTTAGCAAGCGCAAGAATACCCAAAGGAGCGTCTATCCATCATCATCGTCATCATCATCACACCGCTTCATTTCATTTCATTTCATGTCCTTCTGCTCTGCCACCGGACTCATCAACTTTCCCTTCTCCACTGCGCTCCTCACATTATTAATGCACCAGATCTCCATCTTCGTCTGCGTCTCCACTGTCCAGGTTCCCATATGTGGTACCAACATCACATTCTGATTCGCAATCAAGCCGGGGTGAACTCTCGGTTCCTCCTCAAAAACGTCGAGACCACAGGACCAGACTTTGCCACTGTCGAGGGCGCGCACGAGTGCTTCTTCGTCCATTACGGCACCTCGGGCTGTATTGACGATAACAACGCCCTGTTTCATGATCTCGAATTCTTTGGTCGAGATTATGTGGCGGGTTTGTTTCTATCTTTCGTTAACCTTCATATCCCTATCTACCTTTCACGGCCAACAATTTAGAGATATGACTTACATTCAGAGGTAGATTAAGAGACAGCACGTCACTCGTCTTCAACAACTCCTCAAAGCTAACATACTTGGCGCCACCACTCAGCTCCTCGGATAATGGCGAGCGGTTGTAGTACTGGGTTGTCATGCCAAAGGCCGCGGCTTTCTTCATTAGATTTCTGCCGATGCCGCCCATGCCTAGAATTCCAAGGACTTTTCCTTGGGGATCGTGGCCTAGAGGTGGAGGTGGGGAGCCTTTCCAGTGGCCATTGCGGAGAGCCATCATTGCTTTGGTGAACTGTTAGCTAGTGTCATGGTCGTTCTTGGTGGGTTGGGGGAGAATACAGGTATTGAATCCACGTAGTGCTCCGAGTATGAGGAACATGTTCACATCTGCTGTAGCATCGTCGACGGCTGTTGGCACATTGCTGACTCGGATGCCCTTCGCGGTGCAGGCGTGAACGTCGATTTGGTCGTATCCAGCTCCTGCATTTATCTGTCAACCAAGTCCAAATCCACACCCTTGGACCCCTCCTCCTGAACTAGGCATCTTATAGTAGGGCAAAGTACCATTGTGAGCAATAAACTTCAAGCTCTCCGGCAACGCTGCTACCAGCTCCTCGTCCACCAGCCCGGTAATCGCAACGCTCTGGAATGTCCGGTACGCAACCACCACCTTGTCAAAGACGCCTTTCTTACACTCTGCAATAAACTCTTCTCGTGAACGCGCTTTGGGTTCAATAAGCTCGCCGATTGAGGATAGGGTAGCCCATTCTTTCTTTGCGCTGTTCATAGGTTAGCATAGAAGTGAATGAGAAGGGCTGGCTTGAGGCGGAGGGGGCTTTGGGATTGGGAATACATACTGGTCGATTTCTCCCAATTGGAGAATTTGTGGTTTGCTCATCGTGGATGTTTTTCACGTTTCGTTGGGAAGTACTTGGTAAGTAAACAAAAAGGATGTGTTGAAGTGGGGGTGGGTTGGCTTTCATGGAGGGGTTGAAAATGCCCCTCACTCGTTATTATTCGTTAGGCTGTAAATAAGCTAAGCTTCTAGAACGCAAAACCATGTGCTGTGGTCAAGGAAAGGCAGAGGGCAAGGGAGGGGAGAGGGAAAGGGAAAAGGAAGAGGAAAGGCAGGTACAAAGTGAAGGTTACAGTATAAAGGTAAGGAAGGGGCGATATCGGACCGTCAGTCCCCGAGTTGCTCAATTGCACCTCTGGTGGTCGGCATAGTCAAGTATATAAAATCACTGGATCAAGTATTCCAACTATGGATGAAGGAGGCTGTTGAGTCCGAAACATGATGTTATATAGCTACCTTATGCTTCTACTATCTATCACCTTCTCCCTTACGCTTAAGCTTGGAGTAAATGAAATCTTGCCATCTTCTTTCCTAGAAGTGTAACTCTTACCAACTTTTACCAACACACTTTTTTATCTAGACCGGCTTCATTGACTCTTCCCAGAGCTATTGCTCACCTCTACGAATTGCCTCCATTGCCTCCAGGCTTCACCACCCTCAACTGCCCATCTTGCTCTTCGAACTCCTTCTTTCCATCTCCCCCCACCAGGACCTCTCTCAGTGATGACCTTCCCATCATCGCCATGCCCTAAATCACTCGTATCCGCCTCACACACCCCCGAAACAACAAATAACGCCGCCGTATTCATCAAAACGAAATCGAGAATTGGATCATCCCGTGGTAGTTCATTCTGGAGCAGCTTCGTCAAGATCTCTGCGTTTTCGTGGGGTTCTTTGCCAGGAGAGACATTTTTCAAAGCATGCGATGGTAATCCAAAATCCGCAGGTGAAATAGTGAAGCTTTCGACATCAACATCACTTGCCGAGGGCTTTTCATGAGTCGAGCGATTTACCAGTCTCCAGCAGTAGGTTTTACCTGCACAACTGATTTCATCGAGGTCCTCTTCGCCGCAAACAATCAAGGCCTTAGTTGATCCAATCATCTTCAAGGCTTCCGCAAACACAGGTCCGATGTCTCTTCGAGCTACCCCTAGAAGTCGAGCTTCGATGCTCCCTTCAATTGGGTTGGCTAATGGCCCAAGTAAATTAAATATAGTTCTCCATCCAAGTTCTTTCCGGATTGGAGCAACGTATCTCATGCCTGGATGAAACACTGGGGCAAAAAGAAATGAGTAGTTGCTCTTCTCGTAGATACTAGGGAGTGTCTCTGGAGTGATGGCCATCAGATTTGGAGCTGTAGGTTGAGTAGCATTGAGCAGATCTGCTGAACCTGATTTAGAGGTTGAGGCTTTGTTGCCATGCTTGCTCAGAAGTAGAAGAGATGATGCCAGAATCGATGAAGTTGTGGAGATATTGAAGGTGTTATGCGAGTCGCCTCCAGTTCCAACAATATCACACTATAATGCTTCTCAGTATATATATGATACAATGGATATAATCAAACTCACAAGTCCCCCTCTGTAATCACCTTCTGGCCGACCTCGAGCTTTCACAACACTTTCCAGTCTCTTCCTGTCTATTTGAGTGGCAGCTTGTCGCATTGCCTCGGCGCATTTCGCAATAACATCTGCTCTTCGATCCCAGCCAGTGAAATGCAAGCATGTGAGAAGGGCACCTGTCTGAACTGGAGATAGTTGATCTGTGAATATGTGGGATATGGCCAGAGCAATTTCCTCTGCCGTGACATTATTATCACCTGGTGAAGGCCATAGTCTTCGGAGTAATGGGGTTATGGAGATAATTTGAGGAGCACTTGGCTCAACTCCAGAAGCCATATTTATCGTTGATCAATTTATCCCAACAATTGAACTCAAAGAAAATGCTGGGGGGTCGTAGGCAGGTGATCTCTATATGGTATCTTACAGATTAAGGCATGTCGGATTAATGATACCTGAGATTTTTAAGGCCTCACAATTTGGTAGCGCTAGTCTACATTAGAACTTTTTGATATACAATTTGGATCCGTGAACATCTCAGCAGCTTTTTAGGAGAGCAATTCGGCAGGTACGCGTTTTCACCCACCAATCAAACCCCGTTTGGTCCTTTCTAATTGAATCTCCAGGATGCTCCCAAGAACATCCCCACCATCAAGGGCAATTGCCTCAATTTTAAGATGTAAACGACCCTTAAAGATTCGACGTCAATATGCTACGGCTACAGCTACAGCAATCACGCCCGCTGCCTCCCATGAGCGAATGACAAGGGGAGAAGCTCCCATAGCACGATATCCACCAACTCAACCGCCCTCCTATAAGCCTCCCGAGTTCAGAAAGTCACAGCTGCTCCGACAGTATGCGTCACTCCTCCGTTCGACCCCCCTGATGCTCCTCTTCCAACACAACAATCTTAAGTCCAACGAGTGGAGCGCGATACGGCGCGAACTTTCCCTCGCTCTGCGAAAAGTGGATGAAGCTAGAGTGGCTGCTGGTTTTCCAGCAGAGCAATTAGAAGAAGGGATAAAAATGCAGATCATCCAAACCGGCATCTTCTCCTCAGCTTTGAAAATTGTCGAATTCTACAAGCCAGAAACTTCACCCTCAACGCTGGACCCTACAGATCCATCTGCGCCTTCCTCTGCTACAAATCCGGTCTTCAAGTCAGACGGATCGGATTTGACGCATACACTGTCCAAAGCCGCCCACGATGCTACGGCAAAGAAATCCCATACCCTGGCCCCATTACTGTCGGGACCATTGGCGGTTTTGACTTTCCCCACTGTCTCGCCATTTCATCTGAAAGCTGCCCTATCCATACTCTCACCCAGCCCTCCACAGTTTCCTGCCCCGACAAGGAGGGCAAACCCTGGGTGGCATGACCCGCCTGTACAAAGCGGGATGCAGAAGCTATTGCTGCTGGGCGCCCGTGTGGAGGGCAAGGTCTTTGATGTAGATGGGACGAAATGGGTTGGGGGTATTGATGGTGGATTAGAGGGCTTACGAGCACAGCTGGTGGCCATGTTGCAGAGTGTTGGGGCCGGTGTGACGAACACACTGGAGAGTGCTGGGAAGAGCTTGTACTTTACAGTTGAAGGACGACGTATTATGTTGGAAGATGAGGAGAAAGCTTCTGAAGAGAAATCATAAAGCAGGCTTTGTGGCCTTGTATTCTATATGTAGATTTAAAGACTTGTGTATATCAGCAAAACCAGATCATACGCTCATTGCTTTATCGTCATCCAGAGGGGTGTCTCAGTCCCTTAACTCCAACTTGGAATTCATCCCAACAATACATCTAACCAAATCCCAATCCCCATTATTACCAACCCAATCGCAAACCACAATTCCAGTACTTCCATCTCCTACCTTCCTACCTTCCCCCCCATCCGGGCCCCCTATCTCAGAAGGCTCATTATGCCTCCTACATAGGAAATCAGTGATACTTGGGTTTACCTTGGCCGCAATTTTATCCGGCCAGCAATTTGCTCTCCAGAAATTCGAAGCACTCAAAAAGTTGATAAAGAACGGCTGCTTGGCCGCCTCCGCAGCAGCAGCATTCGCACCACCTGGTAACGAACAAACACCTTGAGCAGCTTTCTTAAGATGGTCTGTGGAGAAGTTGATTTTCTTCTCGATGTTCATACTCTCGGCGACCTCGTAAAAATCTTGCACGCGGATCTCACCACTTGAGCAAGTCCCGTCGGCGCAGTTGTCAGGCCAAGATTCGCCGTCGATAGCCCAGCCAGCACCGCCATTCTCGCCTTTTAGGGAATCGTCAAGGCAAAACCGCCGCAGGAGAACAACTTTGCTTCGAGTTTCTCCTAGAATTGGGATACGGTTCTCGGTAAACCAACGATTTGGATCATTGGCATAGTGGTCCTTCAATATCTTACTAAGTTGTTGGTCTGTAGACCTCCCAACTCCTTCGCGCTTAAGAGATATGATGATTGTCTCGGTCGGATTGTCATTTAAAAAGGCGAACACAGTATTGATTAGGTCGCGGAAGTACTTGGTGCCCGTCAGGGAGACTGGGAACGCGCTATGGACGAGGATGAGGCCGTCTTTGGAGGAGTCGTCGGGGCTTTCGGGCTGGACTCTGATATCGAGAAAGCGCACCCCGTTATTGAGCTGGTCTTTTACGCTGACTGCTTGGCAACGGACAGAGGGGAGGGCTTTATGATGCGTTGGTGAGTTGTGTGTACCGGGAATACTGAGTGCTGAAAGGGGCGTTTCGTTCATATGTTTGCTCATCCATGATTCTAGATTCGCGGAAGAGTAAAGCGCGAGATGGGAGGATTGTGGGAGGTATACACCAGTGAATTCGAACAGCGGGTTGGGAGAGAGTGGTGTAAGAACTGTCGAGCGCTGGGAGGGAGTCGGGGTGTCTATTCTGTATCTCTGTCCCTCGACCTCGAAGGTCAATCGTAAGACATCCTTGGCATTCGGTTGGATATCGGTGGGTTTGGATTCGAAGGGGCCAATTGGTACAGACACATTATGGTTGCTAAAACTCTCGGACTTGGCAGCAAGCTGGTGTGAAGATGGACTTGTGATATTGCTCATAAGACCACTTAGAGTGCGAGTGACGAGACCCCCACCCTTGTTAGGGGACGATTGAGCCGCTTCAAAGCGCTCGAGGAGCTTTAATTCAAAGGAATTGAAGGTAAGATTGCGGATGACCAAAGGGGGAGCGGTCATTCTACCGGTCGGTCGGGTTACTTCAAGATTTGCAAATTGATGCCATTCAGGAGCTTCGCGTATTTTTGAAAGCTCTCTGGTTGGACCTGTCCTGTGGCTTGGCGCGGGGTACAGTCTGTAGCGGGGTACACCCCGTAGGTATATATATAAATCTAAGAGTTGTCCTTACTTTACTTTACATCCTTATTCATCCCTTACACACACCTTGGTGAGCTAAATGACGCCAGGTGTTCTGGTTCTCGGGGTTGCTTGTACATTCCATATCGTATAATAGCCTGGCATGGAAGTACCATGAATGTTCTGTTTCCTTACGTATGTTTTCGCAACAGAGACATGCACGTGAATCTTGAATCGCATTTCTAGTCCTTGTCGAGTACAAGCGCGGGTTTCTATTATAATTTGGGGTTTTAAAGATTAGCAGGATGGATGTTTCTCCTTCCATGTTCTACCTGTTTTCCGACTCGTTGATCTAGTGTTTTTGCGGGAAACCCAGCAACAACCGCCCTTCAAGATTGAGACTAGATCTTGTAACTTTCTTGTTTTTTACTTGATATCGACCTAATCATCACATATCGCAAGCACCTTCTGCTTTACCTGCACGGCAACTCATTAGTTATGCTAGACTTGGCCAACAAGACTAGAGTAGTAGGGCTCTCGACCTTATGTGTATGGAATGTGTGAAGAAATATCAGCGAATCGGCGATCGATTATATCTCTTTATATAATTTAAGACTATCTACTGTAACTGTAACTATGCTTATGCTTTCTTTCCTGTAGGGTCAGCGATGATCGACAGACTATCTCGCAGTTTGCTAGAACTTATTTCTAATTAAAATCCTTCATACATCTTATTTTCCCCGGGCTTATGAAAATTTAAAAGATTTGTCACGAGGCATATACCATCGTGTACTAATTCTCTATTCAGCTGCTCTTTACTACTTTAACACATAACTTTAAGGTGGTTTGTCAACGCACAATATAATTTCGACATCAACGTAAGACAGAGAAGAGTTTTGCTGCCCTAAATTATACCCATTTCTCTTGTTTTAAGACTTCAATGTACGACTAGTAATAGTTGTTAGGATAACCGAATTAGGGACATCTCTTACCTTTACGCTCAACCAATACGTAAACATTCCGCACTGTTAAATAGTTGTCCAGAAATACTATAACGTGTCCAAGTAGGCTAAAGTTGAATAATAAATTATTTACTACCTACTACTATAATAATTAAACGAGACTCTCTGTTAAGACATATCGGTGCATCAAATTGATTTTCAAGAAAAGTCTTTTTTCATTAAACTTAAAACTTTTCAATAGTTATAACATGAATTTCTATAGGAATATTTCCTATCTATTCCAGATTCTTATTAGTGTACTAAGGCTTTGACTCACTTTTCAACTACCCGAAGTTGGATCTCCAAGTTTAGTAGGGTTTTATTTGAGGGTTATATATTATATTAACTTTATAATCAAAATAACCAGGAGAATAAAGCTGATTGGCGCAGCGGAAGCGCGCGAGGCTCATAACCTTGAGGTCATTAGATCGAGACTAATATCAGCTAAATCTCTATTTTTTTTTGTAAATGTTATAGTTAAATTAATATATTAATATGGTTATTTCCCACCACGCGAGAAGCCGGTCACCAACTACTAGATAGAAGCGAAAGTATACGCAAACTTTTCTTCTACTATTTTAAATACTCTCTACTTTATTTTTACACCTTTATTAAACTCTACATACCAGTTTTTTTTGCCCAACAGACAGTATACGGCGTATACGGGTCACACTACTGCGAACACTTGAAAGGCTAATGCTATCAACGAGAGGTTTGTTCGGGAATTTTATGGCAAAGACAAGACGGATAGCATATATAATTATCTACTATTAATAGAAAAAGTTTTATCCTTCTGGATCGCAGGACACTGTTCCTCGTCAGGCTAGGAGAATGCCCCAGCCGTGGTAGCTGATAGTCTATAACGTACTTTTGATTACTATCTTGATATTGAGCCGATATTTTGCAGAGCCGGAACTGGTTGCAGCTTGGCTTAGCTGCCGATGTTCCTAAGAATTGTGACTATTTGAAATGAACCTATGAAACTCTAGGACCAGCACTCCCTCATAACCATATCAACCCATGCCCACTCCGTGAAGTGCTCATCCATAATCTTTCCGACCCAGAAATTCCAGTCATCATACCAACGCCCACAAGCAAACATAGCCTTCGAGTATTCCCAATAACTTGGGTACCACCCTGACGTCTCCCAGTCCACGACAACCACTTCCAGACTGCCCTCAACATCCCTATTATTTTCTCCATCTTCCACAGCCATCTTACTGATCATTATGTTTTTCCGCTGAATATCACCGTGCGTGAATACAGGAGGATGGCCTTGAAGAACATAGGGGAAAGCTCTCTTGTAGAAAGCTGCTTTGTGTTCCGATAGTTCGTGAGAAATGAATTTTTTAACGATTGCTTCATTTAGCTCGGTTTCAGACGTAAAGGGTCCATTGATCTGTAGCTTAGAATTGCCCATCCAGAATATCCCATCCTCTAAAGGCCTATTCCCGATACTGCAAAATCCACCTGGTGAAGGTAAACTGCGCAAGTTGTTCAAAATTACTTTGAGTTTATTGGTGATAATTTCTTTCTGCGATTGGCTTAACGCAGGCCATAGGGTCAGAAGGTTATCACCAGATATTCTCTCCATCACGATGTACTTTACACTATCTTCTTCGAAGAGAGCATAGATCTTTGGCACAGGAATCGAATTTTCATAGAGATATACCATGTTTTCTCCTTCAAATAGATCGATTGCGCCGCCGTACTTCACAATAAAATGCTCACCAACAACCACCACTTTGCGGCTGGACTGGTTAACCAAGACATTATTTGAGCTTTCGATTTGGTCTCGCGTAGGTATAGAGCAAGGGAGTTCTCTAGGGTCGGCATAGTAAGGTAAGGAGATTGAAGACATTCCCGCAGCAGTTGGTTTTCTGGGGTTTGCAAACTCGAGGCAGAACTAAATTTGATGTGAGCCGCGAACACTGCTAACGTTGTGGAGGTTATTCGTGGGTCACGTGATGGACGGAACATCGGAGTAGCTTAGTCAAGCTTGAGGTTATCTCTTCGCAGCACCCGTACAGTATAACTTAACAAAATCAAGTCTTCACCTTGAATCGAAAATACCCTGCCTTCGACATGGACCTTAAAAATGAAGGACGCGTTTCTCGCTCTTGAGATATTTGAGGCGCGCGGCTGAGCGGTGGGCGCTTACTAGTAGCTTTATGCAAACGTTAGGCACGTCGAGTGGTTTCCTTTCATGTACCAACAACCCTAACTTGGGTACCGATAGGCAGTCTCACCGATTGATAAATATCGTAATGTTGAAGGCGGGTGGGCAGTTGTGGCTCGAAGAGGATTTGAATGTGGGTCAGGCCCCTAGCCCTTCGACCCTACGCGCGCTCCTACAGTGAACTATACCTGCGCATACACGTTTGTTTCATTTCTCTATGTTCTTACTTGAGGATCTAAAATTATTGCAGATTTTATAGAGTCCCTTTCATAGCTTGTTTCATAAATTTCGCCGCCTGTGGAGCTGGTCGCTGAAGTGAGTGGTTCCCCCTTCTGTTCGAAATGCCAAATTTAGAATATGGGCGAGACGCTGGAGACAACATGTCACTGTGACAGTTGGTGTTTGGAGATGTTCACTATTTTATTTTGCTATAGAGTACCTATGTATATATTATGTGCATGGCTACGTGCAACCTGATAAAACATCATCATAAACAAACAACTACAAATCGTTATCATTTCCATTGGCCAAAAGGCCCGAGGACTCCCACAGTTTTGTTCCCGGTGGAAAGAAGTTCATTGGAAAAGTCTCGCATGCAAACTATGGTCGTATTCGTACGATTTGCGATGCCATCCCTCCGTCCAAAAAGCAGTTCAATGGCGGAAAGAGATTATTCCCGAAAGAGCCCCTTCGCCGATGCCAGGAATGGACGCACGAGGCTGTTCAAGCATTAACTGCTGCCGGTGTCCTTGTCGCGTGATGGAGTGGTGTACTTTTAGGGAGTGCCTTCATTGATGTTTTCTTTTGTCTAGATTTTCTATAGTAGTTTTATAATTTGAAGTTACTCATATAGTATAGCTTTAAATGTAATAAAACAATTGCAATGAGTTAGCTATTTAAATTAAGTCACTATTATTTATTTATTATTTATTTATTCCATTAACGTCCTATGTGAGTCTAAGACTATGTAGGACGGCGCTAGCCTAATGCTAGCGCGGGCTAGTGATACAGTCAAGAGATATGTCAATATGTTTCCGGTTGGAATCTGTGGGACTAAGCCCAATGCGGACTAGGTCCATAAAGCAAAAACGCCATAATAATAAAAATCCCCCAGGGCCCCAAAAACGCATAACTAACTAACAAATGAAAAGTGAATCAAGGAGTGGCAGAAAGCGAAGGCGGTCAGCTAGCATAGCCGTTTCTTATGCTGCAATCGCGCTCTTATGCATTCTGAGTCAAAATTGGGAAAAATCGATGGATTTAGTCGGTGGAAGTAGGCGGTGAGACTTCTAAGCCGTATACCGTAGTATATGCTTAGTCATCATCGAATTCTGCCCGTTCAAGCCGCCATTTGCGGGTACTAATACCCGTTTCACCCAAGAAGGTCAGTAGATGCTGGCGTCCGATTTTCGTCTCAAAGAGGGAGCGTAGGCTAAGCCTAAATGGGACACTGTCTTTCAGTCTTTTGCGTTCTTCACTGTATTCGGGGCATCGTAGTATAAGATGCTATGGTGATTCAGGCTTGTGACTGCATATGCAGTGATTGGTGGGTGTTTTATTGAATCGTTTTAGGTACGTCCCAAAGTAGCCGTGTTGTAGCTTAAGCTGGAAAAAGGCGCTAGCAGTGGATCTAGCCGTTTTGGGAAGCTGTATTCAAGAGTGAATTCGTGGGTTGAAAAAGTCGAAGTAGTGGCCTTTGCTGCTAGCTAGAGCATTCGCCCACGCATGCCATCGGATTTGGTTGATTTTTATGCCTATATAGGCATAGCTTGTATGGGCAGCCAGGGCGGTCTGGGTGGTCGGAAGTGATTTGGACCCCAATTTGGCTAGTTTGTCCGCCTCTTCATTTCCATTGATGTCTTGGTGTCCGGGGACCCACTATATTGCTAGCGTGGATCCGTTTTAGGCTATTTTGGTGGCGGCTGCAATAGCGCGTAACTAGTAAATTTGGCCCGGATTATCGGAAGGCCGCGCTAGCCTATAAATGGCTGCTTGGTTGTCTGCGTATATCCGAATATCCCTATTTAGGCCTAGTCTTATTGCATCTTTAAATGCTAGGGCAATGCCTTCTAGCTCTCTATTATAGATAATTTGGTGCAGACCTATATTTCGGGCTAGTTATATAAAAGGGCGGCTAGCGCATTTATAGCCTGCTAGGCCTACTCTGATTCTAGTGCTTTTAGGCATTTGCAACCTGTCTAAGTAGTATAACACCTGATTTAGTGGCTATATCTGCATTTAGCGGCGGTGTGCTATAGCAGTTTCCTCTTTTAGCAATTTAGCGATTTATGTGTCCTAGGGGATAGAGCGGTCCTATGGGGCAAAGTGGAAGTGGTATATAGGTTTAATTTTGCTGCTAAGTAGGAGTATAATAGTCCTAGTAATTATCTGAAGTCCGTATCCTAAATAGCTGGATTTAGCAATTTAGCGATTTACTAGGTAGTCTAGACTTAGCTTAGCTAGCTAAAAAGCGTATTTGTAGGTGGCTGTATCTAGTTATATTATAGGTAGTAGGAGGCTAGCTTTAACTTCTATAGCCTGAATTAGACTAGTCTGAAAAGTGCCTAGGATTTTGCATAGTGCTAAATTCTAGAGGTCCTATAGGTAGTCTTTTATATATACTTAGCCTTGCCACTAAATTAGTAATATATAGTTAGATATGCTAGTAATATAAGCTAGGTATAGCTATCTAAAAGCGGTAGGACTAAGCCCTTATTTGCTATTAGCTAGCCTAGATATACGTCTAAATATAGACTTAGCCTTAGTAGTGCAGATAGTAATATGCTCCTTAAATTATAATAGAGCATTAAAGTAAATACCAAGCCACTTAACTATCTGCTTTAGGGGAACTATAGTCCTATCTAGGAGTATAAGGGATACTAGCTTAGCGCGTTTGCCTGTGCTAAAGTGAATTAGTTTAGACTTTTTTAGGTTAAATTAGATTACGTTTTTACTAGCTAGCTAAAATAGCTCTTTAGCTACTAGCTATAGTATCTTAACGTTTTTATAAGAGCTAGTTAATATAAAAGAGAGAGTAATATTATTTATATAAGAGATAAATTTAACTGCATATAACCTAAATAGGCCCTATATATAGATTAGAAAAAGGATAGGCGAAATTAGACTTCCTTATAGGATTCCGGTCTAAATAGGCTAGTTTTTATCTGATTATCCATTAAATAGAAGCTTAAGTGACTGCCTGCTTATAAAGGATAAGACCTACTTAATAACTAAATTAGGAAAGGCTAAATCCTTAAGAATTATAAGTAGCTAGTTCTTAGACACGTGGTTATATGCCCCTTTTATATCTAGTAGAAGCGTACTAGTAATTTTATTTTATAGCTGATTTATATAGATATAATCCGCTAGCATAGCGCCTGCGTCTATAGCTAACTTTTTAAGTTAGCTACTAATTTAGCTAGGATATAATAGATTTAGTATAGTTTTAGCTAAGTAAGCTAGTTACTTAGCTAGGATCCTTTTGCTAACTTTTCCTAGGTAATTTAGGAGTGAAATAGGTTAATAGGTGCTAGGCTGCTTATAGTCTAGTTTATTATTTTTATGCAGTATAGCGCAATTCGCTTAGCGCTAGCACTTTAGATAATAGCTAGTGTTTACTAGTGTCTTAAAAAGGAGTGAAATCTAGGAAGGGCATACTAAAAATGTATAGGTAATAATAGTCTAGGTAATATAGTCTAGGCTAGGGCTAGTGGATTTGATTTTACTAGAACAGGCTTATTTTACTTCGTCTAATGCTAGCTTTAGCTATTACCACTAGTCTAAGGCGGTATATAATATCTAATTCAGGCTAGCTATTTTAGGAGGTAGAGGGAAAAGCGTCTAGTAGAAGAGGTTGCATTTAGTAGTAAATATGGTTACAAATTGGGTGGCAGAAAGCTTTAGATTTAGGACTAGTTCTAACCGCCTTAACTTCGTATAGGCTAGGGCTTTAAAAATTAATTTAGAATCCTCTTTTTCTAAAAACTAGTTCTAGTGATCCTTTTTTGCTGTTTTAATAGCCTAAAAGTATATATTATAGGCGCTAGTATAGCGCTTATTTAATTAGCTGGAAAATGCTTACTTAGAGGCCTCTCTAGCCTAATTTATATTATATTAAAGTAATTTTAGTAAATTGTTCTACTAAGGCTTAGCATATAGCGCTAACTAGATTTAGGGTATAGTATTATATATAGCATATAAAATGGCGCTAGTATAACGTTCTGCTATATTATCTAGATAGTCTAAGGTTGCTTTATAGCTGCGTTTTGCATTAATTTGTTCTAAGCTTTTTAAGCTTAAATTAGAGCTTAAAATGTAGCTATAGGCCTATAGCTTATTTTAGAGCGGTAATAGCTAGCAGAAAAGTTTTTCCCTAAATTTGGTCTAATCTGCCTATTTTATATTAAAACGGGTGGTTTATAGATCTGCTAGTCCTATTTAGGAACTATTAATAGTAAATATAATCCTAAAATAGTCTAAGCCTATATTATCTACTATAGCCTAGTCCTAAATATAATTAGCTATAGATTAATACGCTAGCGTAAGGTTAATATTTATTAGCCTCTATATATAAGGGCGGTGGAAGGTGCTAATACTAGGGGTATTTAAGAGGGCTAAATTATAATAGTTAATCTAGTCTGCTAGCGTATTGCCTTCTTTATTATTGCCTTATATAGGAGGTCCCACTATAGGTTATAGGCATTAAAGTCCCTATAAAAGACTAAATTAAGAGGCGGTAAGAGCTGCTATAGGCATTAGGCTAGCATATAGGTATCTAAATTAGGTAATTAGTACTTTTTATTATAAATATTATAAATCTTAATTATATAATCTTAATTTATAATATCTAGGGCTTAGAAGTCTAAATTATTTAGCGAATCTAAGGCTAGAATAACCCTAAGGCAGTATGACCTAGTAATATAAGCTATTATG